CCTAGACTAGTAACCCCCAAGATGGCTGATGGCGCTAAGGAGGGCGTCGTCGTCTGACCTTGACGGCGAGCCTGCGTAGCCAAGGGCAGATATGAAATGTAATTGCGGAGAGGCCGACACGGTGCGGATAAAGAATGGGAAGTGACAGCCACAGATAAGCTCCGGCAGCGACAGACCGCCTTGAGCCGCCATCATGGAAAGGGCGCACGTGGCGTATCCTCGCCGTCGTCCTGGCAACGGAAGCCACGCGCTGCTTCCTGCCAGTTTTGTTTATTGACACCCAACGGTTCTTTTACTAGCCGTCAATATTCAGTTCCTCTGACGGATCGCGACATCAAGCAGCTAGGGGACGTATCGGCCGAGGCCACGGCAGAATCCAGACCACGTCCAGACGGTCTCGTCCCTCTGGATCAAGATGACGCGCACCCGGCCACCGTGATGTGAAGGCGCGGCGACCGCCGTTTCGACGCCTCGCATGCCATAATCGTTCACCGCGGATCGCATTTGAACTCTCAGGCGCCCGGGGTCGTTACGACGCGAGTGCGAGGACGCCTCGTCGATCGGCCGGTGCAGCGGATCCACAGCTGAGAACAATGATAGGCGACGCCAGTGTGCATTTCGACGGGACCTCAGCCTGCGTCCTGGAGCGCGTGGCGGGCACCGCGCGAAAAGCCCTGGCCGTCGTGTCGCTCGAACCCGGGCCCCGCGTGCAGCCGGCGGCCGACGCCACCCGGGCGGACGCGGGTCCTCTCGTGCTGCCGGCACTTCCGCGAGCCAGGCGGGGCGTCCCGTTGCGGCCCTCGGCCCCCCGCCACGTGGCACCGGAGGTCCTGAACAGGCTCCGCGGGTGTCGTGTTAACAACGGGTGAGCGGACTCTCGCCTCCCCTCTTACCACCGCGTCGCTGGGCTTGGCTTTCAAACGCTGACTTTAATAGTGATCGGCCGAACGTTTGTCGTATCGAAAATTGGGTCGACCAAACTTGCACACATTCGGCATAAGATTGGCAGGATCGCAAATTTGCTAGACATGCTGACCTTTTTTTCCCTTCTGATGAGAAATCTTTCCAGCGATCGTTAAAGCATTAAATATGAAATGTTATACGTACATAGCTTGCGTGTGATGTCATTTGCAGCCGTGCCAGTATTTTATGTGCCATGAGCATTCGGTTCGCCCTGTTGGTTTCACATTGCAGAAGTTGTAGTTAGACGAAACCATTAAGTAGAAATAACCGTCAGTACCAGGACCGTACCCAGAAAAAAATTTCGGGGGGGGGGGGGGGGGGGGGGGTTTCGGGGACGACGGCGACCATTTTGAAAATGTCTATTGTCTTATTTTTGCCTATGAATCATGTGCATCGGTGGCATATAATGGAGAGTTATAGCAAACCGAAGAACCGGTCCCGGTTTGGTACCCGGTAGCCGACCGGTGCCACTGCGCGTGCGCAGAGGTGGAGATTAAAATCGGCTGGCTGCAAGTGCACCGACCAGGGCCATACCCAGAAAAAAATTTCGGGGGGTGGGGGGTGGTCAGAACCCCCTAACCCCCCCCCCCTGGTTACGGCCCTGGCCAGTACCATAGTGACAATTGCGAGCTTTGTATTCTACAGGATACATTGTCATTGTCATTTTATTTTTTTATTTGCAAAATTACAGCGACCTACGGTACACTACCAGTGTAGCATCCTGATCGGTGCAAGTGTATTTTATCTTCCTCCGCGCGTCGTTCACCTGAGACTCCACAGGATGAGGCTACGATGATACTGTTAGTATGCACGTTTTTTTACGTGGCGTCAGCTTTGCATGCAAGTGTGCATTCTATTTTCACCGCATTCCTTGTTGAAAACATTTTTCACTTGCACAGAGCATTACATCCATTCAAAAGCCAAAGATCAAGAAGGAATTCATTCTTGATCTTCTGCTCTCGAGACTAAGTACTTGGCAACAACCACACACACTCGTGCAAACTGATAAACATTCAGTGCTATTACTATCTGTTACCCTCTATACTCCAATCACCCTTAAAGGACCGGTAATGCAATGATTTTAATGTTGAAAGAATTTGCAGTTTGTATACTTTATATTGTTTATCTAGCCACAAGTGACAGAGAATGTGCCACCTGGCCCCTGAAAACCACTATTCCGCTGTGTCGATCGCTCGCCGCGACCTCTGGCAACTAGTGGTGCAAAACTATCGATAGTACTATCGATAGTATCGATAGTTTCTAGAAATCTGACTATCGATAGTAAAAAAACTATCAATAGTTCTATCGATAGTCGACTATCGAAAAACTATCGATAGTACTATCGATAGTCGGCTATCGAAAAACTATCGATAGTACTATCGATTGTCGACTATCGGAAAATTATTGTTCATCGACTATCGGAAAACTATCGATAGTCGACTATCGTAAACCTATCGATAGTACTGTCGGCAGTTTACTATCGATAGTTTTACGACACTAGTAGTTTCCGTCATTCCCTCTTCTCTTTTTCTCGCTTTATTTTTTAAAATGGGACACCAACTAGCCCAAGCACTTACCATCCCAACTTTGGTTCAGGTTTCAGTGATAACGAAGACGGGATTTTGGGCGAAGAGAGGAGGAAGGGAGGCGAGCGGCGGTGCGGCAACTGTGTTCGCTCTAGTGGTACAAAAATACTGATAGTACTATCGATAGTCTCCATGGCCGCCAAAAATCTGACTACCGATAGTAAAAAAACTATCGATAGTACTACCGATAGTCGACTATCGAAAAACTATCAATAGTAGTATCGATAGTCGACTATCGGAAAACTATTGATAGTACTATCGATAGTCGAGTATCGATAAACTATCGATAGTCGACTATCGATAGTTCTGCGATACTATCGATAGTTTTTCCAAAACTATCGATAGTATCGATAGTCGATTTATCGATAGTTTTGCATCACTACTGGCAACCCTTGAAGAGTCGACGATTGCGGAGGAAGTGGCTAGAGTCTCTGAAGAGAGAACTCCACGGGAAACCAGGTGATCTCCCAGAGACGTCGCTGGAAAGACGGCGTGAGAGTTAAAATAAAAACTGGTGCGTGCAAGAAAACATGGTTTTCTGTTTTTCATTCTATAGAGGACAGATATTAATACCCGCAGGTAATTGGCCAAAGTCTGAAAATCGTTGCTGGGCCCCTTTAAGCTGATACTGCAGACAATACCACAAGCACACGAGTGCACAAGATTGCTGGTTTGAAGCATTCTCTGCAGACCAAGCACTCGCGCTAGAAATGCCCGTCTCAAAGCCAGGGGCGTGGGCTAGCTCACACCTGTAGCTTTGGGTGCAGTTTCAGCTTCAGGGTGAACAAAGTAGTCTTGTGCTTTGCTGCAGATCACCCTTCGAGTGTTCATTTGGCCCTTCGGCACCGTGGCTATTCAACGCTGTGATTTCAAAGGGCCTCATGTGACCCAGAGCAAAAAAATCGTTCTAAAAGTTTAACCATTTTGTTGTCCTTCTTCAGTTGTTCGTCCTGTCAGCCACCAGTCAGCATGCTAGTGCATGTGCTTTGCACTTCGCAGATGCACAGACATTTGTCGAATCTTTAAAGGATTTTCCTATAAAACTTTTGCATGTGCCGCACTTTGTGGAATCCAAATTTAGATTGATTCGACCCATCACTAACCTTTTGTAGGATTAATTATGCTTTCATCGACAGAAATATGTGTAATGTGAGACTGTCAACTTCTACGGTGTTGGTTTGAGAATACATTGACTCCCAGCTTCTACCATGTTTTTGCAGAGATCATCGAAGTTGTCATTTAAATGATCACCATGGTCGTGACCTCACGGGTAGTGGTCATGACCGGACACCACTGAAACAGACAATAAAGGTGTGGGAAAAAAAGTGACTAAGGATTGATCAGTACAGTCACGTGCACTAATTCTCATTCTCTAGATCTCTCACACACACTGACAGTTACACATAAGTAGAAAAAGTGAAAGCCGTTTACAACTCTCTGTAACACCGAATTAGAGCGCAGCTCTTGAGGAGGAGGAGGGAAGGGTACTGGGGGGGGTCACGTGACGGTGCCGATGATGCCATCAGTGACGTCACTGATGACGTCATCAGTGACGATGACGATACGGATTCCGATGACGTCATCAGTGATGATGGCGATGACGATGCGGATGCCAGGGACATCATCAGTTACGTCACTAATGACGTCATCAGTGATTATGACGATGACAATGCGGATGCCGGTGACGTCATCAGTGACATCAATTGGTGACGTCATCAGTGATGATGATGATGACGATGCGGATGCCGGTGACGTCATCAGTGACGATGACGTCATCGGGGAGGTCACGTGACCTCGCTGGGGTGTCACGTGACCCTGGGGGGTCACGTGACCTCGGGGGGGGGGGGGGGGGGGGGGGGTCACGTGACCTCGAAGGAGGGGGTCACGTGACATCGGAGGGGGGGGGGGTCACGTGACCTTGGGATGACCTTGGGGGGGGTCACGTGACCTTGGTTGTCACGTGCACTTTCTCATTCTCTAGATCTCTCACACACACTGACAGTTACACATAAGTAGAAAAATATGTCTTTCATTAATCTCCCATCATAAGACTGTGGGTACAGCAAGCAGCACGGACAGGGTAGGTGTGTTTGTGTCTTAGATGGGCATTTTTAGTTATGAATGTTATTTTAAACATCAAATAAGAAAGGAGAAAACACTTGAGTGAACAAAGGTTCTTATAAGTTTCACTGGAGAGACATTTGATTAAAGTGGTTGTTTCACTTGTTGCAATGGAAACCACTTCTAACACCACTTTAAATTTTCACGTGGGACAGGTCTTTGCCAATGTGCCAGATGGCATCCCGCGTAAACTTTCTCAGTTGCCCCTTTGCAAGTTGAGTGGCATTCTTTTTGTTCGGTGGAGCTCCACCAGTTTTGCAGAGATGTCGGTGCAAACGAGGCAGGCATTAGGTGCAACCTCTGAAGACCTGCCTCTCTTCCACCATACAGGGAGCCTTCCTTGAGCCTGGATGGGTCCTGCATCCTCGAGGAGCGGCCCATGAGCGAGCCGGAATCCCAGGCCTGCTCTCCGCAAGGAGGAGACACCCAGCACACTGCACAGGCCGGGGACTGCGACGGCAGCACAGCTACCTCGGAACCCTCCGCATCGACTGTCGGCGCCACCCCTCCCTTTGTGACCACCGCCGGTGCCGCACCTCCGGCCAACAGCTGCGTGCCTGCTGCAACCACTCCCGTCAGCAAGGCGGACATGGAGCTTCTGGCACGACTCGAGGAGCAGAACAGGCAGGTGCTTCCTGTTCCCGGCAGGGGGAGTGTCCTCACACAAAGATCACGGTCATTCTATCGTGTCACAGCTAAGTTTATTGCAGAACTTGGTGGTGGTGGAGGGGTACACGGGATTAGGGATGGGGTTGTGTGTGCCACAAGCCTCTCTTTTGTGTCGTTGCCAGCTTTTTTATTGCAATGCCAAACCATTCTCACGTTTTCTCTTCTGGGATTTTTGGATTACAGTATTTTGTACGTGAAGCAAGTTCAGACTGAGTCCCCGCAAAATGGTCATCTCAGTTCCAAATTATACTTTAGCGAGTCGAGTTTACAACTGCAAGCACCTGTAGCTTATTTGACTCGCACGCATCTGAAGCGGCATTTTTATTGAGCATTGGATGCTGACTACTTTGTCAGAAATTTTATGATAGAAAATAATCGGTGAAATATTGCACATCCCAGTCTAGCTTGGAACAAGTTGCTTCTGCCCTAAAATTCTCTCCAGTACGTTTGTGCCACAAGATGAAAACATCCTGGTTGTTCTGGGGCACTAGAGACATAAAGAATAATTATTAGTATTATGTCATTGTTATTAATATTATTATTACTATAATAATGCAATGGATCTGGTGGGATGCCTGGTGCTGTCTTCCCGTTTTTCACATCCCTGGGGCATCTCCGCAGGCTGCTGGAATCGGACTCCAAGTCCCTGAACTCCCTGACGTCTACGCATTCGCGCAAGTCCTCCGACACGAGCCAAGTGTCGGTGGCGTCCGGGGCGAGCCAGCAGAGCTCTGCCGCCATGGACGACGAGGCTGAGGACACCTGGGTCCTCTGGGGCCGCATGGTCAACGAGTGGGACACCTACACCAAGAAGAAGAACGCCTTCGTCAAGGTCAGCCCCCTTGACTTTCCTTTTTGGCGGAGACCCGCTCTTTACCAGGCCTCGCACTCTGCAGTCAGAAGTTTTGTATATTCCTTTCCTTTGACGGGGATCCCTGAAGGCCTTCTTTCTCGAAGCCCTCAACCATTAGTCAATAAAGCTTTCTTTTTTTTTTTTTTATCCTGGCTGTTCCACGAAGAGACCAGACCATCTGCGCCGAGTGGGCGGGGTCGACTATTCTTTATCCTGAGGCTTCAGAGTAGGTTTGCATCTGTTTAGTTTTCTTCATTTACCCCTTTGTCGTTGTGGTCATCCAATACCACCCCTCAAGGGATGGGATCCCCCATCACTTTCGCCAATCCACAAGGGGTTCCCGAAACATGGGTAATTGAGGACTTCTGAGTTGGAGAAATAAGCGCAACGGAAGCTGGTCTTGAGAAGCCAAACAACCTTTCTCTTTCACTCGCAATTATCTCTATCGTCAGTTCTACACCGCATTCTCCTCGCGCAATTTTTCTAATTTTGACTAACTACGGTATACTTCGTTTCAGCTTAAGTCCAGACGGATCTGACACTACGGGCTAATGGAACCAATTAAGCAGAGTCTAAAGCGCAAATCACTGGGCCCTTCCTGTTTATGATTGTTTCAGCGATGATGGAACACGTACAGAACGGGCAACATGATGGTGCGCTTTTGACACTGTCTGATTGGTTCCATCAGCTCGTAGTGTCGGCTGCATCTAGACTTAAGGTGAAACGAAGTATAGTAGTGTTCAGAATTAACGCCGCTCATTCATAAAGCGGGAAACAGGAATCAGTTTTTACTTATGTGCTTGCTTTCACGGGACACGGATTTCTGAGGATTTGCCGCGAATAATCCGCTTAGTCGGGTTTTTCGGAGGTGGAATGCGGAGAGGCCGTAAACCTCGTGGATGTCGCAAAAAGGGGCAACAAGAAACGCTCTGGGTTGGTGTTGTTGCACGGGTGTGCCTCCTACACGACGAGGCTGTGGTGCTGGAATTTCCATGTCGCCGACCGGAGGCAAGACGGAGACGTCCGAGCTCCAGTCGAACGCTGAAGCGTCGCTCGAGTTCTACCCTATGCTTGTCTCCAATAGGTGGCATGAAAAAAATTTACCAATCAATCGATCAATCGCTTTATTCATGGCCTCGAAGCCAACAAAGCACCTAGACAAAAAGCTGCCCGAGGCAGCTTGACATGGTCTGGGGCCCATCTCAAATTTGTCAGCGGGACATTTATTGTAGGACACAAAAGCAACCTGCGTAAAAAAAGAAAGATTTGCAGAATAGTCAAACGAAGGATAATAAAATAAAAAGTTGCTCAACTTCTAGCAATGGTATCTAGGAGTCGTGTCCCGACAACTGTGCCTGGGAGAAAGGGGTTGTATGTTCCGACTTGTGGCTCTCCAATCCCAGGAGCAGGTGCGCAAGGGGGTGCCCCCGCACTTCCGGGCCATCGTCTGGCAGCTGCTGTGCAACGCTCCCTCGTGTCCCGGCCGGGAGCAGTACGGGGAGTACCTGAAGGGGGCGTCGCCCTGCGAGAAGGTGATCCGGCGGGACATTGCGCGCACCTACCCGGAGCACGAGTTCTTCCGGGAGAAGGACGGGCCGGGCCAGGAGGGCCTCTTCAACGTCATGAAGGCCTACTCTCTGCACGACCGCGAGGTGGGCTACTGTCAGGGGAGCGCCTTCATCGTCGGCCTGCTGCTGCTCCAGGTACCCCCTCCGCACGTTCAAATACACCCTTCCGGGAATACCTTCCATGTCTCTTCAACGCACTACGGCAATCCGAGGTACGGCGCGTGAAGCATTGCCCACAAGGATTATGTTTGTTTAGCATTTTGCGATTTTAGAATGCAAAGAAAGCAGGACAATAACAAAACGGGGTACATGTCGGCTCCGGGATGTGGTCGCCCTATCTTCTATGTGTTTTGGACTCGCAGTGATAAGAGAGAAGGAATTGAACCTGGGTCCGCTGCGTGCAATGCAGAAGCATTACCACAGAGCTATGCCATAGCGTTAACAGCCTGCTTTATACTAAGAGTTCTTGTAGTACCCGATGCCCACTGCACACGGTCTCTGGAAAACTGCAGAGAAACAGCCGATAACAAAATACCTCCATAGCACTGTAAATGCCAAGAGCTCGTGCCGGGAGAGGTGCGTTCACGTGCTCCGAAACAAAAAAGAAATAAGCGTTTGGAACAAAGTGGTCAGACGTCTATTTTGTTCCGAACGCTTTTGTTCACGCACCACACGGTGCATGAACGCGACTTCGATGCCGAACAACTTTGCCGTGACGCAGCTATCGCTCTGACTGTACTCTGGATTAAAGCAGGACTGCTCAGCTTTTTAAATGTCTGCTGCCAGTGCCAAAAATGGCTGCCCGGCAGCCGAAGCATTTCGGCGCTGACAAGGCCCTTCTCGGGGTTGGGGGACGATGCATCGCAGATGCCGGAGGAGGAGACGTTTGCCGTGCTGGTGCGCATGATGCAGGACTACCGCCTGCGCGAGATCTACAAGCCCAGCATGGCCGAGCTGGGACTCTGCATGTACCAGCTTGAGTGCCTCGTCCAGGTGAGGCTCCCTCTCTTTCGCTCGCCTTTTCGGTGCACTTCCGCCCACCTCTTTGGTCGGTACAAACGTTCCGCGGTTTGCAGGAGCTGGTGCCGGAGATCCACATGCACTTCCAGGCGCAGAGCTTCCACACATCCATGTATGCCTCATCGTGGTTCCTCACTCTGTTCACCTCTTGTTTGCCGCACACCCTAGCGTGCCGAGTCATGGACCTCTTCCTCTCCGAGGTGCGTGCGCTTGGCTTTGGCTCGGTCGGCATGAAGGGGTGTCGACGCGCCTTCTTGGTTTCTTTGGACGTCCTCGGAGTCGCTGAATGTCCCCGAGGCCTTCGGTCGTGCATGACGCAGTTCTGAAACAAAGTTTGATCGTTTCGGTACTTTGGTGACGTTCAATGACTCCAGGTCTTCCCTCGTCATCCTGTTTTCATTGAAGGCTGGAAGTTGAAAAGTGTTTTTGTGTCGGTACCACATGCACGATGCATATTATTTCTTCAGAAATAATATGCGAAAACAGAAAAACGAAAACCCAACTTGATTTATTGATCCTGGCCCTCGTATGCCTTTAAACTGTCGTCTCCGGCGGGCAGTGCTCCCAGTGTTGCCTGCCCCGAGCGGGCAATAATGCGAGCATAAGGCTTTTATACAGAAAAGCCATCCGTACATTGAATGTTTCACACGTATTGTGGTCAGGTTAAAGGCTCTTTTAGACATCGACGGTGCTGCTCGGCATTGCGTTTCATTATATGTATTCTGCAGCTCTCTGTTGCCATGGTGATGCATAACAGCATCTTTTCGTAAGTTGTAACGCAGTCACTCGTGCAGCAGTCTTAACCTAGCTGTTATGGGCTCTTTCCATCGCTAGAAATGACGTCGGTTGTCACCGTAATTGTTGACGTTGATGTTGTTATTTTGGGACTTTCGTCGTCAGTATTGCCAACCGATTGAAAAATACTGCGCGTTACTCTTGGGATTCGATCCTTGGTTCGCTGCGTTGAAGCGGGCACATTAGAACAGAGCTACGCCGTAGTTTTGACATTCCGCTTTATGTACGGTGTCTGTGGAACAAACATGCACATAGGAGTTGCGTACTGCCCACCAATAGTTGCTGTGAGGTGCCGACAGAAAAGGTTTTGTCATTTGTTAATTAATTTTAACTTTAATCAAAGTTAATTCTTGAAATTAAATGCTTCAGCTAAGTGGCGCGAGCTGCCGCCCGGTTCAGCTGTACCTGTCCATCCAATACCACTTGAAAGACGGGCCTGCACTTTACGTCACGGTTAGCGGATCTCTGAGCCACCCCAAGCGACAGACGCAGGTGTCTTGGCGTTTCGCTTGTTGCGAGACGCTGATGCGTCTTGCCGTTGGTCGCAGGGAGAACGGTGAGGTGCACGCTCGTGGGAACGAAGCCAATTGAGACTTGGGCGTAAAGACCCAACAGTGCGCGAACACAATCCCCATTGACTTTGCTGTGACTGGGATTAACGTGGGACTGCTAATTTCTTTGTGCTTCATTCCTTTACGTTTTCTCGTGTGAATGCAATGACGGGCTTTCCATGGGCACCACCAGAAAGTAGATGTACCATCTTTTTATAGATTTAAAAAAATATATCTACTTTTTTAGGTTGTTTTGTTTTTGGGAGTATGCAGTAGAATTGGTATGCATAACAAAGATTTGAATATACTAAAGCAAAGTTTGGTATCTCTACTGGTATGGGTATTTGAGTACATGATACAGTATAAACTCATTATGGCAAACCTCGATAGTGATAAAGATTTTGGTCTGCATACTCTTTTCGCGCTATTGCGTAAAAGGAGTATGCAGAATGCATATACTCTTGCTACAGGCTTTGAGGTTTATTAACGCGATAGCATTAAGGAGCTTGTGTTGCAGAAAAGCCGGCGTCGGTGCCACGACACGAAAATCCTGATTGGTCGATAGGGTCACGACGTCACAGCCACATGACATCGCGCGGGAATTTTGAATAACCCACCACGCTCATGTGAAATGTGACGTCATGCTGCAATGGAAGTGATTAAAACATGGCATGCAAGGTATAAGCTTTTTTTATATTGAGCATAGTTTTACGCACATCGCGGCTCAAAGTTTGGTTTCGGGCGTCTACGGCAAAACCAAAACTATCTGCTAGAGGTATGTCAACACTAATCATCAGCCGTACAGCCGCGACGTGATGTCGTAACGGTGCTCCGATACGTGGTACAACCAATCAACCCCAGCTTCATCGCAACGTCAGGAGCGTGGCACACCAGTGTTCCTGGACTAAAAGCTAACGCACTTGCCGCCCACTAAAGAGCAGCTGGTCGCATCTTTACTTTGACGTAATATTTTGGCTGTGATGATATTTCGTGCCATTAAAGCGATACCAGTAATTTATTTTGGTTTTGTTTTCGACCGGACGTGTCCTTTGAAGAAACATTTGAAGAATTTTAGGCGAGATTTGAACCCACGACCCTTTGGTTGTGCGCCGGACACACTACTGACTAAGGCACGCAAGGCACACTTGTCGCATTCCATTCTTAAAGGGAAGCTTAAGCGTCTTCCAAGTTTTGATCACAGAAGTCTGTTTAACCAATGAGGCTGATGAAATGTGGAGGGATATTAGAGAGGAACTGGTTTATTGTGCTTCTGAACTTTGAAGCATAGTGTTTTTTTATGGAGCTGTACCGACGATCCTCATCGCTGCACGCTTTAGGTCATACGAGGCTTGCGAGGCACTGAGCACAATGACAGCAGTTTGCAAAATGGATGTCATCGCTACCGAACCAAAGCCACGTAACGTTCAAAATAATGACTGCCGTCGAAGAGTCTGCTGTAGTGAAATAATGAACTGCTTGCAAACTCCCTAGTATTACATCCAAATATATGTTACAACAGAATCTTTAATGAGCGTAGTTGGCTCAACGGCATAGATAGGACGACCAACCAAACTTCACAAATCAGTTATAACCGAATGTCTGCTGTAACTAGATCTGTTGTAACGAGGTTATACTGTTATAGTAAGCATACCAATATAGGGAAAATTTTGTGAAAGGGACTTAGTATGGAAAGATTCTCTTAAGTTGTTTGACTTGCTGGGAAGAGACATGGTGGTCTCTCTATTTTGTGTATGATGCCGCACCCTTTCTATCGGAAGCTTGTGTCTGACCCACTTGCTCGGTCGCTTAAAGCGTCGTGCTAATTTTTCAAAAGGCACGGAAAGATAGCTGTTGCAATGGTGACGTGCGCATTTGTCGCTCTTGTTTTGCCTGGTTTTTGCAGGGAATGGAAATGATATTTCGGATAGCCATTGCCATTCTTCAGTTTTGCAAGGAAGACATTCTTCAGCTGGACATGGAAGGCATGCTAAGGGTGAGTTGTGAGAGGGGAAAGCTGCAGCACGCTGGCACTGAGTCGCGCTGACCGCGCATGTTGTTCTCGCTCTTTCTGTCCAGTACTTCCAGAAGGAAATGCCATCCAAGTGTGAAACAGATCCTGACTATCTTATAAACCTGGCTCTGCAAGTGAAGTACAACAGCAAGAAAATTAAAAAGTGGGTGCATCCTTTTTGTTCTTCGTTTGCAGCTGTGCCTTAAAGAAATACTGAAATGAAAAAAGTTTTTCTTAAACAGTATAACTGGGACAGATAGTTTTTTTATACTTTGTCCATGAACAAAAAAAAAAAAATTTTTTTTCGGAGCAATATTTATGCTGCTGGACACAATTTAGGTTGAGGCCACAACGCATTCTAAGCTCCGCCCACACACAGATCAGTAACCCTGTCCATTACTACTGGATTGGCTTGGTTGCTCGGCCGAACATGCTCGGAAGCCTATTGTCTCCATTTTCCCGACATCCGGTGTGTCTAGTCTGGGGGTCTGACACCGCCTGCTAGTCGTACGAGCGGACACATGGAAGCTTCCGGCATCGTCTACTAATCCACCCCCATCTATCGTCGTCTGTAATGCTCACACATGAACTTTAAAGCTGTGCGTCGACGTCCGTCTGCTATTCCGCCCTCGTCTAAAAACTTCTGCAACGCTTGCAAGACGCAGCCATGAAACAATGTTTTAGCGTTCCATCAGGCATGAGCCACGGTCCAATACAAGCATCTTTCAATGTGCAATAAAAGCGACCGAGAGGACTAAAAAAAATCAAAATAAATATGAAGTCCTTCCAGCTTTGCTGTCCTTGTTATTTTTTTCACATGGCAACCGCGAGCAAGGGGGTGAGCGTCATGACGCACAATTAAAACGTGACCTAAACATATTTGCATTCACAGGCCAGGTGCACCAGAAAACTTGAGAGCTACTTGTCTTTCAAAGCGAAATGACGGGAACAAACCTGGACAAACTTAATGCAAGCCGAACGCCCCATTGCCTCCAGCCAAATTGCTCGCAAATTCTTACCTGTCTAGGTATCTTCTCCTTCGTATATAAGCCATGGTTGCAATCACAACGGTCGGACAATTCATAGAGCAGCAGATCCACTTTTACTGGGATTAATATGTTTATTCAGCATCAACATGCGCGAAGGAACAAATCAAGCCAGATCAAACAGCATAGTTGAAGTGGTAAGCTAGCCTTAGGCCAGTCCGGCTACAAACCGAAGCACCTGCACAGTAACCACAGCACTTCTGAAGGCACATACCTGCGACAGTTGTTTGCTGCAAATCAGATTGGTTGAGGAGATCTTCGTCTAAACACCTCGGTGATTGCAGAACGACTCGCACTCGTAAGAAAAGACAAGCTCGATGAGCTGCGCTCGTCGATCAGACGGAAGTGGAGAGGAAATCTCAGAACATTTTTTAAAACAATAATGACTCTATCTAGATTATTTGTTTCTCAAATATTGTCGATTACAATCTATTACGGCACGGAGGTACAATTTTGCAACCAAAATCTCACACGTCGATCATCTCTCCAGTCATTGAGGGCCGAGAAAAGGTGCTTAGTTTTGTAAGTACCAGGTGGAGCCTAGAGGAGGGCTGCTCCGGCCTGAATGGCATATAACAACGTAAATATTAATTTATATATTCTTTGTCGAAAGATTTACAAAAAATATGTCCCATCTCGGCCCTTTAATTGTTTTCTTATTTCATTTTAGTGTTTTTTTCAAAGGGATACTGTAACAAACTTCTAGTGCCTATTTTGTTGTCTAAATGTCAACCATGTCCTGACCACACCCCGGAGAAAATTGTTTGCTCGAACAGACACCAAAGCATTACTTAAAAGAAATAAACCAAATGTCGTTACGCCACTCTGAACTTAAAAGCAACGCCGCTTCCCGGAAGTATGGCTTCAAGCTGCGTGCACGTGAGCCCCGTCGAACTTGGCTGAACCGGATTTCCCTTCTCTCCCTATTCAACTCCTGCAGGAGGTGGGGAAGGGCAACTGGAGAGGCCAGGTTCTAATGCGTCTCGGGAGCGCCCGAGACGCGTTGGTGACGTCATGTTTTCTTTCACGGCCAAGGCCACATGGAAGCTGGTATGGTCGCGAGCTTCGCCACTTGGTGGCATCAATGCATTATGACCTGGCCGTTTTAAAATAAATTAATGGAACTGCATTGTTACTGGGCTGCTGCAGGCTAAAGATACTTCTAAAAATGCACTCATTACATTTTATTGTGTAGGAAAATTAACCGCTCGACGTGTTCAGAAACTAAGCGCTCCCTATGCGCCGTGACAACATTTCCGCCACTAGAGAAGACCCTTTCATTCGAAACTGATGTAGCGGGGATGGCCGAGTACTTCTGGGCGAGGTTGCCTAAAAGTGGGTACTTGAAGCGGCCAATGCGCCGCCACCACTCGCAAGGATCCTTGCCCCTGTGCAGGAGAGGCTTTTCGGCTTACTTTGTCACTTCCCTCTCTGGGGCTGGGGCAGATGCCAACTGAGTCTTTTCTTTGTTCATCACTAGATGGTCAAAAGCGTTCCATACACTGGATGCCACCAGTGGACGCCAAGACGACACTGGAATGGCAGTGTCCCCACGCGGTTCCATGTCAGTTCCCTTGTCACAAGGTCTTTCGGCTAGGTCGTATGGTCAGATGCCTGATGAACTGTGGCTTTAAAACAAGGGTCAAAAAACATGGCCAGGCTCGCCACTTCATCAAAGTCACACTCCGCGAAGCGCGTCTACATTTGTTTAGATTGTTAGCAAACCCTGAGTTACCTTTGCAACCTTTTTGCAATGCAGCATTCCAAAAATAATTGGAATTTGACGTGACATTGAGGGGTACTTTTCAGCACTTGTGATCACAGTTGCATCAAACGAGGGCTTCAGTGCCTCCACAAACTCCACTACGTCTCTACACTTGGCAGAGTTAAATCCATCTATGGTAGTGTCCGAAGTGGCAAGCTCAAAAGGGATGGCTTCTTTGAGTTCGAGGAGCCGTCAGAGCATGAGGTACTCACTATTCCGTTTTGTGTCAACATCCTGGACAACATGGGGCACGTCTTTGTTCGGCTGCGTCTGCAGATCGTCCAGTCGTTTCTGCGCACTAGCGCTACGCTTGTAATGTCCTACAATTGACCTTGCCCTCTTGCACTGTTTGTTAATAGCCGGGGTGCATGTCCTCGCATAGCTGATGGCCAGCTGCACTGTGTGTGCGAAACAGGCTTGCTCGAACCATGGCAGTCTCCTGGCAGCCGCTCGCATATTGCGGCCGTTGTCCGGCACGATGTACTTCACGCAGTCGGTATCTCCCAGTTGGTGCATAGTTGCTCCAATGAAGCAGCCATGTTCACTGTCGCGTGACTCTCCAGCATGTGTGGCATGTTCAAAGTGAACCTTTTCATCTCAAATTTCACGGTCGGAGAAAGACATGTAAGGCTTAAAAGCCATAGTTGGCACGCGAGGTCCAGATATCGCTCTTAAAAGAGAGAGTACTTGTTCCGTCGTCAAGTGCCTTTCGCAGCTCGAACCATACCTTTGCTCTTGTGTCATCATACAAGTGCGGGAATAGCACGCGTGCCAATTTTGTTTGAGAGGGCAGTCCAGTTCTTTCACGAGTGCCTTGAACCTCCAATCTTGAACAAAGCTGTAAGGCTGGGGATCTAAGGCGACCATCTCTGCCACTTTCTGATGAAGTGCATTTTCTTTCTTCTGTGACAAGGGCTGCTTTCTCTGTTGAAGTGAATCATCGAGTGTCGGTTGACTCTTCGACGGTGTGTTCGCTGCATCTCTTTTGTACTCTTCCATCAAGAAAGGGTGCTGTTTCATGGGATTTTGAAGAATTGTGGTTGTTCCTGTCGGCATTTGAAGAACATGTTCGCACGACTTCCACTGAGCTTTCAACGACGAGAGTCTTGTGTAGCACCTCCAGAGAAGACTTTTTCTGGTTTTCTTTTCCTGCTTACTGAGTGGCTCATCATCCGCAGTCGATGCCATCCTCGGAGAACGCGCTCGAGCGAGGAGGGTATCCGCCACTTCGGTATCAGCACCGAGAGAATGGCGCAGCGGCGCAGCTAGCGCGATTTACGTTTTGGCTGCGCGGGAGTGGCGGAAGTTGTTGTCGAGGGCGACGCAATGTTCTGCTCGCACCTAGCTTTTTCTTTTTTTAATTTTCAAACATTTATATTAGATAACAATCTCAAGATAGGTTTATTTTATTGTATTAATTTACAGAAGGAGCAATTACATCACGTATTGCTATAAAAGTGTCCAACAATAGGCCGACACAGTGTTTCCAAACAAGCCTGCATTTGCCCAGGCCAGATGGGGGCACTGCACGAGCACAGAAACTAGATTTGCGTGAGGTGAAGCTTCTGCGCATGCGCCGTGGCTACAAGAGTGCCACCGCAGAGGCATGACGGCAGAGCCGCATGTTGGTCTCTAAAGGGCTTGGTGAAAAAGAAACCGAAACTGATCCTTTCTTGCCGTCATCAAACAGATAGAAACAGAGCAGACCGATAGATAACGCACACATCTTACACATTTCTCAACGAATAAACATATTCATAGGGGAATGCGTGGCAGGCAGATTATTTGTTACTTGATCGAATATTTGCAGTGCAAATATTCGCCACTTTTTCTGAATATTTTGTCACGGTTGAACATTCGGGAACTTCCAAATATGCAATTTTCGAATCGATTGTGCTCTAAATAAGAAAAAAATATTTGATTTGTATTCAAAATTTCGAATATTCACTCTTTTCTATCTCTAAGGGATTCAATGGCTTACTTAGGTGGCATATGAAAGCACCTTGGTCAAACAACAGCGTACCTATTGTTGTTGAATTTCTTAATATTAAAGAGCTGCATCCAACTGATTAGTGGCAAACAATTGGTACTTCGGTCACTTTGAAGAGCTTAATTAGTGAGCCGTGCGAGATTGATTCTGTCCACTTACAGAAGAAGGCTTGTTGGGCAATGAAGTTAGTTTTATTTTGCATGTAAATATGCATGTAACTTGCAACGTTTCCTATTTTCCAACCGTGGCTGCAATGTTGCCGTGAATGTTCCAATTAAGTTGGGTCAAAGCACTTTTTGGTGTCTGCTAAAACATTTTTCTCTCTAGTGCGCGGCTAATATGTAATGGTTCTAACCTGCTATCATATTGTAAATGCTTTGACTGCTGCTGGAATGTTGGATCTCTTGTGGGTTCCTTTGTTTCAGGTTGGAAAAAGAGTACACTGCTTTGAAGGTCAAGGAGCACGAAGACATGGTGGAGCTTCGGGTGAGCACTCACAGTTTTGGGCGTTCACCTTCATTGTTTACTCATTCACCTTTCTTGTAATCCTTTTGTTTGTTTTGCAGAGGCTTCGTACAGAGAACAGGCTTTTAAGACAGAGGATAGAACACCTCGAGCAGGTGAGGCCCAGCTTTTTCATCCAGGACTGAACAAGAATGAGCAAATCGCTCTTAGATTGTGTCTTCATAACAACCTTTCGTGCAATGTAGTCGAAGACATTCCAATATTATGTAAGTATTTTGCAAATATCTGCATATTTCACCTTGTGGATCTCGATGTTGAGGTCCAAACTAACGGTAAAGCATAAATTCTCGCCAACAAACAAATAGGGGCTTCCTGTCGTGCATCGGCCAGTGGAATTTCCCAAATTCTCTAGCAGTTTTAGTTAATTCCGAACGCTAACTGCAGTCCTTCCTCACAGCGGCAACGAAGGATCCGGTCACACCGTGAGAGCTTGGCAGGAATTCTTAGAGCTGACAACAGCCCATTCATGGACGAGAGCAGACGTCTGGGATGCCGTGCACACAACCTTGAAGCGCGTTTCATTCTGCATCTGGAAAAAAAAGACCGCCAATATACTGTAATCCTGTTTATTTTGGGACAAGGTCGCTAATTGGCGCCGCTGGCAAGCATGGCACTCATTTCAATAATGCGCGTAAAAAATAGAAAGTCGACCTCGGTTTTTTTGCGTCACCCGGTTCATTGTTAAATCGGAGCACCCTCGACTGCACCGTTCGTCGACTTTCGCCCAAGCCGTGCCGTCGACCTGAGAGGCCTTTGGAGTGGCTCAACTGGACAGGAAGGGTCTGGGGGAAGGCCTCTTTAATCTCCAGGTGGGACGAGTCGCGACGTCAAAAAAGCAGGAAATAATCTGAGCAGCAGGTGCACTCGAGGGTCCACACCGGCGTCCACCCAGAAGTGACTCCTTTGGGACGACACTGTGCGCAGGAGAGCTCGTCCCTGGCGGACCGGCTCATCCAGGGCCAGGTGGTGCGAGCCCAGGAGGCCGAGGACAACTACGTCATCAAGCGGGAGCTGGCAGCACTCCGGCAGCAGGAGCTCAGCGTGCAGCAGGAGCTCGAAAGGGCACGCCTGCACATCACGGAGCTGCACCAGGTCTGCTAACGCTCTCTTTGCCAGGATTGGCACGAGCAGTGCCTATAAATACTCCCATTTTCTAGTATTCTCGGGAAGTGGCATTTCTTCGATCACCCCAAACTTTGCCGTGAACGTTGTCATGTTTTTTTTTTTTTCTTCTATATGGAGTAGTACCTGCCCATTTCAAATAATGATAAACCTGAAAACTGGTATATCGAAAGGAGTTAAAACGAAAAAAAAAAGGGGGACATAGAGCATTTCAACCTTGGCTACGATCTTTATGTCGTCCATGCCTAGTATACTCCCTTTGAACATCATCATTGCCACAAGCGAAAATGTGCCTTCTTTTCATCTTCACGAGAGGAACGCAGTTGCACAAAAAAAAAGAAGGGGGGGGGGGTAATCTATTGCTCCACCTCCTGGTAACCTAACCTCCATTTTTCGAGGCCTCCGACAACCGTCGGAACAAAAAGCACGCGCAACGCAGCGATCAAACATAGATGAGCCAATGGTGTAAAAACCTGCACACAGACAAAGGATGACCTCGAATCTAAATATACCCGGGCACACCGCGAAATGGAAACGAAGGGGAAATAAAAAGGCACCTAAATATGCCATTTAGGACATCACGGATTGGAAATTGAGGGACCGGAAACAAAGGTGCGGTTCACACGCCGGTGGAAGAGGCCTTTGGGGCAGCGTGGCCCGGGCTGTCTTGGACGAGGGGGCTGGGGCCCTGGGTGCAGGCGCAGACGCAGCCCCCGTCGCTGGACAGCCAGACGGAGGACCTGCTCAAGTCGCTGCAGGACGAGCTGGTGGCGGTCAAGCTGCGGGAGGCAGAGGGCCACGAGACCACCAGGGGGCTCCGACAGCGCATCCAGGAGCTGGAGGAGGTGAGCCGGACGGTCTGAAGGGACGCCGCTCTCGCCCCGTCGGTGACCGGACGCTCGGGACGAGATGCCGAGCTTCCAAGCTCGCCATTGTTGAAACGAAAAGAAGATTCATAGCGAGCAACCGTCGTTGCAATCGAGAAAACGCCGTCAGGCTGCGGAAGCGGGCGAAGTGCGCCCGTATTTTGCTGCATCTCGCAAATGCAGCCGATTGCGGCGTGGATCTACACCACCGAACCTCGTCCGACACGCATGGCAAATGGAGCGATTCAAAATGCGACACTATCGAATCAAAGACCAAGAGTGCGAAATGTGTCCCGCACGCCTCCCGGACGTGCGGGACTCTAGCACACACCCTACTCCGTGTGCAGTTCGTGCTAGTTTTTTCGTTGCGCACCAGAGACGTTAGCCGGGATGAGACTGGACGAATGCGTGCGCCACACGGACGCTACCTTATATGGTTCTTGCACGATGCGCATCGACAATGAGGTGAGTGGTTGCAAGGTGCAACGTTGCGCCACTCTCGATGGCACATTTTGCTGGGAGCCCAATTCTTCCAGAACTGCTGCGCTACGCAGCTCAATGGCTATCCAACTGCCACCACAACAATCCGGGTTCGAGCCTCGCCGGGGTTATAAATTTTTTGTACAACCTTAATGTCGTGCAACGCTCCCAGCGTGTTGCTCGTTCCTCACGTTCGTTTTGGACGTTCGTTCGAGACGGTTTTCTCGTCGGAAGGCGCTCGTAAAATACGTTGCTCGTTAAAAGCGGGTTCCTCTTTCTGTGCTTGTGACATTGCGTGGCATGCCCAGGAGAACAAGAGGCACCGGGAGGTGACGCCCAACAACAGCGTGGCCACCCTGCAGGAAGAGCTGATAGCGGTGAAGCTCCGGGAGGCCGAGGCCAACCTGTCCATGAAGGAGCTCAGGCAGAAGGTGGCCGACCTCATGGCCGCCTGGGAGGTACCTCTCTCTTCTCAATCGCAGCGTCGCTGTTCTAGCTTCGCCATTTGCCGTTCTCTCAATGCCACCCCCTCCTCGTTGGCTGAGGAGCAATAATAAGAGGCTCACGATGCGTCACGTCCTGCGCTTCTTAAATCGCGCTCTCTGGGCTCTACGCTAAATATGTAGCAGCCTTGAAAAGGTTTTTTTTTGTAAAAAGTCATTTAGTATTTCTCTAAATTTCCTCCGCTGCAAAATTGGTTAACTTTTTGTTCTTCTGTGTCTGTGGCAAAATGTCACATTTTTTTTTTATAAAAGACATCCGTAAAGTGACAAAAAAATTCCATAGCGGGATTCCTTATTAAGTTTCAGTCAGGAAAAGGGAAGAATGAGCCTTCCCTGTTTTGCCATTATCAAACGATAGATTGACTAAAATGGAATTTATACCAAAAAGTGGAGCGGAGAAAAATATGTTCAAAGTGCTCCAACACTACCTTTTCTTTAGCTTATGTGGACAGAAAGTAATTTATAAAAAATTAACTATGCAGTGTAAACTAATTAAAATTTCTGGGAATACTCTCTAAATGTTGGTGGATGTAGATATGTTATTTTTCAAGATCAACTTTTTTTACATAAATTTTTTTTGGGGAGATAGTATCCCCCCTTGAAGTAAATCCCCCATCCAGCCTCGACAAGCCTGTACTGCGATGGTTTCCATGCAGACAGCTGCATTGAGACCACCCTTGTGGCATCACATGTTGCAGGCTCAGGTGCTCTCAAGCTGTTTGGGGCAGTTTTTTCACCCACAGAATCAAAAGTTTTGCGTTGAAATAACTGAGATACGTCCATTAAATTTTATATCTTAAGAAAATAATGAAACCACTCGAATGACTGCACACCGTGCATGGTGTACGGTCTGTTTAAACTAGTAAATAAACCGATCAAGCAGATCTTTATATTGCAGAAGTGAATAAGGAGGTCTTAACATTTAGGTGTATAAGTATCAAGAACAAACAAACTGCCTAGCATTATCTTCACTCCAAACTTTCATCACTTATCTTCACGAGTTCCCCCATATAATCGAGAGAAACTGTTCTCTCCGTACGCTAAGTATTTTTGTCACCTTCCTTAGATCCTAATTGCGCGACCACAAGTATACCTTGTGCAGCTTGTTAGAATATTTCGCCACTACCACTGAACATACCCGAGTTGTCATACGTAATCATTGAGGTAGAGGGTCTTAGAGTGATAAACTGGTATCCCGCCCATCAAGCAAACATGACCCCTTCCCTGGCTGCCGCCATGTACAATTTTGACCACTAGACACGTGACCGTACCAAATCCTGAGGCTTTTATGCAAAACTGAGCCGAGATTTGTATTGCGATCGCTGTAAAGAAAGAAGATAAACTATTTTTCGATACTGTTAGCGCCAGAGATCAGTGTCTTACTCCGATAAAAACCCAAAATACAGCACACAGGCTGACGGCATCTAGCAAAGCCATTGCGAAGCTGCACGAGTTTTTCTCGTAAAAGCACATTTTGGACTTAAAACAAATGAAGCATAACTTAGCTCGTCGGTACTGTTACTAAAGATCAATAAATAGTTACCTACGCATGGTACCTTGTTAAAACCTAGACGTAAAGCTATAAGGTCACGTGTCTAGTGATTAGCAATGGGCAACATGGCGGCGGGTGGGGTCACTTTTGGCTGAAAGTTTATCGCTCTAAGCCCCTCACCTCGCTGTATCTAATTGACCTTTCAACCCCTACATAATCAATGTGCGTCAGTGATAGCAATGATTCCTGTGTCTCCCCTAGCCTCCTGATATGTATCCAGTACGCCAACGATGAAAATAGTCGTAACGTGTTACAACAATTGACTGCAGAAGCTCGGCACATTAACATGGCAGGCAATCGGATAGTTAAGATAGCCATCAGACAGTGAAAAGATATATAGAGATTGCAAGAACGGCCTGTGGGCGCCGCCATCTTCCTGGTGGTGTGTGTGGATTGTCTGATAGTCAAGCACTGCTGAGGCATACCCACAGTCTCCAGACTAGCACCCAAAGAAAGCGTTTTCCATGCACGGTGGCCAGACTAGCTCTCAAAGCGCGATTGCTTGCAAACATTCACAGCAGTGGTTCTCAACCAATTGTGCGACGATCACACGACGTGGTGCGTGTAGACAGCGGCAGCTGTGCTGCTTATTCAACGATATGACGATGACGACTGATTGACATAGCGCCGATCGTGCGTCGTACGGTGATCTGATGTTGAAATGATCTAGCATTGATCTGCATCGATACGTGGTTGATGAATAAATGATTGTAAGTTCATGATGTGTTTTCTCGCCAAATTTAGCAGGGAAACTCAATTGGTGCATAGGTCACGTGACATAAATTTTTCTGCTAAATTTAGCGGGGAAACTGAATTGGTGCAAAGGTCATGTGACGTCAATTTTTTCCGCTAAACTTAGCAGGGAAGCTGAATTGGTGCATAGGTCATGTGACTTCAATTTTTCCGCCAAATTTAGCGGGGAAACTTTTCATTTACGCTCATGCTGTCGCAAAACCAGGGGTGAGGCCACTAACAACTGTCGCTGTCAAACTAAATTCATAGAAAGCAGGCTTCAGGTTCTGGAACGGAGTCGACTCTACTCGCTCGACACGCATGGTTTGGTCTATTTAGCTTTGTGGGTTAGCCAGCAGGAACAAAAAAAAAGTTTATTGCCTGGCTTGACTGACACTTGAGGGGGACCCCAAAGGATCTGCGGACCCGCATCTGAGAATCGCTGGTCTATAAAGGTTCTTCTATATGCATATCAACGACTGAAGTGCTGTAGCTGTTTTTGTTGGGAAGTAGTACAGATAAAATCTGAGATACTGAGGACTCAGCGTGTCGGCATAGATCTGCTGGAAAGCGTGGAACATATACGAATGCGCCTTCAGCTTGCGAGCATTCTTTTACCTTTTCTCAAATGATGCAGTAGAGAAGTAGTGTGCTTAATCTGTGCTAATGCCTTGCTTATAAAAGTGGATATCTCTACTCTTACCATGAGTGAGGGTGAGCAATTATTTTTTTCGCGTATTAGAACCTTTTGCTAAAGATGGCTGAACTTTCAAGGGCCACAAATGGGTTCACTCTACTCGAGGGTACAGGTTTTTTTCTGCGATTCAATACACCCGTGTAATCACCTTCAGATCAGTAGTTAATGATTGACCCTTGAAAGTCACCATATCCAGTTAAAAGGAAACTAATTGTGATGTGGTCTTTTTTTCTATATCTTACATATACTCTTAATTTAAGTGCAGATTGGAAAGCATCATTAAGAGGTACACTGCATGACACTGTTAGAACGAACTCGACTTGGACGCTTTATCGCCTTTTACTTTAAAAGTTCTGGCAAGCATCAAAATTTTTCAATGGCGGAAAGTGCCCCAGTTGAGCACTTGCCGGCATTGCAGCAGCTTCAATTACAGTCCTTAGTTATGAAAGGAAAACAAAACACCAATGATGGATTGTTTGCACTAACAGCATCACAGGGTGCACATCTGCATGCTAGACTTAAAGGAGCTGTGCAACGATTTTAACGTTGAAAGAATTGGTGTCTTCTGCTTTTGATATTCTTCACCTTGTCACAAATGACAGAAAACACACCTCCTTTCATTGAAATGTTGCGATTCCGCCATGTAATAGCGAGGCAAAACTTAAAATATTCCCCGACCTGCAGCCACGAGCGGCGGCCATGAGAGACACGCGGCATGACGTCAATGGGGAATCTTTTAGAAAGATAGCAAGTTGTGCGAATACCTGCTCGATAAAAGGTAACTTTTTTTTTATAAATCTTGTCGTTCCAACATTTATATAAATATGTCAAAAACCTGGTATCATCAACAAAACTTTTATTATACGGAATTTTAGTGGCGCCATCTATCCCAGGCCCACAAAACTGCCAGCTCTATCTGCTACCGCGAACAGCCGCCAGAAGCCGGAGGGGGAGGGGTACAGGGCCGGACAGGTATGGCCGGACCCGGATGAGACTTTCATCCTTTCACCATATTGTTCGCGCAGCGCCCAGCAGCACGTGGTCACGCGGTCGCGAGCGGATGAGTTCTCGCTGCTCACTGATGGCTCTAAAGAGATAACTTTTCCGGAACCCTGCGCCTACCCCATCAACGTCACTGCGCACATGACCCGGCAGACGACGTACGAGTTGAGAGGCGGCAAAAACCTGGATCTTCTTCATTTTTTAAAATAAAAACTAGGGTATCCAGGCAAAATCTGTTTTCTGGAGTTCACTTCAGAAGTGTCAGGCATCAACTTCCACAATTATTTAAGCAAAGCCCTGAAATTGTTGCATAGCTCCATTAAGTATGCAGTTGAACAGCCCTCGTGCGACGTTTCCTGGGAGGAGGAAGTCCAGCTGACTGGGCGTGTCCCGTGCAGAAGCACTTGGCGGACAAGGAAAACCCCCCGGAGAACCAGTCGACCCCTTCGCGCTGGAGTGGGAACAAGGCACAACTGAGCAGCCTCCAGGAGGAGCTGATGACAGCCCGGCTCAGGGAGGCCGACGCCACTGCCGAGCTCAAGGAGCTGCGCCAGAGGGTCATGGAGCTCGAGACGCAGGTTTGTCAACTCCTCTCACTGCCATGGGCATACCAACCGGGGGGGCAAGGGAGGCGCTTGCCGCCCCCAGTCCTCAGAGTTGGGGGGGGGGGGGGGGGGGGGGGGGGGGGGGGCAAGGCATCTGTTTCCCCCCCCCGGAAACAGTTGCCACTGGGCAGGGCAAACACTGACCGGCGGCGCCCAAGGGATGCCAAGGGCACCGCCCACCGGCCTTGGGGGGGGGGGGGGGGGTCTGGTTTGCCCCACCACTCAAAAACAAGTTGGTACACCACTGCTCACTGCCTAGGTTTCTTCCATCGTGTCGAAAAACCTGGGGAAACACCTTTCTGTGTCTTCCTCTATCTTTTTCAGCACGATTGTATACCGCCGGTGCCTGCACATTGACTCTTGCTGGGCTTTGGTTTTTGTCCGTCGCAAGACCACCAATAAACTCTGAAGCAAGCTGATTTCCGTGGGTCACATGCTGGGGGTGGAAGCATCCAAAGCTGGTTCTAACCTCTTGTGTGATTCAGCTTGCAAAGTGGAGATTACAGCATCCACTCTCATAATTAAATCTGTTTCCCTAGAAATCGAAGCTATTTTATGAGGGTGCAACGTGTATAATATTTACACGAATATAACGCGACCACGAACTCTTAAAACGTGAGCCGAGGTTGCGTAAATTTACTGCACTCGGGGGCATAGAAGTGAGAAGGCAATTGAAATAGAAGGAATATCAGTTTATGTTTTTGACTGCACCCATCCTCGCTGCTCAGGTCCTTTTGTTTGCAATCCACTTGGCGACTTCGCGGATATGCAGCAGCACGGCACCGCTTGTTTGGTAGTTCCTTTTCTTCAGCGTGAGCTCCTTGGCGGCCCACAAGCAAAGCGAGGCACAAAGAAGAAGCACCAACACATAAACACCAGACCACTCCGAAGCAGAAACAAAAACTTTCAGCCTTTCCACTCTGGTGAAGAAGGAAGACCAGCGAAGCTGTGCTATGGTGGGAATGAAGTAATGGCCGGCCGCAAGTCGGCAAGCCAGAGTGGAAAGGCTCGAAAGGTTGCGCCATCTATGAGCGACGGCGGCAAGCGGACAACTGGCAAACACAACACTCTGGACAGCTACCGCCATCTATGAGCAACGGCAGCAACCAGAGTTTTGTGTCGACATTTCTTTGCGGGGGACACGATCCTGGGGAAACTAGCCCTTAGGAGAATATCGAAGTTCCCAAGCCCTATGCAATTCCAATGGCAACTTTTTGATATTCTTTCTCAGCAACCATCGAATGGATCGAACTGGGAATGGTTTTATTAGAAAGATAGTAAAGAACTGAGTAATGTTGTGGCACTACATTTCCCGATTTAAATGTTAACATTGTTTTACGGGAACTTAAACTTGCTTGTAAAGGCCCTTTTTGCGTTCCGTTCTTCATGAACATTTAAAAATAAATCGGGGCCTAAATACAAATTCAGGCGCCACAGTATTGAAGACCAAGACTTTTTGAATATATCTCTTACAAGATCTTTTTGCCGGAGATTCTCATTGTGATTAAATCTAAGTTTGTGACCCATCAAAATGCCAGAAATCGAGCTGTCAGCTGGCGCCATCTATGAGCGTGTTGCTAATACTTCCTCTTGAAATTGCGCAATGTGTTATTGCGCCCCGGACTACTTGCATCTTCAAGGTCGTCGGGTTGACGGTCAGGATTTCGAGGGAGAGTTCCTCTCAAAGCTTTTTTTTATTTTGGCGGGCATAGATATTTTGCGCATTATCGCGATAGTGAGTAGTAGGTTGTCCATCGCCCGAGCGCGTCCTTGGGAGAATGTTCCGTTCTTTGTTGGTGTTTTGGGGTCGCACAAATGCGAGTGAAAGGTCTCTTGTTTTTTCCTTTTTTGTTTGCAGCGAAGATATTTTGCAGGTGGGTGAGAGTCATTAGTTTTCAATCGCTAGAGCGCATCATTGGGAGCATGTTCCGTTCTTTGTTGGCGTTTTGGGTCACGAAAATGGGGGTGAAAGATTTCACGCTTCAAGCGGTCCTTGCACGAGTCCTGAAGTTACCAAATGGAGGCAAACAAAAGCTACTGAAGTGTCAAAGGGCCGATACTGTCTTACCACTTCTTTCTGTTCGAAGTAGGAGAGGTGATTTGATTTGGCGATTTCAAATATTCTGCAGAGATGCATTTAAAATGTTTACATATTTTAAATGCAGAAAAAACATACGTGAGTACGTCGATTTTGTTTTAATTTTTTGCTTTGCATATCAGCTTGTGGAGGCTGATTTTAGACCGTAATAAAACAAACGTTGCAAACAAATTTTCAGTGAAGCTAAAAACAGAACAAGCTTTTTGGTAGTAGCGCGTTGCACATTTCTATTTGGAAGTTGTGAAAGTCTCGCGCTGAAGATTCTTCATTTGACCCGAACCAAAACATTCTTGATTCAGTATTCTATGAAATAGAGGCAAATGTATTAGACATGAACCCGCACACCTTTTATTATGGTGTTCGCCGATCGCACGTCTTGGCTGCGATGAGCCTTTGGTCGGCTGTCACTGTTGGGCGGCCAAGAAAATCTCACTGGAGAAAAGGCGGCGTTGAAAAGCTCACCGGAGAGAAGCTCGCCGGTGAAATGCTCACCGCAAAACGGACAAATGCGGAGAAAAGCTCATTTACGAAATAATTTATTCAACATTTAAAATTTAATATTCTCAACATTGTTCGCACTGCGGTGTTTATATTTAAAACTCACGTCCACACTTTGCTCACCGCTCATTCTGCGCTTTTTGCGTGTTCGTATAGTTGTAAATCCAGGGGTTCTTGTTCAGTCCCAGAAAAATAGCTTACTTTCTAAAAAAAAATGGGGAAGAGGCAGACGAATCCACAGTTTTGCAGAATGCGAACAATTAAAAAAGTGGGGAACTCACTTTTTTTTAGTTATCATATACATGGGGACAGGACATTGCCTCAAAGTTGAGTACTACGAACAGCAACAATTGTGCACCTCCGTCTCGGCACCCGACGACCCCTGATCTCCCAAGAAGTATCAAGTCCGTCTTAGGCCACATCACTGAAAGAGGTCATTGTTTATTGCGAAGCAAAAGAAAAACGGAACATAATATTCCCGCATGCACAGCTGGCCAGGTAGGCAGCGCGCCCGTGACTTAACAGTTATCGTGCTTACCTTCGACGCAAATGGCCGAGGTTCGATGCCCCGTAACGGATACACTTTTTTATTGTTTCTGTAATGTTGCGTTCTGGTAAGTTCTAGAACCCTGTTGCTTATTCGAGGTTAGCTGATTCTACCGCCGAACCTTCTACGCCAATTGTTCCAGAAGCCCATGCGTGTACATAAGGGGCTCCGCATGGCGAGCCGCAGTCAGTCTCGATCCTGCTGTTTCCCCGACATCGATGCCTGCGACGCTAACCTTCTATTTTGTTCACCCGGTTAAACGTTTAGTTTCTAAAGTTATTCACCACCTCATCAGTTGTCATTCGTGACAATATATTTATCCTCTGGATGCAAAGGAAAAACACTATTTACAAAAACGAGAAACAATCTGGCCAGAAACCATGATGTTTCATAAAATGGCGTTCTACGAAACGGCGAAGAAATAATGTTAGATCAGTTTGTAAAGGTGAGCTTTTCTTCGCATGTATCAAAAGTCTGGTGAGCTTTTCTCTGCCGGAGAGCAGCGCAACACCGAAAAGCTCACGGGAGAAAAGCTCATCGCAAAACTGACAGACGCTGCGAAAGCCAGAGGGATGGCTTTCTAGCCTTGTAGCTAACCTCAATTCCGAATATTTATTTATTATTATTTATTTGAAAATACTGCAGGCCTTTCTCAGGCCCTGGCAGGTTACAGGCAACAATACACAATAGTACCATACACAGCGCTAAAAAGAAAAAAAAACGACAATACATAAATTCATAACTACGGAGAACATAGTACAGTAAAAATTCCATCGAGCAATGACACAAAAATTAAGCCCTTACTGTTTTCAGATTACATTCAACGAATGCTGATACAAAAAAAGGATGAATTTTAGGATCTCCTACATGTTAAAATCAATGACATTTTGACTATAAGATTTCCTAAAGTGCTTAGTCAAGCCATCTACGAACGACTGCGTTTCGCAAATTTTGATTAATTCCTCCGGCAACAAATTCCAGTCTTCAATGCTATGAACCAAGAACGAATACTTGAATGTGTCATTATGGCTGATATACGGTTTGATCATTTTACTGTGGTTAGTTTGATTAGAGTGACTATGTGGTTTCCTGAAATAATTATCTGCTCTCATTTTAAGGTGACCATGATAAAGTTGATGCAGGAACTTTAAGCGCGCAATAATCCGTCTAACACCAAGACTTTGCATTTTCGATTGTTCAAGCAAATCGGACCATGCTCTCCGCGTGCCTATATTTTGAAAAAATAAATCTTAAACCCCAGTTTTGAATTTTTTTCTAGACCGTATGAAAGATATATAGTTGGTGAGGGTCCCAAATGATGCTTGCATATTCTAACGTAGGCCGAATTAATGTCTTATAGGCGGTTAATTTGCATTCTAGTGTTGTATTTTTTAACTGTCTCCTCAAAAAGCCCAGTTTTCGGCGAGCAATATTGCACACATAATTAACATGCGCGTCCCATTTTAAGTCCCGCGTTATTTGAACTCCTAAGTAAACTTGGTCTGTTTCAATTAGGGGGGGGTGGAACAAATCTCATACTTAAATTCAAGAATTTCTTTTTTGTGGGTTATTGTCATTGCTACCAATTTCTGGTAATTAATATTCAGTCCCCATTCCAGACACCATTTTGATAAAGCATGTAATGACGAATTCAAATTTTCTTGATCGTTCTGCTCAGTTACATTAGAGTATAAAACGCAGTCGTCCGCGAGAAGTCTCACCTTTGTTGATGGGTGAACGTTATCGCCTATGTCATTCACATAGATGAGAAACAACAAGGGCCCGAGCACTGAGCCCTGTGGCACACCAGAATACACACTGAGAGACGGTGAACACTTTCCACCAATTTCCACAAACTGCACTCAGATAGGCACTTATCCAGGATACAAGTTTGTGATTAATACCAATAGTGTGAAGTTTATGAATTAACTTACTGTGAGGCACTCTGTCAAAGGCTTTTGATAAATCAATGAAAATGGCATCCGTTTGACCTGTATTGTTAATCACTGCTGCGAAATCATGCACTATCTCACTCAGTTGTGAAACCATAGAAACACCAGCTCTAAACTCATGTTGATTACAAAAAAATAAGTTATTCTCTTCCATGTAAGTCCTGATGTGTTTACTTATTATGTGTTCCAATAGTTTACAGCATGTTGAGGTAAGCGAAATAGGTCGATAGTTATGCAAAAGTGGCTTGTTTTCAGTTTTAGGTATTGGGATAACCTTGGCACGTAGCCAGTCTTTTGGCACTTTACATTGCAGAAGAGATACGCTATATATAATGACTAAATATTTCAACGCGAGGTGCGTATAATGACTAAATATAACGCGAGGTGCAATTTAAAACACATAATTTCGAAGAAAAAAAAAAAAGTGTTTTATATTTATGCAAATACAGTATGTGAGGGTAACTGCCCAAACGTGTGGCAGGAATGAGGTTAATTAGTCCCAGCTACTGCATAGTTAAGGTTAAGGTTAATTTAACGGAGCACAGAAGGGTGAAGACTGAGAGAAGAATGCAGGATGGGTGCTAAACTAGAAAGAAACCAAACTTTTATCGATAAAATGGCTCGAACAAAAAACCCCGCAAAGCAGCAAAATAAACTGTCGAAGGTGACGTCGGCATTTGTGTGTGTCAATAAAATCAACTTCCTTCTTGTGCCAAAAAAGATTGAGCGCTGGCTGACGCAGTTTACTGTGCACTTCTTTTCTATCGCATATGCAATCGGTGGGTTGTGACACCTAAAACGTTGGGACGATCGCAGTTGTATTTCTGTTTCTGCCCACCCAGAACCAGGTGAGCCTGAACCAGATCCGGAGGCAGGCGGAGGAGATCAAGAAGTATGACGAGATGTCGGACTCTGTCTCCGGAAAGGAGCGGGAGCTGCACGCTCTGATGCAGGAAGAGGCACGCAAGCTCTCCAACCTCGAGTCGCAGGTAGGGGCTCTGGCCGCTCTCTGAAAAACTGCCTTTACCTCGGCACCGCTTCAAGCTCAAATACTCTGTTTGCACGATTGTAATGCACACTTTTCTTTCGCCAAAATCTGTGACCAAAAATACATGCGTGTATTTTGGTCACAGAACCAGAACCTGAGACTCAAAAAAGAAAAACACAGTACTCAGTATGAGGTGGCTAGCACCATCACCATCGTGACCGTATTCTCTCGTATCTAGACTCTTGTCCGCAGTCCTAATATGGAAAAAGAAAAGAAATGCAATTAGGAGGCATTTTTTACACGCTAATGGGAAAAGATAACGGAGCAGCACCGCGTGGCCTCGCAATCCCAGCGACCCGACGAGCGCGCAAAATGTTTGAAAGACGACCCTGCCAGAGGCGATGGTCACGCACTCGTACAAGTGCAGCAAGCGCGGCACCTAAGGTGTTATAGACGAAACCAAGGATTACCTTTATGGACAGCGAAGAACCAGCGTCGGACTCCGACAACGGCGACTAGTGCACAGTACTTATTTTTCTATTGGCCTAATAGAACAGGTTTCATGAAACCTGTTCTATTAAGTATCTGTTCACCTTTCCTTTTTTTTACCTGCGCGATACAATCGGCATCGAGTTATTTTTCGAATGTTTGAGCGCTAAATATACCTGCGCATTACAATCGGGGTCGCGTTACAATCGTGCAAACAAGGTAGATGATGGCATCCTAAACCATGTATCAAACGCGTAGCATTTATAGGGCCAGCATTAGAGATTTCGTGTTCATGGACGTAGCCTCGACGACGTTGTGATGTCACTTAATACCCTCGCATCACGTGGCTGTGATTTTATGGTGTCGGATGACATGACTTCAGGCAACACCACGACTAGACATTGTCGTGTCTAGTCATTTGGCATCACTCTCCTCTCCCCCTTAAAGGGCCACTGAAAAGAAAAAGCCGTCTTTTTTAAACAGTCTGGTTGGGACACGCGTGTCAAAAAATAAACTTTACGCGAAAAAAAAAATATTTTTGGAGCAATATTTACAGCGCGAGATTCATTTTGAATTCCACGCAAAAAGTCCATGACGTCACGGAATGGTCCTACACTCTTTCCACCTGAACGAGATGGTCATACTCTCTTTCCACCTCAGCGTGAAGGCGAAGCCGATCCACCTCTCCTCCACCCGTCCGAAATTCCCGAAAGACAAGTAGAGAGAAGAAGAGCACTGACTAAATTGCGTCTCGTGCCGTCAAAATTCCTCTAAAAAAAATGTTGTTTTTTTTCACGTAAAGTGCATTTTTTGACACGTGCGTCGCAACCAGATTGTTTTAAAAAAAAAAGACTTTTTCTTTTCAGTGGCCCTTTAAGAAAACAAACTTAGTGCAATGTTTTGCTGCGAGACACATTTTAAGTTGGAGGTGATTCCAAAAGGAACTTCTCTTTCGAGACACGAGCCCAAAATAAGAAGCATGTTCACAAGTCACTCGAATGCGCCTGCAACGTAAACATTACGCTGGAAGTTATATTTTTTCGAGAAAAGATTTTTGTCACGTACGTGTCCTGCCAATCCCCTTAAAAGAAACATGTACGAAGGAAAGAAAAATATTTTTACGCAGCCTGGATGGAAAAAGGCTGTCATAAAAAGATTTACGATAGAAAAAAAAAATATTTTTAAGGTATATTTACGGCGCAAAATGAATTTGTAGTTGGCACCCGCGGGACTGGAGCCCTTTGCCGCTGCTTGACGAAGGGCTCCGGTCCTCGTGATTGTCGAGCAGCAACGTTGCTTTGGAAGATCCGACATGTTAGAAACTCAAACATGTGGCACCCCTTCGAACTGAAAATTGCTAAGGTTTTGTTTGTTAATATATGATTCAAAACGGAAGTGGCCATTTTCTTACGCTTGTTGTTTCTCAAACATCGAAACAATTTGTTAAAAAAAGAAGCACATAAAAGAAACAAAGGTTGTAATAAGTAACTTTAGAGCCCATAGGAAGCTCGCGAAAGAGTGCAAGCATTGTGTGACTAGTGGCCAGTCACGTGACTGCTACTTGCCACTTTTCTGCGGGCTCCCGCAGGTTTCCAACTACAAATTTGTTTTGTGCCGTAAATATAGCTCTGAAATTATTTTTTTGTTCTTGTAAATTTTTTGACATTTTTTTTCCATCCAGGCTGTTAAAATTTTTTTTTCCTTTGCATATTTTTTTTAAGGAAAAGTTTTTTTAGAAGCTTAGCGTTCTTTTAAGGGCAGACCAACCTGTTGCTTACAGTAAATGTTCATAATATCCAGTTTGTTTTTTGCTCGTTTGATACTACCTTGAATGGTAGCGGTCATGCGAAAAAAAACTGGGAGGGCTGACAGCTGCATGCTTGGGCTGCCAGTTTTGCTCTTTGGTACACATTTGCAGTATGCGCGCGAATAAGGAGCTGTAACGAGCTGCCGTCTTACGGGCCCACGCAGATGAAGGAAGAAAGGATGAACGCTCGTATTCGGGAGGTGGAGCACAGCCAGGTCATTGCCGAGTTGAAGCAGAAGATCTCCTCCCTGGAAGTCAAGGTGAGAGTGTTGCCAGCACACGCCTGCCACAGGCACTGGGACCACCAGACGCTGTGCAAGTTACTCTTCAGAAATAAGCTGTTCATTTGTATTATAACCACAGTGCAAAAAGTAACCGAGTTGCGTTCCAAGTACTGTAGTTGGAAAATATCCATCCCGGTGCTCTGCAGTTTCTGTTCAAAGGTCTCCGATGCTGAAAAGAAATGGGTGCGTCTCGATTCAGCACTCTGCTTGCTTACGAAGCAGCGACAGTGCGTTCATGCTGGGACTAGATGCGAGGGAATTTGCGTATTTGTTGACAATAATTTTGAGGAGTAACTATCGGTTAGATTTTACTTCGAAATTGTAAACGAGTTACAGTTGCCGACATTTCATTGTACCTTGAGAAGTATGTTAGAGGTTTTAAGGTTGTAGGTATATAATTACGGCAGAGTCGAACACTTTTACTCGGTTTCTTTACGGCTCTGGTGGTCGCCGAGCTTTTTTGGCTTCTCTGGCCGACGCTTGTGCGGCACTCTCGGAAACATTTGGCGAGCTCGAGTTCCCCCTTTCTGTGGCCGTCTGCGTCACAGAACCAAGAGCTGTTGACCGCGGGGCAGCTGAGGGGCAGCACGGAGTCTGAGGAGGTCAAGGAGCTCCAGGACAAGCTGTCTGACCTGAAGGCAGAGGTGAGCATAGGCCCCGCTTCGCCGCTACACCGCCACGGGGCTTTTTGTCACACCTGTGTGCGGCCGAGTTTGCGCTGAGTTGCGTGCACGGAGGAGTCGCAGTGCTTCTCTGCACCCTGCCCTCCACTGCACAGCCGGCTTTGACGCGCACTTTTGGGGGCAAGCTGTCGTAGTCGTTGCTCCCGACGCTCGGGTTCGAAGTTTCCCAGAAGCTTCGTCGAAGGGCTTTGAGAATTTCCCCAAATTCTTCGGACGACAGTCGGACTGGCTAAGAGGTCTGCCGAAACGTCGTCCTGCCTCGCTAGCGTGTTTCCTTTCAGAAATTGTTTTTCTCGTTTTGGTCGCCAATGAACCGGTTTTCCTTCTGTCAACTTTGACACTAACGAGGGGAATCTGCGCCGGGCGTAACGGGCGACATTGCTTTGGTGCGCCTCGAAGGGCCGCTCCCGACTCGGTGGCGTAGCGTGCGGCCGGGAGCGGCCCTGGGAAGGCGAGCGGCGGGGACCCCCGTCTGACGGCGCAATGCCCGTGGGCCCTGTTGCAGAGGTTCCGCTTAGAGCTGAGCTCCCCAGTGTTGCCCAGCTTGTTGTCGCCCCTGACCCCCATGGGGTGGGACCCCGCCTCTTCTCTGGGACAGCTCTAGGACTCTCTCTCTCGGCGAGGTGAACCATTAACCCTCTCACTCCCCACGCTCTTACCCTCTCCCCCGCACGGGCCTGCGCACGACCTGGCTTGCCATTTGTTTGGGGCTTCCAGAGGGTGACCGGCTTCTTGTTTCGCTGTTGCCCAAAAGGTTTGCACGTTCGTTGCTCCACTGGAAATGTGGGGCTGTGTTTTCCCCGCGTTTGAAAATGCTGCCGTCTCGGCACTTGCACGAGGCCGCTTCGCAGTCGTTGAAATCATGAATGCGAGCCGTGAGCCTTCTAAGCTTCTTAAATATTATTTTAGTTTTCGATTGCACGCTACACTTTTGTGGACCTTTGACCTTGAAGGTGTTCTGACTCCCTTTAAAGCTTTTATTTGTGGCAAACGAAAGTAGAGACAGAAGAAGTGTTGGAGCATCTTTGAAAACATTCTGTGGTCTGTCAACCCCCTCCAGGTTGCAAGTAGTGGTTGCTGCATTTGAGTCCAAATACATCTCGGCATGTAAGGAGGCATGTTTCCATTGGATGAAGCATTCCTACAAGCTCTTGAAGATGCTGTCGGGCAGCTACGTGCCACATAATGTGTGCATGTGGCATTCCTCTTTTTTGCACTTCCTACACAATGTTGTACTGTAACTATACAATTAGTCAACTACCACTAACCTTGATGAGCCTTGCCCACCTCTGCAATTTGTTTTAATTATAACCGAGTATAATGCACTTACCTCATATTTGCACACAGTGAACTGGTGTGAAGGAAACTGTACATAGCTTAAAGGAAGAATAACCTAGAAACGTTGAAATCTTTTTGTGGGCACCACATATTATTTGGATTATTGGATGGCAAGGGCCGAGTTTCAAGTAGTTTGTGAAAGAGACTGCAGGGATAAACAGAAAGAGCGCAGAAAGGAGAGACGAGTGCCGTCCCTCTCTCTCATCCTTCTTAGCTGTGGTGTTGGCCTGTAGAGCTTGCAACCCAGTTGGGATGCATCATCCTGCATCATTTATTTCTGCCTGCAAGTAGCATCCCTCCTTTCTGTTGCTTAGTGACGCACGCTTATTTTCTTCTGGCTGTGCTCGTTTGCTGTGCCTGTTGACGGATGCTCTGTAGTTGTGTGCCTTCGTTTGATTGTGCTCTTACCATTTGTGCTGTGTGCCGATTCTGTGTGTATTTACCTCATAATTTTTTTTAGAACCAGCCGTGCAGATTCAATGATTCAAGATTTTAATTAGCACAATGAGAACTAGCAATTGATGTAAATGTCCGTGCATTTGCATGCTAGGTCGGCGATTGAGCAGTCCAGGCACGCTTCAAGCGACTGTCAGCGAAGTTGCGTCTTTGCCTAGGTGCAGGGATAGCCCTACTTTACGAAGAAAGAATGAAGGGGCAGTCCTCGCAGATTTGTGGATTGGAACCTTCGAGCATGCATTGCTTGCCGTTGGTTAGCTGTTTTTTTGCAGTCAGTGTGGATAACGTGCAAATTGAGGACGCCTCTTACCAGGACAAGTGGAGCCCTGTCTAAGGCCATTAGCATATCAAAGGTGCTGAAACTAACACAGCACACCAATATCATAGCATCCCAATTTACGCAGGCTTTCTTTCTGTTTTCTGTGTCAACCATGTCAGTGTGATTACCTCATTCTTTCTTATTTGAGATACCTACTCCCACTCTGGGAAAAGTGTTGTAAAAGACTGACGATGTCGATAAATAAATAAATAAATAAAATGTAGCGCAGCAAAGTTAAGGTAGTACCGTAAAATATAGAGCATCCGCCCATTTTATATTAAGTGCTCACCCCTCAATTTTGTAGCATTCAGAAAATATGCACAAGACGTGTTGCTGACCTGAGGGATGCCCATCCTCCAGTTTTACACGATTATCTTCAAACTTCGAGTGGGCGCTTGCTCGAGATTTTATGGTATTAGTATTATCTATTTCAGTTCAAGAGAGCTGCAGCATGCTTGTAGCATACCGGTGAGGGAATTCAAGGTACAGCAAAGATACATAAAGAAGTCTTTTCCCGAGAGGAGGGACTTCAGCGTAGGCATCCTCTTTCCGAGGGATGCATGTCCTCTCGTGACCGGCTGTTCATCCCCGTCCGGGCACATCAGGTGATGCGTCTGCAGATCATGAACAAGCGGCTCGGCTCGGCTCTGGCCGTGGCCCGGCTGCGCAGCCAGGACAGCCACAGCTCCGGCAGCTCCCCGTCGGGGCCCCCCAGCGGTTCGCCGCCGGCCACACTGGCGCTTGGGCGCACCACCAGCCTGGCGGACGACCGCATTGCCGAGCAGCTCATGCAGCTCGGGCTGGAGCTGTCCGTCAGCCAGCACCCGACCTCCAAGGCCAGGCTGGCCAACGGGGACCTCTGAGCCGCGTCTGCGTCCTAGGCCTTCTTTACTTGCCGCGTCGCCTGCAGTGCTATTCGCGACGTGGTGTCCTTCGTTGCGCGCAACGTCGTAGAACTTTGCAGGACAGACAGAAGTGACTCGAAGTTCCCGGGCACGTGCTCTCCCGAAACGAGCTACGGGAACTCTACAACAGCTGCGACTGCGCAGGGTTTCTATGGGACTTCCGGGTCCCCCAGATCGAATTGTGTCGTGCGACTTTGGTTTGGCGGCAGTGGACGAGGCGACTCTGCGAGGTGGATAAAGCTGGTTAGGTTCAACGACACTTTTGCACCGTTTTAGAGGTGGCCCTGCGTCGCGAGTGTCCAAAGTTACTGAAAACACTAACAAACACATTTAGAGTGTAGCGCTACTTTCGGTGTGCTAGCAGCATTTTAGGGGCTCGTTTCTTTCTCTGCCTCCTTTCTCTCGCAGAGTTGGGCGTCTTTGTATTTGCCAGCTTGGATGTTTCCCGGGCACGGGAAGCACTCTAGCTTAGGGCCTGCACAATCTCTCTGCGACGACATCGTCCGGGGCTTGGCCGAGCGTGCCGCTGTTTGCCGTCGGTGGCTTTTTGAAACGCCGTCCGATTGACCTCGGTGGCAGTACTTTGTTTCCTCCCGGGTTTCGTCCCCCGGGGAAGGCCCCAAATTGCGGATTGCGACTGCGTGGCAGACGGCACGCTTCAACACTATGAGAAAAGCGACCAATGCACGTGCAACCTCGTGCCTAGTTGCACTCATTTTTCATGTCCGATTGAGATTGTAAGAGGGACCCGCGTAATACCAGGCATAATAATGTTGTGCGCTCATTTCGGGCTTTCAGCCGAGGCAACACGGTTCTGGAAAAAAGCAGACTTACCGACTCATATTTTTTTTTATGCAATCTTGTTTTTATATTGTTGTTTTTCTTCACAATTTTGGTACGTGTGATTTGCTTTATCAGCTTTCGAGTTCTGTACAAAATGTAAAGTATCTGTAAAAAAAACTATTCCCTCGTGATCGTCTCCTTTGTTGAGGAACAATTTTACGGGGAAACTTAAAACTGGCATTCAATTTTCGCTTTTTTTTCGCATGGTGCGTAGGTTCTCCAAGCACATCGCTGGTGCATATTTACTACGTGCAATGGCAACTTGCTCTCGCAGACCACTTAAAACATGTTTTCGTCTAACAAGAAAATGCTATGTATATTTTTGTTTGTAACTTTATTATTAACCCGAGTAATATTTTTTGGTATCTTAGGGTTTACATAAGAACAAGGCAGAAGAGCTGGTAATAATCAAATGCACCCGAGACTTGGGCCAAAAGCGACTGGGGACAGGAACGCTGCAGACAGATTGTTTCCACACCGTCTTGGTCCCCTTTGGCCCATGTCGCCGATTTCTAGGTGTATTTGATTTTATACACTTTTTAATGTAAAAACACGAAATTTCTTTTTGTACATACCACGCAAAGCTTTATTTATTACTGGACGTTTCTTTATAAGTTGTTGGAAGGTCCGGTCACTTGCCTCGTTTTTGTTGCAAGGGACAGGGCCTCGAATTTCACGCTGAAAGGAGTGTCCACGCGTGTCGCCCTTGTTACAGTCTCGTTTCCCCAGGAATCCCAACAACAGTATTGCGAGCGAGGTGTTATAGATTGGTTGTAGGTAGCGCTCCTGTACATATGTCTGTGGAATCCCGTTTGTCCCCCGGACAACCCCTTTCCTGCAGTGTTCCCCTTTTGGTACACCCTGTCCGTGTATGCCCTAGCTGAACAATTTCCCCCAACACAAATAAAGCGACACGGTTGTTTTACTCCTTTCCCTGGTGTTGACTCGTTTGTATTGGCGTCTTGGCTGCTGTTGGTGATGAAGCGCAACTGCCTCGTTATTGGGATCTGCTGCACAGTCAAGCTCTCAAGTGCCCCCGTGGAGAAGAGGTTTCTGCCCCTTTTCCGTATACAGGAGCTGTAGGTAGCAGTTGTTTCAAACGGCTGCTTAGTATTGGTTCCTCCCATGGCCACAAGGAGGTTCAGAAGACGAGATCCATGCACAGCCTGGGCTCGCCACGTGAAAATTTTCAATGGAAACTAGCTCCATTTTCGCCTCTTTTCAATTCAGCCAAGGTTTTGGGCACTTTGCACCAACGCAACGGCTCGTTTGCTTTACCAGTGCGGCATTTGACTTTTTGTAGCAGGCAAAATATTGGTTTGGAGTAGACACCGACGCTTTTGGAGCAGATGCCAAAACAGACGGCCTTTTTTTTAGAAATAAGGCTCGGGTGGGAGTAAATTTCCTTTACATTTAGTAGTAGTAAAACAAATTTTGTTGTAAAATGAAGCATAGTGAGACTTCAATTCAGATCCCCCTTTTACACTCAATAGGTTATTTAGACTAAATGTAATTCCAGCAAAAACCAGTATAACCGCCAAAATGCCCCCCTCCCCCCCCCCCCCCCCCAAAAAAAAAAAGCGAGGTGCAGAGGAGGGCGCACGCCAACGACAGTGGTGGCGCCAAGTGGCTGTCTTTCAAGGTCTAGAAACTTTCGTCTCGCACCATACATATGTTCGCCTTTCTGCCACCAGCCTTGTGGCGCTAGTTTCTCCTACCTTGGTGGAGGCTGGAGCTGCACTCTGCTGGTCCAACACGGCTGACCTGGTAGGTTCCCTCAATGCTACACACCAGGTGGCAGTCATAGACCCAAGATGTAGAGTAACTGTATAGTCTCTGCTTGCAGAGTATCTCTCTTCTTTTCGCTGCAACCTCTGTATTGGCGGAGAAGTGGTCACGCACGCCGAGCTGGATCCCACGTTTATGCGAGAAAGCGAACTTGCAGGCACAGAGTTTTGGGTGGAGCATGTTTCTCACTTTACGTTTACATCCTACACTAAAATCAAATTGACCATTCAACGTTATGGCAGTGTTCCAAAATTTACTCAATCTTGCTCCAGGGTAAGGGTTTTGTACTTTGGCGTTCTAAAACCTATACGCGTCCAGCGTTTCTCAATTCGTGTGTCACGTGACATGACCCGCCAGTCACTTGGATCCAGTTGGGCAAGATATGGAACGCAGCCTATGTGTAGCCACTGGGTATGATATCGTTTGAAAAACATGTTTCCAAAGTCTGGGAAGCAGACAACACGGAGGACGATCGCGTCTGCAGCGCTTGCAGAGTGATACGCAACACGTACAGTCGGGGACAGAAGTCTCCAGGACACTCGAGCTGCGGCTGAAACGCATTGCTCTGCCGGCGGGTTGCCTGGTTTCGAGATCACACAAAAGCGCATGCACGTCCTGCTCTGCCTGCAAACGTGTTTTCCCGCTCTTCTGCGACACAGCACCCAACTAGAAATCGGGCACGTGGTACCAGCTCGGAGATAGCGCTGGCAGCTGACGAGCATCTGCTACATATTGCGAAACTCGAGATACCGCCTGGGGCACTGCGCCGCATTTCGCCACGTCAGCACACCTTGCTTTATAATCAGTTCAGCTTAATCGCTCAGTTGAGCAGTTGTGACTTCTTGCTTTATAGGTGCCATGTCAATAAGCGCTATCTCAGAGGCGCTTATTGATATGGCACCACGCGCCCGATTCCGAGTTAGGTGCCGCGCCGCAGAAGAGCGGAAAAACGCACATGTTGGCAGGCACAGTAGGACGTGCATGCACTTTTCTGTGATCTCAAAACCAGGCAACCCACCGGCAGATAACAGAGCAATGCGTTTCAGTCGCAGCTCGCATGTTCTGGAGACTTGTCCCCGACTGTACATCCGGGCAGCTTGAAGCAGACGACGAGCAGCTATGGCTTGTGAAGGAACGTTTTTAACGGCCAGTGTTCTTCCGATGGCATAAAAAGAAACGGGAGGCTGCACACTATCTTCTCTGCTCTACACACCACCTCACATCCACGCCTCCGGGTCTCCTGCAGAAGCGACGGTTGCTTCCCGCAGTGTGACTTGGATGCAACATGGCCGCCATGGGAGCACCATCGCAACGCTCTGCTCCACGGAGTATATACAGTTACCCTACCAGAATGGGCAACTTAACCGTGGTTGCCAGCTTGTCTGCACCACAAGGGTACCCGACACCAGCCACCAGAGTGTTGCAGATGGTGGGACCGCAGCAAACATTTGCACAAGTGCAAACTCTCCCCATACCCATATTTTTTTAGAAACAATTGACCAAACGATGGCACCACATTAATACTCAGTTTATTTTGTTAGTAAAAACATGAAACATTCGTACAACTGACGAACCTCCGCTTATTTTGCAAATTTAAAATCCAGGCCGGCAATAGACATCCGGAAAAGAATATTCTGCCCGGTTCCAAAGAGGGCATCCGAAATTGCACCAGTTTGGCTTACTTTTTTTTTTTCTGTAAAATTTTTTGGCACTTTTTTACTGCTAATGGTAATTGTCTACATAACCAAAGTGCACCATATATAATTTGGTACGGGAATAATAAACTCTCGGTTTACTCGCAGTTCAGGAAAAATTAACTTTTCGTCGGCAGGCAGATTCACTCGTACAATCTTCAGACCTTTGATGAGGCACAGGAAAAAAACAAACAAAAGGTTCGTTCAATTTGGCAAGTCCAGACTGTCTAGACAGACTCCAGAGTGGTGCAGGGGTCGCGGATGAATCGGAGGTGCCTATACCCAAACAGCGTGAACTAGCTCGGGCAGATCAGACTAACCTATGCGGAGCGCAAGTTTGGCTGCTTCTTTTGTAGAGATTGTGGTAACGTCAGGACGCCGAGACAGCTTGCTTTGAGGTCTACCCACAATCCTTCAATCAGAGCCAGTCGGAGCCCAGCGTTCTGACATCGCCACAACCTTTACAAAAAAAACAGATAAACTTGCTCTCCGCATTGTTTAGAGTAACGCAATTCTTAGGCATAAAGATCTCTGAATGGTGCCAGACAAGAACACAAAACTTGGGTGCAAACTCCTCAAAACAGTGGTACAAGCAGCTTCTAGCCTGCACAGCATTAATTCAATGTTCAGATGCAATACAAGTATAATTGCAAATGAGAAAACCTTCTCCGTCTTGCATAAATAAACGCCCGCATAAATTTTACGCCTTTCCTTTGTACTCTATCGTCAACATGCATGAACGGTGAACATAGTTTCTATCCCAAGTTTTCAAGAATCTCTAAAAAAACTGTGAAATTCTCTCAGATTAATTGCAGGCCCCTATTTGACATTTCAAAAAAGTACTCTGCCATATATGAAAGAAAAAAAACCTTAATACAATTTTTCAGCGAGTGAAAACAGCTGTCCTAAGAATTGACACTTGGAAACATTTTGCTCCCCAATAGCTGTACTTTTTAGCAGGCAAAGTTTCCTAATTAGAGGCCCAAAAATTAGGAAGGGAAATTAACGTGTAATGGTTGGCTTTTGATGCAACTTGTCAAGTTACATTTTTGGAACAGTACCCAATACAGCATGTTCTTCATGTCTGTACTATATGTTGTGCATACAGCACGTGGTAGTGGTAACTCGAACATGTCACTCTTCGTGTTCGAGTAAACTGTAAAAGGTCACCGATACGAAGAACAAAAAAAATATTCCATACTCTGCCTAGAGGAACGCGTGCCACAGCAACAGAAATGACTAGACCGAAGAAGTAAACGACAATGAGCGGTGCCAATCGAGAGTAACTGGCGTACAATCTCGGTCACGAGTTTCCACTGGAGCAGAAAGAACAGCCGAATTTCCAGACCCTCGGCGTGAACTTGGATAGGAGTGTCGCATGGACGAGCCAGTGCAACCGAGCTGCTGAGCATTACCGCAGACCCCCGGGCATTGCGAGGAGGCTGTGCCCAGACGGCCAGAGTGCCTGACGCTCCTAAGGACCAACAACGGGAGCTGCAGGAAGCAAAAAGGCCCGCTCTGTGCTTCCTAAGCAGCGCTAAGAGGTTCAAGACTCGTATGTATACAGCCCTCCTCCCACAGGAACTCTGCTTTTGAAACCAGAGAGCTCTGGCTGGACCCATCCATTCTAGAAAACGCAGCTAGTGTCGCGTCCCTGAGGGCTCAACACACCATTCATTCCAGAAGTAGTCTCTACATGCATACACAACCACAAACACACATACAGAAGCGCGGGGAAAGCTTGTTGCAGGAGACGCAATCCAGCCTGAAAACTGACTCCACAAGAGCGATGCACTTCTACATAGTTTCGAGACCCACGAATACAAGCGCAGCTTTCGTGTCTTCCAGTAGAACGTACGGAGAGGGTCATCCGCTCCCAGGAACCGTCCTGGCTTCCCTACAGACAGAAGCCCCCCCGTGTATGCGTGGAAAGCGCGAAAAGCCAAGTGGTGCCACCCGAACGAGGTCACGTGTTACGAGAGCTGCGACGTGCCCTGCTCGTTCGTGAAAAGGCTCACCAGAAAAAAGCATAAAGCGACGGCACAGGCATTCACTCATTTCGTATTCAAGAAGAAAACAGAAGCATTCATTCTTTTACAATGGTGCACCACTTCAACAGTTTGCTTCTACTTGCGTAGAAGCAAACAAAAAACTAAGAAAGGAAACAAATTACTGCGAAGCAGAGGCGAGAGTGAGGGCACCTACACAAGCACTCGACCGTCTCGCTTCTCCCCAAGAATAACGAGAAAAACAAACTTGCTCCAGGACCAAAGAGCATCCTTCGCAAAGGTGACAAAAACGCCAATCAGAAACAACAGTTCCTCGGGTTTTCCTTTCCCTCGCAATACTACCGACTAAGCTAAAGCACTTAAAAGGTAAAAATAAACAAAAAAAAAAAGTGAGTGTGCTACAGCAATGCGTTTTCTATTTTCCTGTTTTCTAGCAAAAACTAGTTAAAAAAAAAATGGATAAAAAGAGAATGAGCAAAGGAGCTTCTCGTATGGCTGGCCACCTTTTCAACCCCCAAATGGTGCAAAGAAATGGCCTCCTCGAGTGCAGCCGACGTTACAACGACTCATTGGAGGAAAAAACTCGATACAAATAAGTGCTGAGAAACAGTAGCATCAACCTCCCGGCAAAGACCGAACACGTTTCCCTTTTCCAAAGGCAAACATGTTCTAGAAAGCAGTGAAAGTCTCAGGCCTCGCAAAGTCTGGCAACGGTTCAAGATTCAAAAAGGTCGAGCCCGGGAAAAGTTTCGTCCTCAAAGACGGTCCGACGCAGAAACCGGCCCCGGTGCTCTCGCGAGTGCAAGCAGCCACAAACGCAAGCGGAAGGCGAGAGACGCCTCGGAAGGATGCTGCAGCCACCCAGAAAAGCCTTCCGCGCAGAGGCGGGAGGCTCACGGACGAGACGACGGCACAGAGAGGGAGAGCGGGGCTCAGTCGGCCGAGGCGGCCGTCTCGAGCGCCGCCGAGCTGAGTGCCGGCACGCCGTCCTTGCCGATGAAGAGCTGCAGGCCGGGCCCTTCCGACGCCTCGTCCAGCTTCGTGTCCCGGATAAGGTCCTCGATCAGCTGGTCCGCATTCACGCGCGTGGAGTCCATCCGGTGCTCCTCCGTGATCTGCTTCTGCGCGTCGCAATAAACCCGGCACGTTTCAGGCACCACCGGGACAAAAACCGGCGGCACCACACGAGCAGCCTTCTCCGATTCCAGCGCGCAACTTCGAGATAAAGAGACCGTGAGGCGATGCATTTTTGCCTCGGCTAAGTAAAAGTTGAAAACAGCTGCTTTAAAAAAAAAAAATGCTTATCTTCATTTTTTTTTTTCATTTATTGTGCTGAATTTTAATGTACTGATGTATTTATTTCTCCGTGGAGTTTTCAATAAATTTGTAATTTTAATTTAGTTAGCTAAACTTCCGCAGAATATATCAGAAATTTTTATAGAATAGCATTCACCAAGACATGTTTGCGTGGTGATGCTATTTTAAGTCTCATTTAGTTATATCACACTGGTAAAAAACATTTACAAAATGGGAGGCTATATCTTTTTTAGACTAATCATTAAAATTTTTGTATGATGCATAAAGAAATAAAAATAGCATCACCGCCCAAAGCATCTCTCGGTAAATGCAATTCTATAAAAATATGATATATTCTGAAGAATTTTATGCTAATTAACTAAATTAAAATTACAAATTTATTGATAACTCAGCTTCGCTTCTTGGCGCCCTCCAGATTTCGCCACCGCAAAACAAACACGCCAACAGTCATCAACTTTTTTTATGTTTATGTTTGCTTTCTCTTTCCATGAGGAATATCGGTTAGCAGCAAGAAAAGAAAATATGCATGACCGCGCGCACACATACACGTGTTCACCGACTCGCTGACACTAGTTTGTGCTGCGGATAGACATGGAATATACTTATTTGTTTCATTATTACTGAGTTGTCCCACGCCGTCGCTGCCGTTTGTTTAGTCAAGAACGGAGCCGCTGACGCCACCGTCACGAATATTTACTTGACTTAGTGCTACCACCTTGAACCGTTTCAAATAACCGGCACGTAAGATTACAATTCCGTTCGGGTTCAATGATAAAAGTTTGAATTCGGTAACAGTTTTGTTCCGGTACAGTTAAAAATAACGGATTTGCTCTGGTCTTTGATTCGGGTCCTGTTCCAGACCCTGGTTAAAAGCTACATGATAATCGCGCATAATTACAACAGCCACCTTGTCACGTCTCGCGGCGCCGGGAACGACACCTTGCCCATCTACAGCTATTCAGTTTCGGCTGCTTCACTGAGGGTGCGCTATTTTCATCCTCGAAGGAGCATAAGCCTGTGAGACAACCAAGCCATCAGTCACCTCGAGTGCAATGATGCTGTTTCAAAAGCCATTTACCATGCGCTAGCGAATTACACCATCAGTCCGTAGATTCTAGATTTAAAAAATCGACATAGCCCGCATAACACTCGAGTCCATTCCATTCCTCCCAGCGCCGCCGCCATTCCATTCCATTCCGGGGTTGCGAAAGTGCGGAATGATTCCGGAATGGCAACTCTGGTCGGTGATAGGTCAAGAGCTCAGGGCGAGGGATAGAAAGGCTGGGGAGGAGGAAGCAGATGGATTGATGGACAGGAGAGGAAACATTCCCCTCGCTTCAGCACTCCGCCTGCTTCCTTCTCCCCGCCTTCCTTTCCCTCGCTGTGAACTCTTAACCCAACATTGACTAGGGTTGCGTGTAGTACAGGTAAAGGCAACGCCAGGCGAGGGGAAAAAGGGCAACGGCTAGGAAGGCTGGAGAGGAGGGTAAAGACCTCCTCTCCCTTCTACCATTCCTAGTGCTCCCCTTTCTCCCCTCGCCCCCCATTGTCCCGCCTCCCCCGTCCCGCCTTCCTAGTGCTCACCCTTTCTCATTTCGCCTGGCGTTGCCTTTGCGTGCACTGCACACAACTAGAGACATGGAATATAGGCACCACCCTAAGAGCACCACCCACCATATAAAATTTCAAAGCGTTAGGCAGAATGACCAAACATGCAGCCAACATTTTTTTGTAGGATGGTCGTTCTACGAACACATTTGAAGAAAAGAAAGAGGACGAGCTTGCTCACGCACCAGGAACGAACAGACTTAATGTCGCATCCATTTAGGCTGTATTCTTTTCATTGTATATATGTCCACAGCACGTCACTGTTAGCACAAACCAGCAATTGCTGGTTTTCGTATTTTTCTGCCAGAGAGAATGTCAACCAAACAACTCTAGTGTTCTGGTGGAAAGTGCTCATTGGGGCTTGGGAAATTAGTAATTACGAGGAATTTTTCCTACGGTTTTTGAGGTGAAAATGGGTTCACGATGAAATCGTCTCCCAAGGACACATACAGTCTAAGCTCATTATAACAGACCTTGATTTTGACCAAGATTTCGGTCTGTCGTAAGAGGAGTATGTTGTATGCAGATATGAAATGGAGTCAATGGTATGTAGAGGAAAACCAGCTGGACTTCACAAATCTGTATGTCGGGGCCATACCCAGAAAAAAATTTCGGGGGGGGGGGGGGGGGTTTCGGGGACAACGGCGGCCATTTTGAAAGTGTCTATTGTCTTATTTTCGCCTATGAATCATGTGCATCGGTGGCATATAATGGAGAGTTACAGCAAACCAAAGAACCGGTCCCGGTTTCGTACCCGGTAGCTGACCGGCGCCACTGCGCGTGCGCAGAGGTGGAGATTAAAATTGGCTGGCTGCCAGCGCAACGACCAGGGCCGTACCCAGAAAAAATTTTCGGGGGGTGGGGGGGGGGGGGGGGGGTCAGAACCCCCTAACCCCCCCCTGGTTACGGCCCTGCTGTATGTTACATCCAAATGTCTGTTGTAACCAGGTCTGTTGCAATGAGCTTAGACTGTAGTGATGCGAGGAAAGATGCCAAGCTCAGTGATGTGATTGGCCAAAGCCGTTTTGGAGCACCTTTTGGAGCAGCCAAAACACTGTTTTGTAGCAACAAAAGTGGCCTTTGGAGGAGCCACAACACTGTTTTGAAGCAACAAAAGTGGCCTTTGGAGCAGATATTCTTAGAAAAAAAAAAAAAAAAAGATGTTCGTTTCAAGTGCTGGACAAACCAAGGACACTTTGCTTGCCGCAATAAACACATTGTAGTCAAGTTAGGCCACCTGGGAGTTTTTCAACATTTAACTAAAATGCCAATGACATGATAGATTTTGCAATGCTTCAGTTAAATGATACGTATATATCTACCCGCTATAGGTAAATAAGAATCAAAGTGCACATATTAAAATTTATTTGAAAATGACCAACTTAGAATAAATGGCACAGCGTTAGGTTGACTAGTGATAAAATAAATGAAAGCAGTCTCGAACTGATGAAACAAGTAATTAATTACTGCAGTGCAATGCGGAGATGGCTGTACGATCGAAACCATGCCCCTCCGCTCCGTCGCTAACTGGTTCCCAAAAGTGTATGCAAAATGTAACTGTCCAGCATACGACAAAAAACAGTCCAGCGGTACGTGCTTGCCAGGCCGGCAGACGAGGTACAAGCTAAACACATAAAGAAAAAAAAGAGTGTGAGCATATCGATGCAAGACATCGCGGGTCAAGGTCAAAAAGTTTTTGAAGCGCTTTGTGCAAGGAGTGAGCTTGAGACAAACAAGCGCGCTGTGCGGGTTCAGTGTGCAGACATTGCCTTCTTTGCTTTAGCTCATTTCTCTTCACCAACTTTCTTTCGCGGCAGATTTTTCACGTACCGGGGTACCTCCCGAAAGAAAGCACACCGTTGAAAGCACACCGTGAGACTTAGGAAAGCAATACTTCGACACAGAAGTCTGAGTTAAAAGGGGATTTTTGTAGTAACGTATGTTTTACACAAGAACAGGAATGTTGATGAACTTGCGGCGGTACTTAGTTTCATTTTAGAAAGCGCCATATCTGCAGCGACGTGGGGACGGCAACACCCGACATCGCGCGACCACGGTGACTGGCAGGGAGGGACCAAATATAGTTTTCCCACGGCCGTTGCTTTCGGGAGCGAGTGCTTCAGCTCCCAAACTAACTCCCACCGCGCAAAAACTTGGTTTTGTTCCATAGCATTACGGCATGGCTGGTACCCCAGCACGTTAGCGTCGGAGCGTCCACCTGCGTCTATCGTTGAAAAAAAAAGAAACGCGAGACGACAACGGCGCAGAACGAGACATGGCAGGAAAAACCATGCAAGACCGGATGAACGATTGATGCAGGGTACTTTGTGTCGAGTGGTCGCTTGCGCCACCTAGCTCACGCGTGCTCAATTACGATACTCAGTTTAGTTTTGGTTTAGAAAGGCGACCAAAACTGGTCCTTTGGCGCAGGCTTGGCGCAGATTACTCATATTTTGGCAAAATGTAGCAGGATGTAGCAGGGTTACCCCCTTGGTGCAGTTTGGCGCAATTGGCGCAGCAATCACATCACTGCAAGCTCCAGCACAACGAACTGTGATCCACATGTCCTTCTTTGACAGGCGATGCATCTCAATGAATATCATAATCAAATATACTGGGAATAGTAGACTGGTCACAACAGCACTGATCTGGGATTCATCGCCTGCCCCTTACAAAAATGGACAAAGGAGGTGTACCGGTCGAGTGACAGAGGTTCATACAATCGCCGGAAAGTGCAAATAGGTACACCAGTGCAAAAACTAGGAGCGAAAAAAGGCGACCCTTGCCACCGTCGTCTGAGTCTTTGCACCGCCTGGTTGTTGGCCCCGAGAACTCGATGCGGGCACCAGGTGCAAATAAAAAGCGATAGAAGGGGCCGGTGGAAAAGACAGAAGGGACAAAGCAGGCACGGCGAAGGTACGAGAAGGGAAGAGAAGCAACGTGCAACACTCACATAGAGCAAGTTCTGTACCTTGCTGATGGGACGCTTCCGGTCGGGCGGCTTCAGGGATCCCGGGAATGTGTCGCTGTAGCTCGAGCCAGAACTTAGGTTCCTGCGGGATTCGCCGGAACGTATCAGTCTCCGATTCCCGACCCACGCCACCGCCGGTGTTGCCGCTCACCTGAGGTGTCCGGACTCCGAGCTGCCCTGGCGCGAGTGCGACTGGAGGCTGCCGTAGCCGGACCCCCGCGACGCCTGGCTGTTGTAGCTGGAGTTGCGCGAGTGGCACTGCTCAAAGTCCCCCTCCTCCCTCCGGGGTGCCTCCCCTGGCTCCGGGCCCCCACAGCCGTTGGGACCGTCTGCAATGCCGAGACACACCGTTACCATCCACCTAGACTTAAGGACAAAAAGTTTTAAAGTACCTCTGAGAGAAATTGTTCGAGCGTCGGTGCGTAGGACGCGCCATACGGGAAGACGGTTTTATGGAAGGTATGCATTCTGCTGCAGTTTCCACAAACTTCCTCGAGGCATTGTGGAAACAACCGGCGCGTGCAATGCTGGAAGTCGTTTGGGGCCACAAACGGCCGGTTCCCCGGTGACATCGGCCGACGACAAACATTGCGAGTCAACGAGAGAGACGAAAGCAGCTTGCCTACCTGCGGTCGGGTTGGGGGCGCTGTGTCGCTGCTTGCGTGGCAGGCTGCCGAAGCCGCTGCTGCTGCTGGCAATGCTGCTGCCGCTGTAGTCGTCGCCCCCCTTGGGTGCCGCCACCACCTGGGACGAGGCCTCAGGCTCGCTTGGCAGCGACAGCGAAGTCACCAGGGTGGGGCTGTAGATACAAGAAGTGCAGTCAACGGGACCTCCAACGTCCCGGATTCCTCGCTTACGAAGACGGAAGTCGAGGCACATAAACTTTACTACGCAGTTATGTACTGCCCGGCCCTCGTGGCAAAATGTTTGGGAGGTTTGTGCGGTACTTAAGTGAACGATGCAATCACGGAGCGCCGAAACGTAGTCCCGCCGGTGAATGCAGAATGCGAAAGTTTCAGCCCTGTACCTTGCCCAACTCAAGAGCTAGAATGGCCCCTCCAATTGTAACCCAAATCATTGGAGGGAACCTCTAAAATCTCTCAAACCACTCTTATGTCTGCCGAGTTTGCACAATAAGCTTCTTGCATACTTTGCATTATGTGCACTTAATCCCTCATACAGTGCCATTTAACTGTGGCTTTATAAGACTAAATGATCAAAAATCCTTAAAAATACTATAAAAAATTTTTTCTTTTTTTTTTTTTCTTTGGCAGAATAAAAGGACCTTTCATATTTTATAGAGCAAGAATGAGTTTTTGTTTACACTCACTAGATCTCACAAAAACTGCATTTACGAGGTTCACATTCTTTTCCCAGTCACCCCTTTCCCTTGACTGAACGTCCTTCCCCTTAACGAAACAAAGGAGCTGAGCACAAAGTGGTCCGAAGCCTCGAAAGCAAAGTGATAAAACACTGCAGCCTTGGACACATCGCACAATGGATCCCGTGACATCTTTTAAAATATGCACGTCCCCCCAACAAATTTTTTTCTTAAAGTGCTACTCCGCTCAATTCTGTCAGTTTCAGGATTACGAGCAATCTCACATTAAATAGCACCAATAAAAGGCACAATGCCATTCGCTTTGCAAAAAATGGGAAATATTTGATAAGATCTTACTTTAAACATGAGCACAAACCGAAACTTCCCCTCCGTCGGGCAACATTGGCCTCAGGCCGCCAAAAACATGGCTACCACGTGGTCTGGATCCGAGCGGGCCGCCATTGGGGCGGGCATCTGCAAGGCGGAAGTGTCGTCTGCACCGCAGTCATCACCACGTTTTGGTTATCTACTACGATATCCGACGACGTCTGCACAACTGCAGCTACAGTCTGTGCGCATAGTGGGAACAAAACTCTGAGAGACAATGATCACAGCCGGCGAGATGACAAGGATGGCCCGGACACGAGACGGCAAGACGACTCCGAGGCTGAGAAACGCACCGAGCAGGTGCGTTACGCCAATCATGTGGACACCGCTGGGCCAACACAATTGTTCAACGCCGAGAGATGCTGCTGACGTCACCCATTATGCTTGTCCGGAGAACTAAGACCAAACAAAAAGTAACAATGTTGATGACATTTAGCTCAATGTGGGCTCTGCCAAAACCGTAGCCTTGACTGCGCTGTTGGTTGTGCCAGGCCGTTTAAGAAATATTTAAGACAGAACTATGTTGTAATATTTGATGCGTGGTCTTCCAAGGTGATATTGAAGTAAACTGAATCTTTTCTTTTTTTTTAACAAAAATGAGGTGGAGTTGGCCTTCAATTGCCCAGATAGTGCATGTATGTCACAAAATGTGCTTTCGCTAAAGAAAAAAATGAATGCAACGCTCATGCCACACGATGCAACTTAGCTGCAACTGTGGATGCAGCATCCAGCCTCCATTTTCTAGCACCTTTCCTGGACGCATGGCAGGAGGAGGGCATGCAGTTTGCATACCTCCATTCCTTACTCCCTTTAGCCAATGGGAGGCCAGATATCCTATTCTGACGTTGCTCCAATGCTTGACTCCAAATAAGTCAACTGGGTGCCAGTGAGAATGAGCAGACGAAATCGCTGGAAACTAAAAATATGTGCCGCGACATAAATAGTGTGTTACTTGAATTATTTCTACTGGGAAAGTGTTTTTTAATGTGTGTCCTATTTTGACAGTTAAAAAAATGAAAAATTGGGGGGGAGGGGTTAAAGGGGTCCTCTGATGACATTTGAGGTTCTGACTTAACTATGTTATTACTTCATTATTGGCTCGGGCCACTCAGGGAACATGTAGTAGCAACCAATCATTAGCGCATCATATTTTAATTAGATTGGGCAAAAACAGCTCAACGTCCGGTGGCAACAAAGCGAGTTAAAAATGCGCGACCGATGACATCACCGGTAAGCATTTTGTGATTGGCAATCGGCGAAAGCTGTCAGAATTTTTTTTCGTGCAGGCTAAATAATGTGTATTGCTCCGTAAAACATCACTATTTTTTCGAGAAAGCCTTTTTATTGAGCGAGACAGATGGAAAACAAAGAAAAATATCTTTAAAGTGCGCAGAAACAAGCGAAAATAAACGAGACACGCCCACCTCCCTGGGCGAAATCAGCCAAACCAGCAGGCGCGCAACTAGCACATTGGGCCAATTGAGCACTGCACATCGCGCAGGCTCAATTGGCTGTGTTTGTGCGCACATCATCTATGTGGACGGCTCTACGTGCTACCCTGTGAAGCATTGTGGGCCTAACGAGTGGGACGCGATTCAAGGGGTGCCAGCCAAAGCTCGAAGCTCTACGACGAACCAAAGGTGGAGTCAATATAAAATACAGGACGACCTTGTGTATGGGCTATGAATGATTACGCACAAGTCATATCTCGCCAGCAGACGTTCCCGTTCGAAACAACAAATGCCAATTGTAGAAGCGAGGAATGTTTATTTGGAGTGCGCTACAATTTAGAATACGTAAACGGCATAATTTAGGGATCATCTATTTCCTTCGGCAATCGACTCGCGTCCAAGCCGCCCATAGATGCTTTAAAAAACGCAACATTGTGATTCCTTTTTTTTTTTTTTTGCTGACTTTTGTGTGATATTTGGTAAAAAATAAATGCTTATTTGCACTGCTTTAGCCCAGCATTTGCATTTTTCTTTTCTAACCTGTCACGGTGCAAATTTCTGCCCTGAGTCGCCGCTCTGACCACACCACAATAAATTCGAGGACTGGGAAAGGCGAAGTGGACAATGAACATTGTTCTAGTCCGGCGCGTGTTGGGTTTGCCGACACTGAAGTATAAACAGCCAAGCAGGTACACTGGTAATGCTGGTCAAGTTCTGAGCCCGAACTTACGAGTATGCAAGAGGCATTAGCGACGAGGCCCACGACGCATGCATCTTCAGCGCGGCAGCCACGAACCTAACCTGCAGCCAATTAATCGGCCGCTTCGCTACGACCGATCGTTGAATGGTTCGTTGAATGGTTCGCTTCTTTTTGTAATTTTAATTTTCTAATAACTCCCAAAACAATTCAGATTTCGAAAAAACATTTGTTTCTCTATCGACCTACGTTCAATGAGGTCAGTTTTGCCCCAAATTCCGAACCAGTTCAAAACTCATTGGAGGGTCGACGTACGCCTTGAAGCAGGGGTCCCCCGACAGGAGGGTCATCCCGAGGGACACCTTGAGCACCGAGTTGTCCTGGCGGTGCTTGGCGTCGTAGCCCTCCAGCAGGTAGCGCCTCGAGGTCATCCCCGCACCCGCATACTCCACCAGGTTGAGGTCTGCGAAGCCCAGCTTCTGGAAGGACCGGCCTCCCTTCACCTCCTGCAAGGCGGACGGGCTCACGTCGCTGCACTCGGTCCAAACGACGCGAGCCTCGCAAGGCGGTTTTGTTAGCACGCGATACAACGGCACCGGCTACCTTGGCTGCTTAAAGGACACGTGCAAAGGAAAAAAAACATTTTTTTTAGACAGCTTAGATGGAAAAAGGATGTCATAAAACGATTTTACAACGAAGAAAAAAAAATTTTAGAGCTATATTTACGGCGCTATACGAATTTGTAGTTGGCGCTCGCGGGAGCCGCCGCTGGTCACGTGGTAGGCCCGCGCGCCGCCGCGCTGTGTCGCCGCCGCACGCTGAGCGTTGTGCGAACGCCGCTTCAACGCGTTTCTCCACGCCGCCGTCGCCGCCGCCGCACAAGTTTGTCTGCTTCGGGGCGCCACCGCCGTCGTCTGACTGGCGCACAGGTCTATCACGTCTGCTTGCGATTTTTCAGGAGTTTCCTTTGGGCTCTAAAAGTTACTTATTCATCTTAGTTTTTTGTTATACTTCAAACATTCAAACAAAGATGAATAAGTTACTTTTAGAGGCCACAGGAAGCTTCTGAAAGAGAGCAAGCACCACGTGACAAATATGGATCAGTCACGTGACAATTAAAGACCACTTTTCCGTGGCACCCGCGGGCGCCAACAACAAATTCGTATAGCGCCGTAAATATAGCTCTAAAATTTTTTTTTCTTGGTTTTAAAATTGTTTTATGATATCCTTTTTCCATCTAAGCTGTTTAAAAAAAATGTTTTTTTTCCTTTGCATGTGTCCTTTAGAAGAGGAGCAAACCGCGTGAACTGCTGGTTCGCATGTGCATCTCAGCACTGAAAAAACAAAAAGTCGGCGATGTGTCGGCATTATACTGCCACACGCCGATTCGGCTCAGAGTTAGCGCTGCATTGTGTGTGCACGTTGGCGGGGTCACGCACGTCAGCACTGTGTCAGTGAGTAAGCGCCACGGTGTAGGTGTGAACGACCTTCCCAGCAACCTTTTTGGAGCGAGGTGAAAACCCAGAGAGAAGAAAGAAAGTCCTTCTTTATCTTGACACTGCAATGGCACATTCTGCTGGGATCACCGTTGCAAAGTATAAAAAATATTGGTTCACAATCGCTTCCCATACCTGGCATTCCCCAATTCGGCCCTTCCAGTAATCGGTCACTTTCCAAACCTGGAACGCATATTCTTGGCAGCAAAGAGACTTTACCAAAAACAGTCGCCAACCAATTTTTACGACACCAATAACCCAAACTTGTTTGATATTTCGGACCTAAAGGAAGAACCGCGACCTATTCGATAAAAAACGTGCATATTCACGACCGATGTTTCGGACAGCTTGAAGTCCGAAAGTTTGACTTTTGAGACTAAATCGTCACCAGCGATCAGCGGGAAACACCTCCGAAAAGCCGCCATTTTAGACTATGTTGGCTGCACACGGATTGCCTTGGTTTGGCAGCACTACTTGAGCACTGCCAAGTCCTACCACTAGGTGACACCATGCTAGAGATTTCTTTTTCCTCTAGCTGCGGGTCATTATAGTCATTGTCACCATTTTGCTTTCTTCATTCGCCACTCAGCAGTCGTGGACTTGTCGTGGAGGGCATTAACTTGCGTTTTCCGGAAGATTTTTCTGTCAATTGTACAACTGCACGAAATTATCAAAATCCGGGCAAATAATACGGGCAACTTGGCAGATATGCAATTCGTACCAAAGCAACCTTTCCTGCATGCAGAAAAACTAAAACAACTCGCTGGCTTGGTTCAGGAACTAACAAAACAGCCAGGACAAGCGATGGGAGTGGGAAGGCCACCAAAGTCCACGAAAGAGGGGGAGGGGGGGGGGGGGGGGGGGGGGGGCAGGAAGGGATGCTTACTTTTCTGATGGAGACTCTGCAGATGCAGGGGTCCAGGACTCCGGTGCCGGCGTTGGCACTCATCTTGCACGCAAAGACGAACTGGGAGTCCCATTTTACGCAGTGGTTGCACACTTCCTCCCTGAAGGGCCAAGGAGAGAGCCATCAGGACAAGTGCTGGGCACACTGAGCCCGGTAGAGATCCGACCGAGTCCAGGTGAAACGTTTTACCCAAGTGCCAACAGACCGATCTGACCAGTCATGCTGCTGCAATGCCTTTCTGCCTATGCGACAACGTTGCTGGAGGTCTGTACGTGTAGGGCACAAAATGGCACAAACCCTATTGTGCATCAGCGTCTGCCTCCTACGAACTAAGGTTATGGTGGCATCATGCGTGCACTTGGTGAGATCGGTCAACTGGACGCCCTCTTTGAACCCAACAAGGGCCCAAGGCAATGAGATTGGCGTATGGGTCCTCTCGCTTGTGTTAAGTTTGCCTTGAGCTTTACTTTCAAAGGAAAGATTGAGACTATGTCTATATTTGCTTTTGCAATCATCCTGCCTATGATTGTGACTCTAAGGCAGAGATCTATCGGGAAGAGAGAACTGCATGCAGAATTTCTAATAGTGTCAAGAAACCAGTACTACTGCTCCAATCACGCGTAATGCAGTGTTTAGACACATCTCGAAAGAACAACAATTTGGGTAGGCTGTCATGGTTTTGCCGTTTTATTGGCTGTTGGCGGAAAGCTGAGATCATTCAAATGCACCTCCAATGTTTAGATTTCCTACTGCCTGTAGACGCTAAGATAGGAAACAAAAATGAATCCGAAAGTGAAACTGCAGCAGTGTGTTGAAATTGGGGCATATTTCGGAATGTGAAAAAGTGCCATAAATGTTCCTAAAAGCGGCTCATTCAGGGGCCTTCATCTTCAATAAAATCCAAATTAATTAAATGTTTAATAATTCAAAATGCCACATACCTTATAAATAGACCCCTTAACAACGATATCTACATTTGTGAGTGTGATACAGTCTTTGCAATAAAATTGAAGCCAAAGTTTCGTGAAACACCTTGTTACAATCTAGTATGTTTATGTGTTTCCTTTCCTCCTGGTGTTGTAGACTATCCCTATATTCAATTGTATGATGTGTAATAAAGAAATATATGCAGCAGACCTTAGGTGAACTCCACCACAATAAGTGTGGCAGTTGACCAAGACACCAGTATGTTTGGGCACCAACAGGTCATGTTGGCATCTAGTTACCAGTTGGAAAAACCTCAATGAATAAAAGCCCAATTCTGTCTATTTGCATTCTACAGCATCAGCTGTCTATTTGCATTCTACAGCATCAGCTGAACTGGCCGAGTGTCGTGAAGAACGAACAAAGCGTGCGCGCGTTTCTCGCAGGTTGAGAGGGAGTACAGCAGTGATACCCTCGCCTTTTCGCTGACAAGAATCGCGGTTGAGGAGCAGCGTGTTCGGCCAATCGCTATAGAATCGTGTGATCGCACCCCTTGCCCATCTGCTCTGTCTCGCTTTCGATCGCCCTCGGCACTCCAAGCCGCGCAAGAATGAAGCATATGCCGGAGCAAGCAGCGGCTGCTCCACAGCGTAATTGCGCCCGTGAAAGAATATCTAGTCGTCGATGTGCGGGCGCCGACAGTCTCACCCTGGGTGTTAAGATGGAATGCATTCGATGTCAAGATCATGCTGCACGTGAACATGAAGCGCCACATAGAAGAGAATGCTACCGAATGAAGAATGGACACGCTAGTGCAATCGAACAATTTGTGCAGCGCATCCACGAGAATGCTTGGTTCTAGCTGTTCTGCGTGTGATCGGTTGAGGTTTATGCGAGACACCGCTGGACTTAAATCACCGGAATTTCCAGTCAATCACAACACAATATCATTGAAATGTCGCACCAGCTGACGCTGTCCATTCACATCACAGCACATGATCATCCGCACAATTTTTTTTAAAAAATTTGAAGCTAGGGTTAAACATTTTCGGTTGGCTCTGATAAAGACCAACAAAAGTATGCCAAAATAATTTTTATAGACATTCAATCCAAAACGTTAATATTTCAGAGCCTTATGCACAGCAATGGGTGTGGTGGCGCGGTTCGTCATTGAGACCTGGTGATTCACTTTTTTTTTTAGAGTACCATGCTTATCTCTGGTATTGCTTCATTGTCTGAAGTGTTTCCTGACTAATCAATAGAAGGGGGCATTTTCAAACTTGTTGCTCAGGGCAATCACGTGATTCATGCATTGCAACTAGAGGTTTCTAAGCACATGAAGTATGCAGTGCATCAAAAATGTGATACCAATCACCTTTTGGAGCTAACATTTGACTGAGTGGCAAGCTTTCAGCTACTGCACCACTTCACTTCATTAGCTTGCTAGTATCAAAGAAATACTGAAGGGCATCTTTTAAACTAGAATGGGTGAGCATTAACAAAGACTGCTTGGGAAGATAACTGTTTATTATAGTCAGATAAAGTAATTTCAATCGACAGCATGGGCGAAATGGATTGAATATACTTTAAACTGCCCGCATAAATCGGTTTCTTAACTTATCGCGCTGGGATTTACCACAGAGGTGCCTCTTTCACTAAAATAGTGGAAAGATTGGCTCACCTAAGTAAATCAAGAAAAATGAAAAACTGTTTTCTCTATACATACTTTGCGTGTACACTAAAAAAATATGTGTTACTGTGGCGCTTATTTGGCCAAATGAAGTTGTGGTAACAGAGCATCAAAGAAAAAGATGTCCATTGGATGCGGGTGCGTGGGGCTAAAAGGCGACAAGCGCATGACGGCGATATAAAAAAATAGTCTTGGCCCGAGCTTCGTCGTGTTCGGTTCCTTTCCTTGCTTCGCCACCACAAAGTGAAGAATAGGTAAGCAAATTCTATTTTCTTTCCATTTCACACATTTTTCAATCAAAGGAAACACCAGGATAAAAAGATTAGCAATAATTTTTCCACAGACAACACCAGTTTTTATTTTCTTTCTTTGGACTCCGGAGGTTTCATGTATTCTTTCAATTAATGAATGCACCAGCTTCGAGCACCTCTGTAGTAAATCCAAGCACAATAAGTGAAGAAACAGATTTATGCTGTCAGTTTAAAGTGCATTCAATCCGTTTCGCCCACGCTGTAGATAAGCAGTGAAATTCAAGGTTCTTCATTATGTTGGCTGGATTGAACCCATCAATATCTGCCCATTCTGTAGTTTTCCAGACTTGTATCGTCATTCTTTTTTGTATGATACGCATTGCTGTGACAAATAGGCATGTGTGCTTAGCTTGTCACTACATCTTATGATCAATCGCTTAGTTGCCGGATTGTCACACTTTCATATGGCAGTTGCACACTCCCCGTGACAGCAGCGTGATGAATGCCACCATTTATTTGTTCATAGGCTATAACTATTCAGTGTTGGGCAGGAGTTGACAGCATGAATATGCCATAGGATTGCATGCCTCGGTAGACTCTCGGTAGTGTGTTTGCACTTGCACGGCTTACAGGGATCGGGAAGACAATTTTTTGAGGAACTAACAATTTTACATTCAATAAATAAAACACGAAAAATGAAAGGGTCTGCCAATAGTGGACAATGGCCGAGTTTGTTTACAGATTCCACTAGGCGAATAGTAACCACTCGATGCTTAAGAAAAAAAACAGGCAAAACAAAAACCATGGGATGATGCACATATCACCAAAATAAGCAAGTGGAATTTTATGCGTATTGTACATTTTTACCGAAAAAGAAAAAGTGTCTTTGAAACAAACAGATAAGTATGCCAAATTTAAAAAAAAATTGAAATCCAAAATTATCAAATCTTATTTTTTGTTCGTGACTGTTTCTACCCTTTGCATCCAACTCAACCGAGCGACAGAGTTAACAGAGTTGCTAAACTACCGGCCTACCTGTCCGTAAGCGGAGAAGTTGTTAACGGGAGCGAGTAGGCAAGAGATAGTGCGCAGTACAAACAAGACGGAAGTGGTGTTGACCAGCCCTGACCTTGGTGCCACCGTTATCAGGCCACCAAATGTGTTTGCGATGCGGCAGCATTCTACTTCATGGGACCGCTCGGAGCCTCCCACGCTAACGGGCACACGCAAACTTCCAGCGCTTCCCGTTGCTTTGCCTCCCGTTGGTCGCAACGCTCATCAAAAGAGGATCACGTGTTGCATTCCCGACAGAGTGCAGCCTAGTGACCCACTCCTATCATCGCATATCGCTCTCTCTCGAGATAACAGGCAGTAGCATAATGCGCAACCAACATCAAATTCTTTTCTTTTTAACAGGTGAGGGAGAAAACAAAAGCAACTTAGTAGTTGCTTTTTCTATGAACTGTCGTGACAGTTCATTTCGAAAATGTCCACGAAGACTGCCCCATGCCCAACTCTTTGAGCAAATGTTGATGAACAGCCACAAGTAGAGAGCATGACACAGCATGAAAAGGAGACTTTCCCCCACACAGCAGAAAGACGGCCGCTCAATCCACCCGTCTAGTGCAACGTGTTTACGCAAAGCAACAGCTTAGACGGCACAAGTAGGGTTACTCATGCACCAGGCTACATGAGTAAGATGTGGCAAAGCAGACACAGACTGCTCCTCAGCGTACGAGCTTATGTATGTGACGCCGATATCTCTTTTTGCACGAACAGGGTCTGAAACTTAAAAATGTTCAATCGGGTGAAAAGTTGGGAAGAGTGCAGTGCACACACGATGCACGCAAACAGATGGACGTCAACCTGGCACTGAAACACCGCCCCGTGGGTTCAAAAGCAAGTGCGCTTGCTCTATAACAACAGTGACTGAGGAACAATAGAACAAACAAAACCAACACGACGCAAACTCCTTGCACCAGCCGGCTGTTGATTCCTGACGTAAGGCTTTCTTCCGCCTCCAGATATATATATTTATATATAAAGACAGAGAGAGAGAGCTGTCATGCAGTGGGATGTGCATTCGTGCGCAGTTCCTGGGAAGGCACGCAACAATGGACCACTTTCCGACATTTCTGTCCCAGTGTGCTGGCAGAGAGGACTGTGTGGATCCGCGGGAGTCTGAGCACGCAACTGGACCATCCGTGCAGCAACACGCTGCTTGCCAACTACGCATGCTGCAATGTCACCAAGAATGACCGTGCTACGACTGCAGTCATTCTCATTATGCCAATTACGGGTTTAAGACATACAAAGCAAAAGGCTGTTTTACGATGGAAGGTTTTAAAATTATACCTACGCAGGAATGAGACTCAAAGCGGCAATCTACTTGGATCCACCAAACTGCCAGTGACTTTATGGATCGAGCAAAGCGGTGCAGTTACGCCTCGCATAATCACAATTGTGTTCCCCACCTTTGCCGAGACCCGCACAAACAATGCTGGGACGACCTACAAATGCTTCGAATGAAACTCATTTCCCATGGACAAAAGTCCAAAACTGTTTGTACCGTGGCATATATCCGATCAAATCCAAAAGGGGCCATGTTTTCAAATTTTCGCTCTCCCCAGAACAGGGTGAGAAGATCCTTCGAACCGACCCAAATTTCCGGGAGGGGGGGGGGGGGGGGGGGGGGGGTGCCTCCCTCCCCGGCTCCCGTCCGGCCAGCCTGGAGGTTCAGACGCTCGGAATAATAAACAGGGGCTCCCAGCAGCCAACTTTGAATGCCTTCCTTGAAGCACGGAGCTATCTGGGAAAGCACGCAGCCCGTCTAAATTCGTTCCTCTCCAGATGCCAAACAAAGAAACAGTGAGCAAGGGAGCTCCACGGAGGGAGCATTCTTCCTGAGGCCAGTAACTCAAAGGCCCATGTACTCTCAACATTGCGGTGTTTACGAAAAATTAAGCCGAGCTTACTAGAACCGTGAGAGAGTGGTTGCGGACGATGCTCATCTTTACTTGGATGCCCGTGTCCACGGGGAAATCGTGCAATAGTGTGAGAAACATATTCAAGCCTGTTTTCTCAGCATTTCTCCTAGTTTGTTACGAGGTTGTTTTATTTATGCCAAGAAATGGCTTCGAAGGTTAAAGCACAAATGAAGTCCCCTTCAAACCCTGAGTCAAAAAATAAAAATGGTCACGTTAGAGAGGTTTTAATGCAATAAAAAAAGAATGCCCAAAGACAGATACTGAAGCAAAACAAAAAGCTGTCCTGTTCAGCATGTTCCTTCGCTGTTCCTATCTTTCTTTGCGCACAATGATTTTACAGCACCTTACAACGGCCTCCTTGCTAAAGAGCTCCAAGTAGGAAGCAATGACAAAATGATTGAAAAGGTAGGACTGCAAACTGACTTTCTACTTTCTTCACATCTAAACAAAATTTTTTTTCCAGCAGTTTCTGTCCCAGTTACCAGTCTGACAGGACACAGAGGTCCCCGAGTGTTACTTTAAAAAACTTGCAGGCCCGACCAAATAGACTTATCCCTGCCCGAGAGGAAAGATTAAAACTGTACCACTCTTCTCGGGAGGAGGAACGATGTTGCAACAGCAGAGAGGCAGGGTGGGAGAGAAGGACCCCTTCGCATTACATCTCAGCCTCCCCCGGGTCAAGGAGAAAGCCAGACTATTGCCCCACCAGACATCCGAGACAAAATAATATACTGGGGCTCCAGATCACAATCCACACCAAAAGAACCAGCCAAGAAAAAAAAAAAATCCAATGGGGTAGGGAAGGGTGCCCGAGGTTTCAAACAGGAAGAAAGACGACGGGTGATGGGAGCCACCTGCCAGGAAGGGATGCACAGGTATGCCCAAGGCACTGGTAGAAGACCCATCAAGTGTTGCAGCTTCCCACTCCAAAGTCAAGGCACTGGCAATAAAACTATGGCAGCCCGGCTGCAGAAAAGCATAGCAGAAGCCGGGCAATGCTATGTATGTTACGGAAATTACCAAATCTGTTGCACTGACAGCAGTGTTACATAAAATATGCACCAAAGGTACTTCAACTGAAGCACACATAGTAACAATAGGACAAAAGGATGTTTCTGCCAGTGCCCTCTAGGTGATTGGTGTACAGCTAAAAGAATTTACCTGGTCACAAATTGTGTTTACATATAAAGTAATTGTGCCGTATGTTCAGGCAGTGAGAAGCTGTCAGCCCCAAGAGATAGTAAGTGACAAACTCTCTACTTCATGCAGTGTAAAAATATGAGGAAGAAATAGACATCTGGGGTCTTTAGCTTGAAGAGCAAGAGTCTGTAACAGTCAGCCAAAGGGGTCGTTCGATATGCAACAACCAATCATCAAAAACCTAAGAGATGTGCTCCGCACAACACAGCTAGTAGAAACATGACAATGGTGCTTTTTCACGTTTTGATTATATTTTTAACAAATGTCAAACTTTACCTGCAAAGTTGGTACCCAAGATGCACAGTATCTACCATGCAAGAGAAAAACTGGAAAACTGTTCACTGCTTGTTCATCCCAACAGACATAGTTTGCACAAATAAGCAAGTCGCCTGTTTTCTCATTTTTATGCCGCAACTGAAAGGATCATCTCTCTCACCAACTGGGGCAGTGAATTTTGGCACTTGTTGCTATCTTTTAAAACTAAAAAAAAAAGTATCGATGTCATGTTTGCGGCAACTGCATTGCACAATGTACTTCTCAGTAAACTACTCCACTTTTTATTGGAAGTACAAGGGGTAGCAGTATGAGCCGGCCCAACGAAACACCGGCTGAAGCGGTAAAACTTCCCCTTCTGATGCCTCTGTCGCACTAAGCCTTTAGGAGCAATGTTGGAACACTACAATTGCATGCACAGGGGAGTTTAACTTTTGGCATCACTGTACACAATCTGCTTGTTGTAACCAGAGCTCGCACAATAAAAAACAAAATAAAATGAGAAACTGCATGCAGATCTACAAATTGCAGTGTCAGCACTAACCACTGGCCAGCATTATCTCTGACGAAAGCAATTTGTGCACTGTAGGCGCCAAAGCTAATCAAGAAAAACTCAGATGCACCCGTCCGGGTGCAGAGTTCACTGATCTTCCGTCTACAGTGGCGCCCGCCAGTGTGGTGGCAAAAGAACGAAAGTAGAATGCATCTAGACCTCTCGCAAAATCGAAACGAGCCTAGCAATGTAGTGCCACGCAAAGCGTCTTGGGCATGCTCTGGCCACCGTTTCGGTTTGACAACCTCAATTCATGACATTCCGTTGCAACTATATAGAGTGTATGCATCTTCAAATATGTGACTTCTCTTAAATTTATGATGTTGCCTACCAATACGGGTAGAATGCTGGGGCACATTTTTTGGGTCTCCCAACGTAGCAGAGTTTGTGCGCAGGTAAACAAAGGAAGAAGAGTACTGGGCCGATTATCATGTTCCATTGTCTCAGTGTCCTAGGCTTCTCAAATGATATGTGACCTGGGAGCACCAATGCTGCACTCTGCACTGGTAGCCATTCTGCCAAAAAGGTATGGGAAGCGGAAGGCCTTGTTCCTGCTCCTCGCTAAGTCTATACAGGTCCTTCGGCTGCTGGAGGTCCATGTTTTAACAGGGGCTCTCACAAAGGTGAATGGGTGCAACGCAAGCGAGCGCCGACTTTATTTTCATGCAGTGCTGAGGTCTGGCCCCCACACTCGGGTGAGTGGGACCACTGCTCTAAGGCAAGCGTGTCCGAAGGGGTTCTGACCAGTGGCCCAGAGCCAGTGCCCAGGCGCGTGTCCCGACATGTTCATGGCGAAGAACTGGGCTCGCCTGTCGCAGAATACCGAGCAAATGCTTCTTGCCTAATCTGCCTCCCGGCGATGAAGATCCCCCTCGAACACGCGACACTGCTCGCTTCTTTTCTGTGCTAAGGTCTCGGAGGCCTAGAAAGGTCTTGGAGCAAGATCCCCGTTCCGATCTTCGCACCAAGAAATCCAGTTCCATGTGGCGCGTCGCTGCTTTCTTTTTCGCTGCTCGCGTGCCACTTGAACGGTAGCCGCACGAGCGCCGCAGTCAGCCGCGGAAAATATCGCACCTCTCCCTCTCGCATTTGTGGGTCAGGAAGACGAAGCTTGGCGGATCATCGCGCACGGTGCAATCGGACAGCGCTCACTTTTTTTCTTTTTCTCCGAAGCTTTTGGCGAATTCGCGGTACGGCATACGACGACACGGGAAACGAGTGAACCGCGCCTTTTATCGCCAGCCAAGATCGCTCGGCGCAAACTGCGCGGGGATCTTCGACAAACAACGCCCCGATACGCATCCGAGAACGGGTATCATGTCCGATAATAAACAAGGAAAAAAAAAAAAAAAACGGCGAAAATCGGATGGCGCAATGGCCAACCCGTCGCCAGCCGTTCGCCAAGATCAAGTTGACACGAGGCATCTGCTTTCCATTCAAATGAGCCCGATGAATCACTGGATGGCTTCAATAATAAGTCGGTCATTTTTTTTTTTTTTTCAGCTTAAAAAAAAAATAATGGCTCTAAAAAATAAAACACTAAATGGAGCGTTAAAAAGGCTGGCAGTGATTTGTTCGTACAGGCATGGGTTTCGACTCTTCAGGAAGAAAACCTCATTTGGCAAATATGTCTAGACATGTCTAGAAATGACTTTACTGCCCAAACCGCAAGGAAATAGGGTAAACGTGGTAAAAAAACTAGCGTTTAGTTTGCACGTCCGTGACGTCAATTCCGGAAGACGTGAAAACTACTCAAAAACTTGACGGAGTACTTTGAAATAATGAAACCAATGAATGAAATTGTTTTTAAAGAAATGGTCATTATGCAGACGAGCTGGTGCAAGCCTGCGTTTATTCCCATATTTACATGTCTTCTGGAAGGGACATCACGGACGTGACAAGAAAGACATCTCCGGTTATTTCGACAATATACGTCAAAATAGTGCAAAATATTCGTTCCCCGAAGCCTGAGAAAGAGCCACTTGCCTGGACGACGTCTCCGAGAAGTTCCCTCCGTCCAGCAGACGGATCTTTGCGAAGAGGATAGCATTGACGAAGGGCACCGCCGTCAGTTCCTCGACACGAATGTCAACCTGAAACTTGTACTTTTTCTTCTTGAGCATGAAGGTCATGGTTCGTGGTGACAGCTCGGATCCAGCGGCTGCCACAGAAGATCATGGCAGCTTCACATGACAGCGGGCGCGCACTGCAACACACGAGTCGACGCTCAGATTTTCCGTCACCAACGGCAGGCAGACGCTCGGGCTATCCAACTTGACGATCCACCGAACAATGAAGACTGACGCCTGTAGCGCTACGGCCGTGTTCGGAGTCCGTTCGAGCAGCTTACGTCGAGAAAGTTGACACACCGCAGGCGTCTTTTTGTGTATTGTGTTCCTCCCGAGACCAAGACGAGACGAATGATATGGCCGCATCTGATTCCGTTAACCAACCCAAATCGGGCGACGTAGGCGGCGAAATTTTGCGCTATAACTGTCGGTTACGTGTGCCGAGTGTAGGTGAACTCTATCAAAATTGCTTTCACGAGTGAAGTTCGCGCAATTCAATCGAAAATGCATATTCAGCCTCGCGGGCAGTGCGGTGCGTCGCGCCCACAGCTATGCGAACCCAGTTTAGATATACGAGGCGGCCAGAGGGATGAACTTCGCTCGAATGTCGCCCGGTAATGAACAAAGGCAAGCGAAAAATAACTCACCGAGTAATTCTTGGAGGCTCCTTGCAAAAGTAGTCCTCGACTTCGAGGAAAACACACAACAGTATCGATTACTTACTCCTACAACATCATGTCCGGCGCAACGGAGCACGAAAAATAGCTGCTAGGCGCTAAGCTCGCGCCTGCGTCCCTGCGTGCCTGCGTTGCCTGCGTCACAAATCAACAGTTGGCAAACCAAACGACCAAAGTTCCAGAAAAATACAGACCCCCCTCGCTACTTTCATCACCATTTGATAAAAGCGCTACCCTTTTCTTACGCCGCGGCGCGCGTCCGCAACAGCAGTTCAGCGAACAGCCACAGCGTGAAAATAAAGTGGCGCTTCGATCAACTGATGATACAATCTAGTGCATGACTGGAATTAGTTATTAAAGAAAGTGTTTATAAAGTTGGCCAGCTAACAAAATCTAGTAATTATGGTACAATAGAAAAAATAAATAAAAAAGATCTCTCAACAAACTCGTCTAATGAATAAAAAAATTGTACGAATATTGATGACCAAATAAAAACCTGAAATTCGAAATTTCGGACGTTCCGGACAGTCGGGGAAAATATGTGCGGCACTGTTGTTTCAGAATGGCGGCCTAGGAAGTAGCGGTAAAGTGAGCGGGCGCAGGGTAGCTGTCTCAGCATGAACGTGAAGGAGACCGAGGAACAACAGAAGCTGCGCTTCCAGATCGAACTGGAGTTTGTGCAGTGCTTGGCCAACCCAAACTACCTGAACTTTCTGGCCCAGCGCGGCTACCTGAAGGACAAGTCGTTCATCAACTACCTGCACTACCTGCAGTACTGGAAGCGGCCGGACTACGCCAGGTTCCTCAAGTACCCCATGTGCCTGTACTTCCTGGAACTGCTGCAGTACGAGCACTTCAGGCGGGAGATCTCCAACGCTCAGTGCGCCAAGTTCATCGAGGACCAGCAGCTGCTGCACTGGCAGCACTACACGAGGAAACGTATGCGCCTGCTCCAGCCGCCCACGAGTGCCGCCGAGGCCGCGGCGCCGCCTCCGCCCGCTGCCCCCAAGTGATGGACGCTGGCCCCGATTGCCGGCTCGTCACGTCTCCAATTCGCTCTCACGTCTTGTGCGCGCATTAAAAAGTGTCGCAGTGCCATTTCCCCCAGGCAGGCTCAGCTTTTCTTGCTCGTCGTCGCTGCATGGAGAAATCCGTGACCCAGACAAAACTAGGCTTTTCGTATCACCTCCCGCTCCTTTTCGTGTTGTCACCGACGTTGGTTGTCACGAGAGGTGACGCAATCGACGCTGGCTCCAGATGCGCTACCTTCCGGTATGTGGTTGTGCGCGGCCCGCTCGTCACGTCGCTGCGGCTTTCCAGGTTGCAGCGAAGGTCCTGAGCCCGGAGCTTTTCCCAGTTCCCAATCCCTACTCTACTGGGATCATGGGCGTACCAACCGGAGGGGCAAGGGAGGCGCTTGCCCCCCCCCCCCCCCCCCCCCCCCCCCCCAGTTCTCAGAGTGGGGGGGCAAGACATGTTTTGTGCCCCCCCCGAAACAGCCGCCACTGGGCAGGGCAAACACTGGCCGACGGCACCCAAGGGATACCAAGGGCACCGCCCCTCGGCCCTAAGGGGGGGGGGGGGGGGGGGGGGAGGGAGGAGTTTGGTTTGCCGCCCCTCCCCACAACTCAAAAACAGGTTGGTACGCCACTGGCTGGGATCATTTGTAGCATTGCAATGATGGGATGTGGAGATCTATAGAATTTACCCCAGTTCAGGTTACCTGTCGGCTCTTACGGGGCAATGCAGTGACCCAAAGTTGCCCTTATCTCACTGGGTACCATGCATGCCCGACCTATTTTTCGTTGCATTCAACTGCTACAAAAAAAAAAATACATTTTGATGTGCAAAGCACATCTTAAAAACTCCCAAAAGCAAACCTGGGGGCTATGTTCAACAAATGTTTCGTTTTTCCTAAAAAGAAACGGAAGTGACGGAAATGACGATATCGCGTCTGATTGACTAGAGATTCAAATGACGAAAGAGGGAACTTTCGTCATTTGAACCTCTAGCCAATCAGACGCGATATCGTCACTTCCGTTTCTTTTTAGGAGAAACATTTGTCGAACATAGCCCCCCAGATGTTCTGTGGCAGTACAGAGATCATATTGGGGAAATATACTACACGTGTCAGCTCCACTCACGACTTGTCTCGTAAGGCTGAGAGGAGACCAGAAAGCAGTCAGATGGGATAGTTTGCAGAGTTTAATTTCTTCACTTCCACGGATATACGCACATATTCATACACATCAGAGATATTATTATTATACAACTGCGTAGAGTCCTTTGCTGCATGGAGATCTTATGCAAAGGATGGGTTCAGCTTTCCACACACTGATATGCTTTTTGTTTTTCTCAACAAGTAAAATTGAATGCAACCGGCTCCCCCACTGTGCCAGCACAGACCATCAGATTTACTTTAGCCAAACTTGGAGGAAAAAGACGAGGTTGTGACGAGGTTTGCTGCTAGGTGCACCCCCCGTGTACGCCAATGCCATCAAAATAATCGCGTCCCACGCTCCTAGCATGTTGTGTTCCAACTTGCAATCTAGTACTGCGGTCGCGTGACTACGGAAACACACGATGCACCCGTTAATCTGCAGTCTTTTTCGTTGCCGAGGCTCGTATTGATACTTTGAGAAAGCAAGCGGGGAAGGTAGTAAGTAGACAATGTTTTTCTCCGTGCACTTCCCAAACCATTCCGGGGGTTCCACAGCAGGTGGAAAGCTGAGACCCTTTGCACAAAGCCGGGAGTGTTGCTATACATACTGAGGGACAGGCAACAGAGTACCTTGACCTGTACAGTCTGAGAAGATGGGTATTGTGCTAGCCTCGTCTTGGCTTAAACCCGTGGGACGTCCCACTTGTTCGACTGGTCTTGTGCCCCATCGCTCCCCTTTAGTTTGTTCCACCCCAGGGCGGACACGCAGTACGACTAGAAGGAGTGCCTCCAAAACCACACTGAGGAGCAGGAGCCCGGCAAACAAAACTTGTCCTACCAATAGTACTACTAAAATCATGAAAATGATGTTGCCCTTTCCACAAAGAGAGCAACTGAGTCTCGCACTCCCTTCGAAAATGGCAAAAAACAAGAGCAGCTTTTTTTTCTACATGCTGGTTTTTTCTACACTCAACTTGGTGACAAATGCAGAGGGAGGCCAGGAAAAACCAGCTTGAAAAGAGCCAAGGGCAAAAGCACGGCCACTCCAAAATGAAATGCCCGACACCGACGCACCAAACCCGCTTTCGAAGACTAGAAGAGCCCGTGGTAACAATTGTATATATATCTATAATGGTAGCTTACACCATGAACACTAATATAATATACACGCATATACCCGGAAAAGAAAAGCAGGGACGAGGTAGTACGCAAGCGGCGGGACTAGTACACACTTGGGAACATAGGCTGACAGCGCACAAAACAATGGCTGGAGTGACTAGAAAGGGGGGAGAGGTTTTCAGACGTGCCGTTAGAGGACTGGCCGCCTCGCTAACCGTGCTCGTCGGATCCGTCAGTCGCATGGATTTTGACACTGGGAATTCGTTCTGCGGACTGAAACACCCTCGTGCGAGGAGTGAGAGGAGAAACAAGCTCGCGAGGATTGTCGGTCGACAGAGACGTGGGGCGCTTTCCGGGATCTAACTTGACTTCAAACCGGAAGTACAATTTCCACTTCACAACCTCTCTTTCTTTCAATGAAATGTGGTTCCACACTCGAGATACTACATGTTTGAAAAGGGAGGCGACGACGCGTACAAAAAAAGATCCGTCGCAGTAGGTAGTACCGCCATCTCCTGTTTTCAATCAGATTGCAAAGAATTGGCATCGCGGCGCTTACAACCGCGTTTGATTACTTGGAACGGCTACATTCCCTGGAACCGTCGTGCGATATCCAGAGCGCAGCTTCAGCCTTCTCGGCAGCCATAAAGTCGCACCAACGCGCGATGAAAACAGTGAGTAGTCGAGTCTCTTGGTCCTCGCAAAGCTGCAGTGGCCCCCTGCCAGACAATTTCGCCGTTAATCCCCCCACCTTGGAATGTCGCGGAAGTAGCCATCTCAATTTGTGCGAGAAGAACAATAACCGCCGGATAAATTTGACCCCTTCCGGGCTGCTCAACACAAAATGAGAAACTTTGTCATTACGCATTACGTGCAAAGTGGTGGCGTCGCAAAACGTGCGGTGGCCGACCGCGTAAACAAAAGCAAAGGCAAACGTCGAAGCGGAGGACCGACGCGGACGTCTCGGCTAAATGCAAGAATAGTCGCGGAACAACCGAAGGCCCCCGGGAGATGCGCCGATGGGAAACCAAAAAAACAAGGACCCTGCCACCTCCCTTTACGACGAGCATAATTTACCGGAGTCAAGGTTGCCCGGCCCGTAGAGACGCGGGATGGATTGAAACGGCATTTTCTAAACGAGCGAGGACCGCCATGAGGGGTCCCAAGACGGCCCAGTTCACGAGAAGACGAGGCAGAACACAAAGCTATCTTTGGGAGGCGGAACACGTTCGGTGGGCTCTCTGGGTCTGGCCCACGTGGAGAGCCACTGGGGTGGGCGGGAGGGTCCTCAAGGGGGCGAGCGCTTGCGCTTCTCTTCCTCCTCCTCGGCAGGGACCGGCAGCACGGGGCGGTCGTCCTGGAACAGCGGGTTCTTCACCTCCAGCTCTCCGCCCTGCGTCCACCCAGAACCCCGCGCCGGAGTCGGTCAGAAATCCCCGGACGCACCCCAAAGAACAAAGCAAATAAGCTCGGTGGCCGAAACTTGAACCGAAATTTGGACTTCGTAAAATAAGGCCCCAGAAGCGTTGAACGGGACGCTACGAGCTCCGAAACATCACTCGTACATCGATATCTCAAAGGGATGGCCGTATTTGAAAAGAAGGGCGCGATTGAGCGAGGACTGCGACGTCACGATCCTTCTGGAACAGTTCAGAACGAGGGGAGGCGACCTCACTTCTCTCCTCCTCGCTTCGGTTCACCCGCTTGAGGGGACGAAGCGAAGAGGAAAGGGAATGAAAATCGCGACGTGACATGTCTCGTCGGCCACGTCAGCTGTGTTCGATCGTGCGCTTCTTTTTCCAAAAATACGACCAACTGGTAGAGATATCGCCGTACGAGTGATGTTTTTAGAGTCTTGCAGCGTCCCGCCTATCGCTCCAGCCATATTTTGTGAGCTACAAATTTCGGTTCGTAACTCCAATGGTGCGTAAAAGCGGAAGCAAAATTCATGCAGGCAGACAAAAATGGAGAAACTCGCGCGGTGCTGCCTAACAACCCTGTTTCTTAATTTAATTGTGGCACCATACTAGGCAGGAATAGTAATTGGATTACTAGGAAGGTTATCGAAACCGAAAATATAGAGTGGCTAAACGACCAGCGAGTTAGCACCTCACCTCTGGCTTTGTGAAAGAGGAGTTATATTAGTTAAGGCCCATTCAGACACTTGCGACGGCGTAGGACCGGACGCACTGCCACGGAGCAGCTCCTAAGCCGTCGCAAGAGGCTCAAAAACCGGTCTCGTCTGAGCTAAAAGTCTCGGCTAGTCCTACTCAGTTGCAAGTGTGAACGAGCCTTTAGCCACGAGTTCGAGGAGACAGTAGCAGAGATTTCAAATTGTTTCTTTTAATGCGTCGAAATTAAAGAATGGCTTGTCTCGCGACTGTTCTTTTTGTGTGTGCCTGTGCAAATTGTATGTTTGCTCTTGCATGCTGTAATGTCGGCGTCGCAAATATGTTGGAATTTCTACAAATGGAACTCCGAGAGACCGTGTCACCTGGCAGAAGCTGTGGCGGTCAGAAGACGAGGAGAACGCTTTTAAAAAGTGGCGAGATCTCTGCTTCGAAACATCTTTATTTAATGATTAAAGGAGTAAGATCAAAGATTTTAACGTGACACACTCAAATGCTTCTATTTGTTAATAAAACAGGTTCATCACCGGATTGAATCGTGTTGACATGCAGCGAGTTTTGTTTGCCAAAGACAAAGTTTTGACGTTCAAGAAGGCAATAAAAAAGTGTCGACTATCGAGACAGTCAAGAAAGACGGCGTGGCATTAAAAACCGAACGATTATTCTGAACTGCAGAAACTGACAGTGGTGAAGCAAAAGACGGGGCGGCGCAAGATAAATGTTTTCGCCGTAGCTAGCCTAAGCACAGTGCTCCGTCATGCTCACATCGCGACGCTACCTGTTATTGGTGCGAAGGTTATTTTCAGCGTTTCTACGGGGCATTGATTCGGCAGAAATCGAACAGATCAAGGGAATTCCAAAACTTGGCAGCGGATGAAAATGATGACAGGGAAGAAATGTATGCATTCGAAGATAGGAGGATGATTGTCTTTTTCTACTCCGCGCTCACCTACGCATAAAACTAGATATGGGGACACCAGTGTCGATCGTGTCAAAGCATCAGTTCCAAGCACTGTTTCTTGACGCGCAGTTATCTCCGGCGTCAACAGTAGGTACTGCACACATACACTGGAGAGATGGTCGAGCCAAAAGGCAACGGTGGAGGTGGAATATTCAGACTTGAGGGGGAAAGTGCCACTTCACATACTTGGGGAAGACGGGCTACCACTGATAGGCAGAGACTGGGTTTACGAACTCAAATTCGATTTGTGCACACACAGCCCGGTCAGCGCTGACGTAAAAGCGTCACCACAAAGCGTCTTAGCAAGCTACCCGGACGTGTTCAAGGACGAGCTTGGGTGCATCGAAGGAGAAGAGACTCGGCTCAGCTTGAAAGAAGCTGCGACTCCAAAGTTTCTGAAAGCGCCAAGCGTGCCATTTGCGTTAAAGCCAGCCACAGAGGAAGACCTCAAAAGACAGGACGCTGCAGGCGTGAAGTGGTAGCACACAGTCCCTATGCCAGGACAGTCTGAGGAAAGATGGGTCCGTGTGCCTGTGTGGAGATTAAAAAACGACGCTTCACTCCCCCCGGACGTGGGGTAGTACCCACTGCCAAAACTAGCAGACATTTTAGCAACTGTTGTGGCTGGTGCAACAGTTTTCTCTAAGATAGACTTCAATCGAGCATATCGGCAGGTTCCGGAGCATCCTGAATCCCAGCCGTACTTGACTATCAACACGCACCAAAGCCTGTTCCGGGTAAAACGGTTGGCGTTCAGCATTGCATCAGCGCCGGCACAGTTTCAGATCATAATGGACAACTTGCTTGCGGGCCTGAACGGTGTCTCCTACAATTTCAATGATATCCTGATAACAGGAAAAACAGCCATGCACGAGCTCAAGAAATTAGAGAAGGCATTGAAGAAACTGAGTGACAAGGGCATCCAAATCCAGGTCAAGGAAGAAAAGTGTGAGCTTTTTTGAAGTTTCAAGTTCCTGGGGCATCAAGTCAGTGGCCAAAGAACAGCCGTGTGGCGAGAAAACATGCTAGCCATAGTGCATCTAAGAACTGTAAATAGCAACGGTCGTTTCTGGGAACGTTCTACGGGAAGTTGGTTCTTGACCTGTCCAGCAGGCCACTGAACGAGCTACTGAGGAAGGACGTTGCCTGGTCCTGGAGCGAACGCTGTCAAGACGCTTTTGACACGGTGAAGAAACTTCTGGTTGACGTCCTGGATCACTGTGACCCAAAGGGAGAGCTCCAAGTCGCATGTGACGCAGCAGCACACAAACTCGGCACCGTTCCCTCCAGGGTGTACGCCAACAGTGTTACAAGACCCGTCATGCTGGAGTGAAGAACACTGACCCCGAGTGAAAAGAACTAGAGTCAGCTAGAAGAAAAGGCGCTGGGCATTATGTTTGGCACGAAGAAATTTTGCATGCATGTTTTTCAGCCGTATTTTATGTTGATCACAAACCACGAACCAAACGATACTGGGTCCGAAGACGGGAATACCAAGCACGGCACGCCTGCAGAGGTTCTCCGCAAACCGGCCAGGCCAACTCAATGTGGAGGCCACGTCGCAGCAAAGCCTTTGCCTGCAGTCATTTCCAGTGAGCAGCCAGGAGATGGCTCGAGTGAGGGCAAAAGACAAAGAGCTTTGTCGAGCGACCAGGTGCCTGGTGGGTGCCTGGCCCACAAGGGTAGAAGATACACAACAGCTTCGTCCTGTTGTGTAGGTAGGTTTCTTGACCTCGTCTTCGTCGTTCGAGCTGTTTTAATCGTGTATATCATTTCCCAACTCGCCCAATCCGTTACCTTAGTAGAAGATCGACTGAAATGCAACTTTGCAAGAAGAAACCAGCTGACATGGCACCAGCCTTGCTTGTTGTGGGGAATGCGGGTGGTAATCCAGAGTGGACTTTGCGAGTGTGTAGTGGAAATGCACGAGGGGCACCCAGGGATTGCCCGAATTAAAGAGCAGTACGCAGCTACACCTGGTGAACGGAGGTTGGCAGGGACATTGAGTGTCTTGTTTGGACGTGTGAGGCCTGCCAGCAACAATGGGGCCTTCCAGGTACGGCACCGCTGAATCCTTGGTCTTGATTTACGCGACTGGCAACGGCTGCACTCGGATTTTGCGGGCCCTTTCCAAAATCGCCAATTTTTGGTGAGCGCGGCTTTGCACTCCAAGTGGCCCCAAGTTTTCCCGACGAGCAGCGCTTTGGCCGAAGCCACAACTGAGAAGCTCAGGGACCTGTTTAGTCATTTTGGTCTGCCGAATGTGATTGTAAGTGATAATGGCCCTCGAATTTTGTTCCCCAGAGTTTCACATTTTCCTGCGAGAGAAGGGCGTGCGACACGTCGCGACTGACCATCCGTCGAGTAACGGGCTGGCGGAGCGTTTTATTCAAACCCTGAAGGAGGCCTTGTGAAGAGAGGCCTCCGCCCCTACGATTGTCCAGATTCTTGTAGGCTTGGAGGAACGCACCACAAACCTTCAGAGTCCGGCAAAGAGCCCCTTTTTAGCATATAAACCTTATAAACCATAGACAATAGTTTCTACAGCTTTGATTGACAGGAACTTCGAAATGAGAAGGCATTTTTTGTCGGAAGAAAAACGGCCAGGCCCGCCCACTCGCTCGAAGCAAGAGGGCTCGAGTTGTACGCCGAAGTTTTCCGAGAAAGTGACAGTGCCTCAGATTCCTGCCAGGTTTCGGTGGCCACGTCTGTCAACACAATGAGGTTGTTTCTGTGCCATCTTAGTTTATCCTGCCGCGAGGTGGTTGCTCGCAGTTGCGTGTCGAGTTCCCGATTTGCCTCTTTTAGCTCCTCGAGTTAAGGGTTGAATGGCAGACGGCTCACTTTCGAAGACGTGGTAAAAATAAGCTATGTGTATCCGAGAGCTCACCGAGGCCATCCCCGGGCACTCGTAGACGGTGTAGTCGCCCTCCTCGTTCTCCTCCTCCTCCGTGTCCACGTCCGAGGCCGACGTGTGCCTGTTGGCCTGGTTCCTGCGGGGAAGACCACACGGGGGCTCGCTGCGGATATTACGCAAGATGCCCACGGGACGCCCAAAGAAAAGGATGCGGTTAGAACTTCAAAGAGCTCTGGAACTCGAGGAACCCCTACCTGCCTCTGATGGCAGCCAAGGGACCAGTTTCAACAATGAGGAAAACAAGTACTAAAGCGCAAGACTACGGACCTTGTAATCTGTTATGAACATGTTAGGGAGCGTTTGGCCGATAAGTAGCTCGGATCTGCTAAGTTAGGCCTTAAACTGAAAAAAAAAAACATACTCAGGGTAGGGGTGCACAACTATCGATAGTACTATCGATAGTGGGAGTTAAATCTAACCATCGATAGTACTATCATTAGTCGACCGTTGTAAAACTACCGATAGTAGTGTTGAGTCGACTTAAAAACTATCAATATTACTATCGATAGTCGACTATTAAAAAACTATCGATAGTATACTATCTACAGTTGACTATCGTGAAACCATCGATCGTATACAGTCGATAGTCAAATACCTTGAAACTACCAATAGCCGACTGCTGGAAAGCTATCGATAGTATTTCATTAGGTGACTGAGAACCTCGAGAGTTTGTCCGGGACATGTCGTGAAGCTCGGAGAAAACGTAACTGGGGACTTCCGCATAACTGTCGAGGAGCAATCGAAAACTTATCGGAAAGCTATCAAAAAACAGTAGAAATACTTTTTATAAACTATCAACAATAGATTATAAAAAAAAACAAAAAAGAACTATACATTGTATACTATTGAAAAACTGTAAATTAAAGATATCCATAGAGAAATATTAGTATTTTTTTCGATAGGTTGCCTAAGTTTATCTACTGTTTTTAGATTGCTTGCCGAGAGTTTGCAATTTGTTTTTTATAGGCAGAGTTCAATCCTGGAAATTCAAAATAATTTTGTCGCCCCTGATAAGTAAGCTATGTATGGCAGGGCCATAAGTTGAGACTTTACCCAAATGCAAAAACGGGCGTTTCTTTTGCCCAAACAGGTCTCGAGGAAGAAAACAAACATGATATTGCATTTCAGATTCATGAGCATTTTCTCCATGAAATCATGCTCCATTGCCAACTAGCGCTGTAGAGTTGCCACTTCGGAGTTGGAATGATTTTAGAATCATACCACACTTTTGCAACGCCAGAATGGAATGTGAACGGAATGGCGGCAGCGCTGAGAGAAATGGAATGGGCCTGGTTCTTACGCGAGCTGTGTCAATCTTCAGCTAGGGCCTACGGGCTGCTGGAACAATTCACTAGAGCACAGTCAAAGTGGCTCTTAAAACAGCATCTTTGCACTGCGGGTGACTGACGGCTCAATTGTTTCACCTGCCCATTGCTCATCCGAGGATGAAAGTGGTGTGCCCCCGGTGAAGCAACCAGAACTGAAAAGTTGTACACGGACAATTCCTGGCACCGCGAGACATGACAAAGCGGTAGTTGTAACCATGAGCGATTAGCACATGGCTTTAACCCATCTGATCAGCATTTCCGTGGAACACAAATATAGAATTTGATTGAATACAGTTAGAAATGACAAGAATCGTACAGCAGACATTAAAGCATGTGTTTTAGGAAGGTCCCATAACATGGTGCTACATTCTCTCAGGCTGGCAACAAAGCGATTGCGTTTTGCAAGCGGATTTATGTGCTTGCGGCAATGCGTGGAGCTTCGAGGCAGGCATTTGCGGCATCGCTTAAAACAGCGCACTAGCGGTGCTGTTGTGCTCGAAGCAAGTACGAGACCTCCTTGCGCCACGCATGAACCAGGTATCTGTGGTCCATTTGTGAAGAAAATGGGTGGTTTTAAGTTCTGGCGTTTCTTAGAAGCGCTTGATCGCACGATCAACGTGTGCAGTGACACCAAGTGCCACGAAGCGCTTTGTGCGACCACCGCTCGGTTTCGTAGAATGACTGCTTTGGGGAGCAGTTGTTTCTGTGTTTGGTAACGTCAGCAGCTGTATGCTGCTTTTAGCCATTTTTTCACGGTTAGAGATTAGAGGAATGGAATGGTGGAGCTCAGCCATTCCAGGAATGAGAATGGGCCCAGTGTCTCCCCTAATAGGAGTTGAACGGAATGGAATTGTCGGAAACTCTAGTTCCCCGGAATGAAGTTGGAATGGAATGGGGGATGGATGGATGGATGGATGAATGGATGGATGCTAATGTCTGTACCCTTCATAACGAGCGGTAGCTAGTGCCACCTAGCCTAGATACCAAAAGTATGATTCGTCCCCTCGCCCTTCTAAGCACATTCTGCAACACTGTTGCCAACAATAATGTTACTTAAATCATGGGAAACTTTTGGTTTTATCCCTTATTTTTGATTTAATTAAAGTTATGTTCCCAAACTTCTTGTATTTGAAGAATAGAAAAAATAAAAGTGTCTGTAACTAATGATGTTGGCCTGGTATAAGTTTTATATCAGGTAATGTTCAATTTGAAGTATCAACAAAATTTCTGTTGCACTTACTCGAAAATATTTATTTATTCATTATGCTTTATTTTTATTTATTTTTTAAGCTGTATTTTATCTTTATTTCGAAGCTGTATTTTATACACACAGGTAAATCATCTACCAGTCACAATTATCTAAATCTGCCAAAATAAAACCGTACAAAAAGTGGCAACATGTCACGGCACACAAAACTGTTTTTGTCACCAGCTAGTTAGAAACAGCTAATTAGCTATTTTTGGGAATCAGCAGAAAAAGAAATGTATCATCCTAAGCTAAGTGCACATTTTGACCTGTCAGGGGTCAAGTCTTTGGACAACCGTGACAATTAAATAATGTGACAATAATTTTTATAAAAAATATATAAACAGCATGAAACAAACTAGCGAAAAACTCTGATGCTAAATGCCTTCAGTAAGTGTCTCTTCTAGATCTAAGACAGATAAAAAAAATGTAATGTATACTTCTTATTTTTACAGATGTGGGCATACTAATCTGCGAACCTTGATACCTGAAATTCAGCAATATGCAAAATGTGTGCACAGAAGAAGTAGTGAAATGCCATTTCTGTACTATCCTTAAACTAGTTGTATGAGAATACAACCCTGTGTTTAGTTTACTTTTTATTTCATGTTTTACCCAAAGCCCCATGTTGTCTGCCCATACATAACCATCATCATCTTCTTTTTGGGCTGTGATTTCATTTTCGCAGCACTCTATAGGGAGTATTCACTGGCGGCCATATCTGTGTGCGCGGCTGCTGAGCGCATGCTGACAGCGAGCTTCCGCAGTCCTTTTGGAGCGTGCATTTAGCACCATCAGGGTTGCCGGTCTTAGCAGGCAATTAATGTGAGCTCGTTCTGGGCATGCACTCAAAACATCGCCCTCAAATGCGCTGTTACCTGCGTGAAAATAAAAAAAAAAATAGAAAAAACTGTGTCAGATTGTCCGGTCTCTCCGGCAAAAAGTAAATCCGAATGCTGTACCTTTTTTACTATACAAAGTTCGTACTGGTGTAGGCCTTTAGCGACCGTGAGTGGAAGTCTGAAATAATAAATAAAAAGGTGCTCTCCTGCCTCAATACACGCAGTAGTTGAGGGTAGTACTGCCGGCTGACTCAACTGCTATTTAAGCAACGGAAAACAGATGTGCTAGTTGATCATTTAACGAAATAGAACAACAGAGAGCTATAGGCTGCTGTTAGAGTAGCCATAACTATTCTAAGAACGCGAACCACGTCACAACGGCAGCCACGAGCAAGAGTTCGATGCTCCGTACAGCCCGCCGATACAGCCCAAAGATGGAGAATGGCAACCTCCCGGTTTGTCGTCTGCTAGCGGGCGCGTGCCCTCTCTCTTGTTTTACCCCGCCGAACTTCCCAGATGTATGGAGAGGGCGCTGATGTCGAACAAAATGGTGCCGCCCAGAGAGCGCTAAATGGAATGGTCTATAGTTTTCTGAAAGTTTTCTGAGAGCCCACTATCAATAGTCGACCATCAATAGTAATATTGGCAGTCAACCGTCGATAGCACCGTAGATGGTATTGTTGATATTTTATTATCAATAATACTATTTATAGTACCATCGGTAGTGATAATTTTTCTATCGATAGTGGACTATTGATAGTCAATAGCTTTACTATCAATAGTTTCTTTGAAACTATCGGTAGTATATTTTGGCAGTTTCACATCCTCGGGGAATGTTTGGGACCTTGGAGCACCCAGGAGGCTCCTCTGGGAAACCACTAGAAGATGCTTAAATTCCCTTCCTCTGGCGAACCCGCTCACTTCTCGACGGCGATCATCTGCTGCTTCTGGTGCTGGAAGTGGTACATCTGGGCGCTCTGCGCCAGCTTGCGGTCTGCCGTGGGCGACGCTCCCTCCTTGTTGGGGCCGGTCACACCGTACGCCGGGTAGTCCACGTCTGCCGCCGCCCGCGCATTCTTCTGGACCCTGTTGGGGGGTGCCAACCCGTGGGAAAAGGAGCCCCTATGCCCGTTTCCTCTTTCTTGAGAAAAATAGTTCCCCACTAATAGTGTGACAGATGGGCCAGCTGGTCCATGATCTCTTTTGATAAAATGCGCCGCAACACAGGGGCAGAGTAAGGGAGCTGTACGAGTCATTCAACAATAGATTGCAGGGGGATGACAGATGCATACAGTAGACTCTCATTACTCCAGGAAGTCGCAGATTTTAGTTTGGATTATCAGAAGTTTGAATTATTAGAAATTCATCTAAATATGATACTATACAACATTATGATTTGTTCCACGGATAGCTACACATACAAAGCAGATTTTTGCCAGTTTCCTCTACATAGGCCTAATTATAAGCAAGTACAGGCATAACACATTGGTGAAGGAACTGTGACATTAAGTTTATTCATCCGCCGAAACATTTGTCGATTGTGGACTGTTTAGTCAGCACATGAGATCTCAAAACAAAATTTTCAATACCAGCCAACGCAAGTGGCTCTTTACGGGACTTCTTTTGCAGACAGAAACTTCCGGAGCTGAGCGATGTGCTCAAAGGCTTCTGTGGCGTGACAGTTGGTAGTGGCTCTTTACGGGACTTCTTTTGCAGACAGAAACTTCCGGAGCTGAGCGATGTGCTCAAAGGCTTCTGTGGCGTGACAGTTGGTAGTGGGTCATCCCTTTTTTCATCATCGTCATCTTCACTCTCACTGCTGCACTGTGCTGGCATTACTTCCTGTACTATGTCCTCTAATGAGACATCACAACAAACACAGACATCGTCGACTCAAGACTAGCATATTCCGCCAGCTTGGCGTTCACATTATGTGCTTCAGGGCCCGAAAGCATGATGCCAGCGAGCTGTTCCTCATCCTCGATGTCCTCTTGGTCATCATTGCTAGTCTTGAAGCAAGCACGTAGTGTGAATGCCGTTTTCCGCTAATTGTGCCCTCTTGAGCCCCGTTGAGTGCGCTTCTTTCCGAGCACCGGTGCACTGCAGAGAAGCAACACTGGCAAAAGCAAGCTCCGCAGGTATTGCTTCTCTGCGGTGCACCGGTGCTCGGAAAGAAGCGCACTCAACGGGGCCGCGAGAAGAAAAAAATGTGAATTTGGCGAAAACGCCGTTCGAGGCTTATAAATACACTAAAACATAGCGGGACAACCAAAATTTTCAAATCTGTTTGAATTGACCGGAAGTATGAAACATCTGAGTTTGAATTATCGCGAGCCTACTGTAAGTGCCCTGACAGTCCATTAACAGACAAGGAATTCGAATTCGTGCTTGAGAAGCCCGATTTGGCATATAAATAGTGTGTGTTGCTTCAATAAACATTTAGTTGAAAGTAGCACTTCGTGTTGTCTCCCTTACTCTGTCCCTGTTTCCCCACTAACTTGCAAGTGAATCGAGGTTGAGCGTCAACAACTTGTGTGCCCCCAAATAACTTATTTGTGGGTTAAGTTGATCCATTAGGCTTTATTCTAGAAATTGGGAAAGCCCACTTTTGTACCTTCCAGAGGCAGACTTCCAGAGGCAGACACTCTTTCTACGGCTCCACATACCATGGCTACACTTTTCGCGCGCTTCCAACAAATATGGCGGCCGCTCAGAAAGGGGGTACTAAGCAGTTTCAAGAAGCGTGCTGACTCACTTGTAAAAGCAGTACCCGGCAGCCACGACTCCAAAAACTGCCACTGCACTGCAACCCGCTACGAGAGCTGAAAGACAGGGGCCCACAACCTTGCCCAATCACACACATACACCGAGTGCATCTTGAGAGTCCCAATCGCTGCAGAGCCCCTTTCACGAGACAAAAGTCATCGCGTCCAAAGAACCATGCTTTGCTGTGCCCAGCTGCATGCTATGTCTCACAGTTGACAGAGCTACGTTGCAATATTGAGGAGATCCGCATACCCCCAGTGCCAGCAGTTATTGTAAACAAAGTCAAATTCCATACACCGAATTCCTGGCCTTTTTGTCATTTCTCGGCACATTGTTAGCAACGTGCCGAAAAACTTGGGGAGAGGAGGATAGGAGAGGGGATGGTCGGAATGAGCACTGGCTGGAATGATTAGTGCACGGCTAGACCTAAAGCTACCTGCCTTTGTCTCCACTGCACTCGCCAAACGCGTTAAATGCAAAAGCCAAACGCCGTTCCGCATTGGATGTCTTCGGCCGAGCCAAGGGCTGTGAGCCTTAGGTCTACCCACTAATCCTTCCAACCGGAGCTCAGCATTCTGATGCTCTCCTCCTCTCCCTCCGTTTCTTGGAGCGTACCAGGCCCCAAATCTAACGGAACTTGTCACTCCAATTCTAATGCAATGAATTATAACATGTTTAGAGATGTGCAAAAGCAAAGGTTTCACTGCGGGTCAACTGCATATTTAAAATTAAATGAAAATGGAATGTGACTGGTTTTTGAATATTTCAACTTGGTGTAAATCAAATATGAATACCAATTTTGAAATATCAACGTAAATGCAAAAAGAACTAAAATATGATATTCGAACCAAATATAGACAGAATAAGTAAGTTGAACAATACTACCTACGCTTCATTTGCGAGAAAAAACATTTCCATTCCACTGAAACTGTGGAGGAACCACCATTTATGCGCCGTTAATACTTTGAGAAACGCTATATGTTTAAGTTATTTACGGTCCCCTTCCTCGGAACCACAATGGAAGTCGAATCCATCTCCCAAAGTACCGGGAGAAAATGAAACACGGCTTCTTGGCTCGTAAAAATAAACTCTGCATCGCAATAAGCTGAAACTTCAAAATGTTGAAATTTGAGAACATGACGTTATCTGGATCAAAAGATACGAGAGAAGGACAAAACTTCTCTGAGCCGAAATTCACCTAAGCCTAATATTCAAAGAACCAAGAAATGACATTCAGGCACCTGTAGCATTTATTTTCGCGAAAAAAACTTGTCAGAAAGAAAAAAGAACAATATTGTTTTTCTCACTGAGCAGTTTTTTGACCGTAATTAATGCTACAGATGCCCACGTTGTAATTTTTTGGCTCGACGAATATTAGGCTAAGGCGGACCTCGAATCGTACAGACATTTTAATCTTTTTCTCAACTCTTTCAATGCAGGTCAGACCACGTTTTCAGACGTTTGCATTTTGTGAGCACTGCTAGCATCCCATTCTCACGGAGTTTCGGCATTCCGTGATGCGTAGTTTATTCTTGCGGGCCGAGCAACAACATTTCATTCTCTCGAATGCACCCTGTGCAGAACAGGAGCACGCTCTTTTAAAGGGGAACCCCGCGTCATTCTCTATTCTTAGGAAACAAGGCAACTCTGTTTAGTATCATCTAGAGAGACCACATGTCAAATATTACAACATAACACCACCTAAAAGGTTACTAATTCGGCCAACAAAGATAGAGATGCGTGAAGTAACCAAAAATCCACTAAATTCGCGGACGACAAGCGGCGCAGCCAACGTTGTATTTCCGTTCTGGCTGACGTCTGTTGGATACGCAGCTTTTTTTCTTAGCATTTTCTTTTTTGCGGAGGGCTTACCAGGCGGCGCTACAGGTGCGCTCCACATCTGAGAGGGCGAAGAGGCAAAAGACAGGTGGAAAAGAAGAAACGAGAACAAGAAAAACCAGAAGAGGGAGAGGGTGATATGGGATGAGTTTTGCCACTGATCTCAGATCAGTGAGTTTCGCTGCCATACGTGCCGGCCAGTGCCAACAGATTAGCCGCCTAAATTGCCAGCTACGTAGCCTGCATTGTCGCCGCTTGCGTTGCCTGTTCGCAGCTGCCGCTTCGCCCGTCCTCCCTCCTCACCCTTTTCCGCGCATCTGCGTCTTTTCTGGATTACCGCGGGTAGATCACGTGACCCCTTGTGTCCCTTGTGGGTGCGTATGCAATGGACGTCGAGGGTACAATGTTGCCCGGCTGTGCCGTAGTTTGTTTTGGTTTGCAATTATGGTAAATAACAAGATTGCACGAAAAATATTTTGGTTTTCATGAGACAAATGGTCTAGTGCTGTTTTGAAGCACTTTTCACGTTTCTCAATCAAAATATTCTGGGGGGCTAGTTGGTTATACATACTAAAATACAAATAGCGCTAAGACAAGGACAAACGAAGAAAAGGACAGGACAGGCGCTAACTCTCAACTGACGGTATTATATATAACAAGAAAGAAAAAGGTGGTTGAGCACCTTCTGCTTTCTCGTCGTAATAGAACCGCAAGGAGAAAGTTAGCACCTGTCCTGTCCACTTCTTCATCCGTCCTTGTCTTGGCGCTATTTCTAATTTAGCACTATCTCAAAATTTCCAGAATCGAGTAGAGTTGCCCTTTAAGGAGCAAAGAAAACAGGCCCACGCACAGAGAAAATCCGGTACGACAAAGCGATCTCGACCTCCCGTTTCCCATCTCTTTGGGTCCCGGGGCACCACCACTCCTCGTGCGACCCAACAGCCGTCGGCCGACAGAGAGAGCGGAGACACGCACTCACCAACGAAATAAATATCTGCCATAAAAGAAGCCCTCCTTGTGACCGTGTGTTCATTTGGATCAGAGGCCCGCAGTGCTCCGGCCACCGGCCCCGCGTCGGCTCTGTCGTCGGATTCTCTCGAGGACCGGCCGTCTTGGGATGTCTCGGATGGCGGTTCCGGGAAACGCTCGGGTTCAGCCTGGCCAGGGGAGGCTGCCGCTTGCGAGGCTGCACCCATTGCGCAAAGGTCAGCACTGCCTCGCAGCAACAAGCCTCGCAGGCAACTCTGCTTTCCATGCCTCAAAATGCCTTCCGACAGCTTAGATTCCCTATGCACAGCCCCTCTAGGAAGGGTATGGGGAATGCTTAACGTGCCTAGAGCTAATGCAGAGAAGAGCTATAAATAACGGGGGATTCAAATTGAAGCACTAGCTCTAACAAAAGTGTGGGTGCCAAAACATTTTTCGATACCGGGGTCGAGAGAGGCAGGAGACTGTACCTGCCCTCGTCTCCCCAGTATCCGGGCGCTCAACTTAGTCACGAGTTTGCACTTTTCCTGACGGAACGAGAGATCTCTCGCAATAAAGGTCCCGGCATTTGTTAGTGAATAAGTTTGGACTTGCTAGGACAATATCTTTTGACCCTAGCAAAGTCCTGACATAAAATAAATCAACAAACAGTTCTCAATTTGCTAGCAGGGCAATAAATTTATCACTGTCAATCTGCCGAGACAAAAACTGAATTCAACGATTCTGAGTTTTGCTCAAAATATTCGCCGGGAATATCTGGAGAATGAGGCCCGATGCAGTTGATGGCCGCCTCCAAGGAGAATCAATCAACATTAGTCTGCCCGACAACCTTTCGACGATTCAATCAGAATACCGGAATCGTGCAAATAAATAAATTACAAACCCCTGACACGCAGAAGTTCCATAGCCTCGAGCCAGAAACCTAACTAAGTCGATGTCCTAATCTATCGTTAAAACTGGCCCAAGACGGTCGATACCAAGAGTGAAACCCGTGTCCACCACATTTCACCACTAATGTCTTCGAAAGTATTCTCCCACAATTTGTGATCCGAAAAAACATGTTTTGCCACGCAACGCACCAATTGTTGCGAGGCAAACTAAGCCAGCTCACCGGGGGGTAGGATGGGGAGGATGTCAGCCGTGCACAACACAGATTGTCTTTGATTCAAAAGCCTTCTTGCCACACAACAGGAAAATGAAAACGAAGTCCCCTACCGAGACTAGCACGTCAAATACATGCCCAGCAACCCTGCCATTTGCGAAGCGATTGAAATGAAAACAAGCACCGACCTTGAAATGGGCAGATATTGTGGCGAGGCACGGCGTTTCTCAGGCTTTGTCCGCACAAGCGACGCACGGTGTTCCAAACAAACCGAGAAACAGGCCGGAAGAAAGACAATGGATCTGACAACACAATGGAGTCTGCCCTCCCCAGAAGAAGGGGCCCCAACTGCCGAGATCGGTCCAGCTTGCAGAGAACGGGAAGCAGCACCTGTCGGCACACCGCTCCGACGGGGAACATTGCCTCGAAAGGGTAAAGATGCGCTCACCTGACAGTAATTCGCCGCTTCCAAAACATGAAGTTGTCAGTGGCAACGAGAAAAAAAAACAGTAAGTAGACAGCCGAGAAATTTCGATGCACCCCTTCATTTGTCTCGGAATTGTTTAGCTTGTCTTTGAAAATAGCACGTTTGGATTCTTTATTGTTGTCAAAAGATGTCATCTCCTTCTCATCACTTGCTGCCATTATGTAAACGACGTAGAATGAAATGCTTTGAAAATGGCATTATTTTGTAACGGCTTCAATAAGAAATATTAGCAAAGAGGAAGTCCTCGCCGTGTGCCTGTCACTTTCAATGTCCACTTCTTGCTTCTTAACCGAATCTTTTCACAGTTTGAGTTGCCAGATATTCTCGCCCACTCTATCACAGGGGTTGGTTTTTCTCGTTGATTTTCTTAAATTCTTATGCCGTTTGAACATGACCTGTAAACAGCCCGTGTTTTTCGAAGTATAAGTCTTGGCTTTTTTTCCCAAATCTTTCTCAATGTGTTTTAAACAACGCAGCGAGTTATACGAGTTATTTTCTTAGGAGAATGGATTTTAACTGTGAAAGATGTAGGCCATATTTTTTTCCTTATAGAAGGCACATGAGGATGTAGTCTCTCTATTTCGTTGTTGCATCGTGACGAATCTAAATCCGTCAAACGTAGCATTTGGGTACTCCGGATCAGCTTCCCCTAATAATCTGTGACGGCAATAGAAAAAAGTGCAAGTTACACAAAGGTACACTTAACTACAAACTTTTTTGCGGAAACGGCCGTTAATGGGGGTGCGACTTATACAATGGTGTGACATATAGACTGCAAAATGTGGTAAACTTCCCACGAGAGATTTGATCCAGTCAGTGTTTGTCACGCAGCTCCGGTGCAGTCAGTTCCACGAGGTCAATTTGCCGGCCGAGCGTCAGATGTAGGCACGAGCGGGTCGGGTTAATATCTACGGATGACAGGGACACAGTTCCAGTGTTCAATGTCTACACGCCAGTTGGAAAAGCTAGACCTCTGAACTGCACACGAAACGGATTAACGTGGCTAAAAGAGGCATGACGCGACTCGACGTACGACTGTTTCCGATTCCCAACGCGAATGTTAAATGTGGCACTCGAATATTGCTCGATTACCGGCAGCCGCGGAAAGTTAAGAAAAGCGGGTGCCAGAACTTGTGTGTGTGAACAATAGATGGTGCGTACCGAAGCGAGAAACGGCCGAAACCTGGCCGCACGTATACACGGTTATTCAACTTTTGCACCACGAGAGACTGCAACGGACACAAGAGAGCCACCCACCGGCGTCCGAGGACCGGTCGACGGCGAACCCCTCCGACGCGACCTGCAGCGAGGGGTGCAGCGCCGAGTCGTCCGGTAGCCCAGCCCCGTCGTCCTCGGCCAAGCGCTCCCGCAGCAACCGCTCCCGCGCCCACGAACCGGGCACCACCCGCAGGCCCCGGGCCGGCACAAAGCCGGGCCCTGCCCGCCATAGCCCTGGGCAGAACACGCCGAAGTGAGCCCGTGACGCCTCCGAGGAGCGCAATCCTCATTTTCCTTGCGCCGTCGTCTCACAACTGAGAGGCTGTCGTGAAAAGCATTATGTCGCCAACAGGTTGAGAATGGCGAGGAGGAGCTTCTGTCATCTCAGGCTTTCCATCATCGACGGCGCTTGGGCATCTCGCGATTCTAGTGTGTGCACACGCGGTCAAAGGCAACGAGCGTCTGCTTGAGGCGTTCAAAAGGGGCGCCCTTCTCATCTCGTTAATGACTATGGCATTCCGGGATGTGCTCACCCGGGATCCTAACTTGTCATTTAATGCCAAAACCATCCGAGTAAAATTAAAAAAAAAAAAAAAAAAAATGCAAATGCCACATTTCTTTGCGGTTCACTCGTGGAGGTTGGTGCCAAGAACCGTGGTTTGGTACCTAGGTCGAGGACCTCTGAGGGCAGATTCTACATCACCGAGAGTTTTAATTGCGGCTTTCCAGCTGGAAACATAAATGAAGTGCGACAGTCAATTGTCTGCGATGACTGCATTGCGCTGTGCACGTCGCCGGAGCGCTGCGGTTTCGCAACGACCGACACACTCTGTGGCAAAAGACACATTTGAAAAAGATTGAGCAACCCAAATCTGTCGCACCTGTCCGTGCTTTCCCTCCTGTCTCGGAACCATTGCAACTTTAGCGAACGAGGGAAAGTGCTTGTGCGGGATTATGCGGTAGGCACACGAGGCGTTCTACCGCGAGAAATGTGCATTTAAACTTGCCATTGGAGATCTTTGCACATCTATTCCCCTCGTTCCACCGCTCTAGCGTCAGCTTCCCATATTCGAGCAACGGGAAGGAAAAGGGTGCAAGATTTAGGCTCCAGCTATTTCTTAGAGCTCGTCTCGCAGAAAACCCTAGCTCAGAAGTGGCTCACTACTTGAGCCACTTTGTAGCTGAAACGTTTGTTAACTGAAATGGTCAGTTTGACCAAATGGTGTTCCTTTTCAGATGCCAAGGAAGTTATAATTTTTTGGCAACTCTCTAAGCATAGAATTATACACTTATGCCTTTCCAGGGTCTCTTCAGCCAAAAGTGGAATTTCACTTCCTCTTCTCTTGACATAAACATATTTTACTAATACTGTACTGCTGGCTACAGTTCCAGTGTAGCCTGACATCACTTTCCATAGCTGGAAGTTATAAAAAGTTCTGATGCACAAGTCAACACCCTGCAGGTAATACAGCCAAATTCACATGCCTCGTGCAACTGAAACAAAACATACAATTGCACACAGCGATTTTCAGAAGAAATCTATCAAAGCTGAATATTTGTGTTCTAGAGCCAATTGAGGCAAAGTCAAGGGTCGAGTTAAAAGTTGCGCTTCTAACTTTAACATCTAGCATAAGCTTCTAATGTACTACCAAGGAGATAACTCGTCAACTTTCCAGCATCTACAGGAAAATATGCTTCTTCTAATAAAACGAGCAATTTTACATAGCTTCACATTACACTATCAGCGACGGATTACTTACCCTCCCCCACTTTTGTCACCTCATACATAACCGGTCATTTTGCTCCATATTGCTCTAAAAGGCAACTCCACAAAGCATGATATCATTAATGCAAACATTCTCTATGAACTGAAACTGTTGTCTGTTCTCTTTGAACTGAAACTGTTGTCAGAAGCAATCTCCTAGCATAATGGAAAGAGCCCATTTGGGGCACCAACTTGAAAGGGCACAACAAAGGGACGAAGAAAACCAAATGCTGCTTCGAAGGGCGTGCCAATCAGCGTCGAACACGAGCGTTCAGTGACAACATTGGTATAGAGCAGGGGTTGGCCACCTTTTGCTGCAGCGGGCCAAATTGTTGCAAATCGGAGGTATAGCAGGCCGGACGGAGAACAAAGGCAGAGGAGGGATATTTTATAGAAATGGAAGATAAAAAACTGTCACACACTAAAAGTAACATAAAAAGATGTTATATTGATTTAGGCACATGTAGCATAAGATTGCTCGAGTCCCCACTCAGTAGGATTTTGAATGTTCAATATTGCTTGCCAAAATGCAAACATCCGCATTTAAACTCTTAGCTAAGAGTTGCTAAACATTTCGGAGGTGCTCAGCTGTCATTCACAGGAACCACGATACACTTTAGTCTTCATGTTGAAAAATCTGTTTGCTGGTATGTCCGTGCAGTAACGAACACTTCGATCAAGGTCACTGCAAGATTTCATAGATTTTGAAACTTTAATTCAGGGGGGCCAGCAGAAAACTTAGCAAAGCTTTCGCAACAAATGCATTCTTCAGCTTACTGCCCGTTTGAGGATCAGCTGATCCGTGAAATCTATCTGGCAAATCTCTTGAACTTGTTCAGAGTTAATGTGGCCGGTTATGCCGAGTTTGCAACCAAATACAGCTCTTGTCCTTGTGTTGTTGTTTTTGTTTGTGTGTATGTGTGTCTGTGTAAGGAGCATTTTTGGTGGCGTGCCGTGGGCCATTTAATATTACCCTGCAGACTGTTGGTTGCCGTCCTTTGGTAAAGAGGGTCAGATAATGATGACAGAATTCTAGACGTAAAACTGGCTGGATAGGTGCCCCTGACCCTTCCTGATCCTTTCAAGCGCGTGATGCTTTGCTTGGAACACCCGTAAATTGATGGGGCATTCACATCTTCAAAACCGGATGTTAATTCCAACAATTAAGAAAATCACAATGGTTGTTGCATGCTTTTGTTGTTTCGGCTCTCTATATTGGTTCAGACCAATGACGTCATCAACAATTGAAAATGTGCTCAAAATTCTAAATTTCTTTCACCTACGCTTATTTTATTTTTTACGCATTGATAGTGTTTCACACACTAGTTGGAGCGAGTGCAACGCAACTTGATAAATATCAAGAAATGCTTTGCCGAGACCCTTGAAGTGGTAGAATTTGGTGTTTGTCAACATCCAACCTCAGTAGAATGCAAAAAAGTGTCGATATTCTGTTTCAGGGGTCGAACTCATGAAATGTACTTGGGAGCAGCCACGGGAGCAGCTGAAACAGCTGTTTTGGAGCAGGTTGGGAGCAGCTAAAACTACATTCTGGAGCAGGCTAGGAGCAGCTCAGATCAGTTCTCTTTGCACTTCAGCTTGTGTCTTAGACAAGCATGGGAACAATTTCAATTGTGCTTAGCCGCACAGATGAACATGAGTGGTCAGGGACCGAAGTGGGTGGGATAACAGTGTAACAGATGCGAAAACTTGAAACCTTGTGAGCCTCAATGAGAACCAAAAAGCAAGTACCATATGTTTCTGAAGATAGTGTCCTTGATATTTTCTCAGCGGCTTTCAGCTGAATACAAACCAGCACTCCTTATCGCACAACTCACACGTGCTCGACATAGTAATTATATGTGCAAACCACGTGACGTGTGTAAGGAATGGATGTGCAGTTACGCAGAGGAACAGGGCAACCAATTTCGAGTTTATCCTACTGTGCAACTCAATATCGCAACAAATTTTGAGTTTGTCCTATTGTGCAACAGAATATCGAAGCAGCAGACTACGATTAACGGAGTTATCGTATTTGGAGCGATAAGCAGGAGCAAGGTCAAAGTGCGCCGAGCAGATCTACCGCTTGCATGAGAGCTGCTGGCCGGCAAGGTTTCGGATCGGACCGCGTTTCAGTTCTATCAAATCACGATTTATCTTGCAGGAGTGCAGTTCCAACTTCTAACGATGAAGTACTAAAAGGAATCTTTCGCTCAGTTGTTTTCAACTGGCTGACGTTCGGATCCCTCAGGCAATCCGACGCATAATGACTCGACCTCACCTCGGCCGACTTGCTTAACCGCTTATAGTTGAAGAATAACAATCCAGTGGCGGGTGGTGTATTGGAATCAGACCCCAGAGTTTTTTCGCGCGACTCGGGATACACAGGGAGAATAAACAGAACAAAAGATTGCAAGGCCGACAGAGCTAAACATGCTCATTGTTGCCAATCGAGTGGATAGAAACCGAAACCAAGACAAAATACAATTTTTTGGCGCACGTTTTGCGATTTGGTGCATAATGGAGCGAGGTATTGGTTGTGGCACAGTTTCCGCGACATGGCGCAGGATGGCAGAGACAAATGCGTCTGGCGCAAATTGGCGCAAATGGAGCAGCCGTTCCACCCCTGTGTTTGTGCAAAAAGTGTCACGCAGCGTACCTACCGTAATTTTTGTTCCTCAACACGTTGCACTTTCTTTTTTTTTTTCTTTTGTTCCCGATTCTGAGCTGTAAAAACACTCAAGATTTACACCTGAAACTGAATAGGCCGAGATATTCAATGCAGTGCCCAACAAGCACGAACAGGAAGGCAGATGGCACTTCTTGAAAGCGCACAAATCGTGCAAAGCTGAAGGGAGCTTCAGGTTTGTGTTTCGAAGAAAGTCGAATCGCTGTTGCAGTTTTCCTCATACAGCCGGTTGTAAGCCCAAGAGGCATTTATCAACCAGCCTGTAGACAAAGGAACCACACAAGGATAATATGGCACATGGCATGAGTCGGATCAAGCATGGCGGCGAGTTCGAAATTACACTTGCACACTTTGACATGGTTCCGCTTCGAAAGAACTGTCCCAATTCGAATCAGGAGGGCAAACATATCAGAGGCATGAGTTCTTTTGGACTACTACAACAAAGTAATAAGAGTTTCTTTAGCTTTGGTTGCATTTATTGCCTTATAAAGTTGAAATAATAATAAAACCAGGTATTGTCAAAACTTCAAAAGGCCAGAATGTGCATTTGCCGCGAGAAAATCACGTAATCTTCGCAACTGATAAAGTCTAGCAAGGGAAATATCTATTCATCGATTCGCGAGTACGACGTGCTCGCGGGCTACGGCGCCAAACGTGGGAACCGTGTCTGTACACTTCTTTCTTGGATCTGCCACACCTGCGTGAAGTAACGGGGACAGCCTGAGCCAGCGAGACCACGACCATGTGGCCGTTCGAGCGTATCCGATGTCATCGGATTTCGCCAACGGTCCGGGTAGTTGATCAGACACAGTTCCGACGCCTGCCGTAGCAAGCTTCCGCGGCGACGCCGAGTTCGGATAATGCGCGACTGGACTCTGATTTCGACTGTTCCGCGTCGACGGCACCGTCTAGCCTCTTTCATCTCCAACGCCCATCGCTCGAATCCGAGACGCCTCGAAGCCCTGGGAGCGCGACATCTGTTCCAATTTATGAGCAAAATGGCGAGATGTCTCGGAGACGGGCAGCGGCGAAGCAGGTCGTCTCACCTTGTAGGTTTCTCGATCGAACCTCAAGTACGAACGTGCACAACAGAATGACGATCCAGGAGACGTGCTTTCTCATATCCGTCGACGTTTCTACCAGAACCGAGATGTCACATACACGTCAAACGGACCGCACATATCCGTCTGTTAAAAGCGCTTGTCCGCCATCTTCGGAGTAAACAAGAAAATTGATTCAGGAGCGACCTTAGCGCCCCCACCGCCGTGTTTTTTGCCGGAACTTCTACGCTTCTACTATCTACCCGTTGTTTCTACCCAACTTCTGCGTCTCCGACTGGTGTGTTTACCGCGCCCGAAGAAAAGTGGTCCCTCAGTTTCCGCCTGATGACGTCATAAAAGTTTCATGTTGTCGCCGGTTGCGATCCTAGTGGTGTTCCAATAGTTGTGACATCTATCACAGACGCCTGTCCTGCTGCAGATCGCTCTCCACTGTCACAGTACACGGAACTTACTGCAGCCGCAAGTTGGGACGCCGTGACGACAGCGACACTCCCGTTCGCTCGCGCTTTTCGCCAGAATTTCTACGGCCAACCACCAGGATCGCGACAGCCAAGAACATGACACTCCGGTTTGTGTGACGTCATTTGTTGCCACTTTGGGACCACTTCTGATGTATGGGTGGGATAGGAATAGGACGCTAAACACACCAGTCGCAGATGCGTAAGTTTCAGGCACCATTTTTAATCGATATGAACCAACTAGCCCCAACCAAAGTTTTATTCCAGGCACCATACTTTTACGACCAACGGACCAAGTACTGGGATCGCGACAGACAAAAGCATAATTTTATCATGAAAGCATGACACTCCAGCTTTTGTAAGACCATTTCGTCATTTATTGCCACTTGGGGACCACTTGTGATGGCGCAAGGGAACACAGGAAGGAGTAGACAGGAGTTCACAAAATTAGCTCAAAGGACGAACACCTGGGAGAAAGGGGTAGACAGTAGGACAGAGTGCTCCGTTGGTTCGTCTACTTCTTCCTGCGTCCGTCCTTTGCGTTAACTTTGTATACAAAGTTTAACCAACTAGGCCATCAAAATATATTGTTACCAAAAAAGTCCCTCGATTTCCTCCTGATAATGTCATAGATGTGTCATGTTGGTGCCGGTCGCGATCCTGGCGGCGTCCCAATAGCCCTGGTAGCTGTAGCACACGGCTGTTCTGCTGCAGGTCGCTCTCCAGTGTGGCAAGTGTGGCAGTCCCCGGAAATTTCTGCAGCCAGAAGTTGGGACGCCGCGTCGACAGCGACACTTGCGCTTGCTCGTACTTTTTGCCATCGTTTCTACGGCCAACCGCCAGGATCGCGACCTCCGACAGCATGACACTCTTGCTTCTGTGACGTCACTTGTAACTTTGGGACCACTTTTGATGTATGAACAGCATAGGACGCTAAACCCACTAGTCGGAGACGCGCCTCCAACCACTTAAAACGAACGCGTGGGCCGTAGCTCTCAGGCCTCTCAGGTAGGGTGCCTACATGTTCGTCTGTCTCAGGGTGAAGACATTCAGTGTTGCCCTGAATGTGCCAGCGCGTGACGCTCTCGCGCACTCGGTGCGTGACTTGGGCGGTAAAATGGCGTCTATACATTAGCCAAAGCTACGCGCTCGAGCTGAGTGACACCAGACTGCTCGCGCTTCAAAATGCATGAAAAAAGAATTGGACGGAAAAATGGCTGAGATGTCACCACTCAAGCAAAAGCGCACGTGTGTATGAAGGCACTCTACTCTCAGGTTTTGTGCAGCGCTCCAAGCGAGCAGAATAGAATATTTGGCTCGCGTTTCGAACGTGCGTCATCACGCTTTCCCGCTACGTTTTTTTTTTTTTTTTTTTTTTTTTTTGTTTCATTTTAAGTGCCAGCGTAGCAGAGGCTACAAGAGCAAGCCAGCAAGCTCCGAGCTTGCAGTGTCCGTTCCAGGGTGTAAGATAGACAGGTGAGGAAACGGCTCATAGAAGCCTACCGCAGCGCCGTGACCGCATTGTGTACTCGTCTGCTTGCGGGTACCCCCGACTTGCGACAGATGGCGCTGCGGCGAGAGGAAAAAAATCGGAATCGAATTTGCGTGGAACTCTATGGGAGACTGCGCAAAATAAACCGAGAGCACGACAGTCTTTCATTAAAAATCCACAAAAAACCATCTCCGTCAGTTTAGCCGGTCGCCATCGGTCGCCCACCTGGAGTTCGCGGTGCTCCACATAGATGGCGCCACAGAAAAAGAGAAAACCAAGGGGGACACAATGCGGTCACTCATTTGGCTCTCGTTTCCCCACCTGTCTATCTTACACCCTGGTCCGTTCCAAGCACGCGCGTTCGTGCAGTGCGAGCATCGTTCGCGGGAAGTTGTTCTTGCCATAGAGTTATTATAATGTACATTATAACTCTATGGTTTTTGCAAGTAACTTCAGCTTCGCTATCACGTAAAGTGAAACATACGGGCTCACGGAAGCTATAAAAAAACGCAATAAAATAATAAAGCTGAATGAGACGCTGAGGCCGCGAGCTGCATATTTTTTATTTTATTTTATTGTAGTTTTTCTCTTTTTTTTACGTTTTGTTATCGTGCGTCTACAGATGCTGACAGATGCTTGCATTCGAACGTGGTACATGCAAAATCGAACATTACAGCACCGCCTGGATAGTGCTGCCAACATAACATGGTCGCGTCTTGCGGGCGCGCTCGCGCTCCCTATTGGTAAAATTTTACCACGTTGTATTGCCAACTAGCCCACCAAATGATTTTAATCCGTCTGGTGCCTCTGGTAGCCTGGGTCAGACGGAGAAAGTAACAGGGACAGACGAGCCAGCGTCTTTAACCCAGCTAACAATTGTATGGCAGTGACTATTTCGACGTCCACTGTCAGAATATCTCGACAATTCTCTGCGACGTCACTTCCGTAAAACGTCAAAATAGTGGCTTTATTTCCGCTAATTATAGCGGAAAAATTTTCCCACTAAATTTAGTGGAAATATTTCCCCACTAAATTTAGATGAAAAATTTTCCCGCTAAATTAAGCGAAAAAAAATTCCCGCTAAATTTAGTGAAAAAACTTCCCCGCTAAATTTAGCGGGAAAAATTTCCCGCTAATGTTAGCGGAAATAATGCCCCGCTAAATTGAACGGAAAATTTTCCCCATTGGAATTTTTTCCGCTATATTTAGCGCGAAATTTAGCGAAAATTTTTGCTAAATGGGAGGCAAGGAAGAGAGGCATACCCTCTTTTCCTGAAAAAGTTTTTTTTTCTACGGTAACGTTTGCTGTAGTTCAGTCACTATTTTTCTGTAATCAATTGCAAGTAATGAATTATATGTTTCCAAAAGAGCTCAATTTTTTTTAGTTGTGAAAAAATCGCTCTGCCTGCCCGTGCGTCACTCGTTTATGTGGCACCAACGATGGACACTTTTTTAACCCTTTAAAACCATATCACAGGATGCCAGAAGGATTAGAATGTCAACGCGCTCAGCAACATTTTGACTGTCGAGCTGTCAGAGTTAGGGGTGTCGCGAACCGGCCGAGGTTCGAGTTCGACCTGGTTCGACTTTTTCGAACTTTTCGTGGAAATTTCGACGAACCTTGTATTGAGGTTCGACTCGTGTGCGCATGCGCGACAGGCTGGCCAGTTGGCTTCGGATTGGATGGTAATGGCTAATCGATGAATTAAGGGCCCCGCTGGTTGGTTATTTCAGTTAATACAGTACAAAAAAAATTAAGCTATTAACGTCTTTAGTGATTAGAAGTGGTTTCTTTTAATTCCAACTGTTCATAAAATAAAATAACCATTTGCATAAAAATAAATTCTCCAAACCTAGACATGCGTCTATCAAGGTCTGGCCACACTGTCCGCAAAGTCGAACCGGTCGAATCTGGTGAAAAGTTTCGAAGGTTCGTCGAACCGGTTCGACCTAGTCGAACCCCGAAAGTTCGACCTAAAAATCCGGTTCGACAAAAGTTCGCGACACCCCTAGTCAGAGTGCCTCGTTTCCTCTCTGCAATCCGGCGGTCGCAACTGGCGGTCGTACAGTGAACCGCTTCGCTTAATTTTTCCTAGGGGCCTCGAAAGCGTCCGTCGAATCATTGCGCAATCACCAACTGCTCTTCCCTGAAGCGCACCGGTCGAAAGAGTCTTTAGCGTCGCGGCGGATATCTTCGCCAGAGAAGATTTCTGACGAGGGCTTCGAACGAAAACTGCTGTTAATAACCTCTAAAAAATTTTTTTTAAACAGTTTGGTTGGGACATGCGTTTCAAAAAATTAATTTTACGCGACAAAAAAAAAAAAAGATATTATTTTCTTTCAGCAATATTGACGGCGAGGGTTTTATTTGAAATGCTGAGCGCGAGGTCAATGACGTCACGGGTCATTCCGGAATGACCAAGGAGGTTAGAAGTACTAGGAGGGGGCACGTTGCAATATTGGTGAAGCCTAGTCATAAAAAGTTTAAACGATTTTGTGCCCAGCGTGACTGCAGATCTCTCTGGTGATTGGTGCGCGTGACATGTCACGTGTGAGGTTAATGGTTGATTCTACAACGCCTCCTTGCAGGCTTGCGCGCGCTCCGTCCGGTAGGTTTTATTGGACCGAAGGCTAGACTGTGGTGTATTCTAGTACCCCACAGCAAGACGAAGGCTAGCTACTGTCACGTGATGTGGTCACGTTGGCATGGTAAGTGAGGAGAGTAAGGAGGAAAATGAGAAAGAGGCGAGGCGTCAGGGGAGCATGGCTTGTGGAGGCTACGCGGCCGACGTCATGCCCTCTCCTACCCTTCTATCCTCCTTGGGAATGACCATCTCGGTCGTGAAGGCGAAGCCGATCCACCTCTCTTCAACGCGCCCGAAATGCCGAGAGAAAATAGGGAGTTTTAGAATAGCGCACGCTAAAGCTTTGCGTACGCAAAGAATAGCGTCGTCGCCACTGCGCATGCTCCGAACGAAAACCAGGTTTTGTGCTTTGCGTGCGCAATCTTAGCGCGCGCTATTTCTCGGAAATAGCGTGCGTACGCAAAGAGTCTTTGCGCTTCTCCAAGGAGGATTCGTGATGGGAAGTTGGCTAGATTATGTCGGCGGCTGCTTTGGCGGCGTCGTGAGTGCGACGTCGGCGGCATCCTCGCGACTGCAATTTTCAATACAGGACGACATTGTACTCGGTTTGGCAGCGATCACCGGCAACTTGATGCTTGCGACGCGCGAACATTTCACGGCGAAGGAACGATGTGCGAAGGTCAGTACACGAGACCTCTCTTGCCGAGGTGACGCAAGCGGACACGACCGGTCAACCGCTCGCGTCGTGTTCTCATGTTTAAACAAATTAAAATGCTACTCTGGACCAAAAAGCTCGTTTTCTTTTAAAGTTACATCATTTCGTGTGTGAAATAAAAATTTGACTATCTTGGTGGCGTCGCAAGCGCGAGATGCTTAGGCTTTTGCGTCGCGGCGGAGAAACGCTATTCTAAAACTCCCCTGCGTCGCGTGCGCTAATACAAGCGCTAAATTTAGCGCTAGCGTGCGCTAAAATTGCGTACGTTATTCTAAAACTCCCTAATAAGTGGAAAGGAAATGACTGCCGTCTAGTTCGCGTCTCGCGCCGTCAAAATTACTGTGATTTTTTTGTTTTTTTTTTTTCGCGTAAAACTGATTTTTTGACGCGCGTGTCCCAACAAAACTTAAAAAAAAAAAAAAAAAACATTTTTTTAGAGGTCTTTTAAAGAGATCCTGAACCGAAATCTGGATTCCATAAAGCACGGTGGCCAAAAGCGTGCAACAAAATGCTACAAACACCAAAGCATATCATTCATACAGCGATATATCTCGAACGGATGACAGTATTTATCTAAAAAAAAAAGGAGGCTCATTTGACAGATATGTTGACGTGTTTCTTCGAGAAGAGTCGAGAAGGAGAGGGAACGGTAACAAGGTGTTGAACTGGGCGAATCGGTAAAAGTTTGACATGGTGGGTGTAACAGCTTCAAAAAACAAGGACGATGAAAGGAACAGACACGACAGGACAACAGCTGTACTCGCAACTGAAATGTTTTATTTGAAAAGGAAAGGAAACAAACACGTCTATACCAGATAACACAGTGTGTGATCAAACAATACGCCACACTAAAGCGGATATGAAGGCACTCTACGCCACACACAAGACACATTTTATCAAAATATGTTTACTTGACTCAACTAATGCCAGTCATGGTCTGGCGCAAAAAGTACAGCTCCTTATCACATAAGGCAACCGACGGCTCACTCGCACATCTTTCTCCGTGGCAAGAAATATAAAAAGCCTCACTAATTTCGCGAGTGACCCTGTCTCTATGCCTCCCTTCAACCGTCACCTCGTCAAAGGCCGGCTGATACGTGCAGTCTCTGCAATGCAAAGGGCCAATCTACCAACAGAATTTGCGGCTCGAAATTCGGTTTCTTTCCGCCCGAAAACCACCGATCAAGAACTGGCCGGTTTGAGTCGCGCTCACAAAACGAAACAAAAAGTAACCACTTCGAACTATGTAGGCATTTTTTATTTCGTATTAAAAAACTAAAAGACTAACGCAAAAATTAACTAATTACTTTTTGGTAATTTTTCAATAAATTTTGTTATACTATAATATTTTAATACTTCCAATAAAGTAATCAGTGACTTTTTTTTCACCTACAAGGCTGGCGCTACTGTAGAAGCGGGAAATGTCCAAGTTAACGTTACACGCGCGCTGCGCACGCTGGGGGGCGCTCCAGAACGAAAAATAAAACAAACGAAAGGTCCAAATTTGCTGAACATGGCGGCGGAAGACAAATATTCCGAGGTATGTCAGCGCATTTTATTTTGCTATTCGCGTTCCGTTCCCACTCGTCCGTGGTTGAGCCAGCTAGCTGTCCTCCTGCGAGCTAATCTCGATTTTTTCCGGCGGCGACCCCAGCTTATTCGGTTGAGCCTATCTCGTTTCGACAATATGGTCGTCCGCGATGTGCCGGATCTTACGGTAGGCTTAAGGAGTTCGGAATTCGAGCTCTCTTTCATTCGTTTGTCTCGTCACCACATTTCGGCAGTAGGCCTGAATTCGGGATACAGAATCGACTTGTCTGATGTGCGGAACGGACCAAGCGTGGCGCGAGATTTTTAATTCCTTGTTGGTTGTCGCTTGAAGCGAGGCATGGAATTTCGCGTTCTCTGTTGTGCTTCATGTGTCATTAAGATGGGTTTGTAACAAGACTATTCTAGAGTTTCGTTTCGGGCACTTTAATTAGCGCCGATTTCGTCGAATGAGTCGTTCAGAGACCGTCGCTTCTTGCCGGTCTACTCGGGATCTCCTGGTTTTCCGCAAACGCCGGCTCTCGTGAGCATGACCCGTCAGCCAACCCAAGCCAACCACGCGTTGCCCCTTCACCGGAACATCCTTGATTTCTGTTCTGAAACACTCGTTGACATTTCAGTCTTCGGTGCCAGTAATTAATTCTAATAAATTTTTTTTTCCTTGCGTATTTTGAGCAGTAGAGGTCAACGAACTGTTTATTTTTTTTTAATTTTTATTTCTTTACTTTTGATGGGCTCACTAACCTATTTTTAAGCAAAAGCTCGCTACAAGGAGAAATGATGCTCAAAATGTGCGCTAAACGAGGTCATTTTCTTTTTTTTCTCATTCTGAGGAATTTTGGAGTTATCTTTTTTTCTTTTCGTTTCGCGATTTTGCCGAGCCGTATGGCTATTTCTTGCTCCACATGAAATCCTTAGTGAGTTGAACGGTGCAGCAGGTTTCCCCTAGTTGTGTGTTAGTAAATTGAGCGCAGCTCACTGTTCCGAATGGCTGCCTAGCAGAAAGAATCGAGTGGGTGTTTTGTAGCACCCTTTTTAAGTGGAACATGGGAAATGTCTTCATAGTGCAGCCTCGTCCACTCAGCTGAAATTTTTCAAGGCCTGTAAAGGACGAACCGCGCCGGACTTCCTTTTTTAGCACCCCACCATAAAAATGTCACGGCATGTTTATTCAAATATTGAGGAACGTTAGATGGAAATCAGAACGCCAATTGTTGCTGAGCTTGAAATATTAGTTGCGGGGGTTTCTCGGCTGTCTGCTAGGCTATGCAGCAGAGCAGCCTCTCAAATGTTACTTCGCCTAGGAACGATTGAGGGATTGCTGCAGTCCACGTCAAAAACTTCAATCACATGCTGAGCGGATTTCAGGTTGCTTGGGTGGTGATTGACAGTGGATGGCATTTGTGTTCGCTTTGTCAGGCGAGGGGACAGCAGTGTTTCCGAGCTCCTTTTGCACTTTAGTGGCGGCTGACTTTGGCCTAGGTCACTACTATAGTCGGTTACAAGTCAAGAAGGTAGGAGAGGCTCCTCCCACAAGCGTGCGCCCGTTTCAAATCAATATCACTGGAAATGCCCCTTGATCCGCTTCAATGAACAGATATTGGCTACAGAGTGATGCCAACTTGTCTCCGACCTCCACTCTTTAAGAAAGCGACCTTTGTATTCATCGGAGAAGGAACCGAGCCCCTTAAAGTGGCTTTTGCGTGCATCAGAGGGAGAACCTAACCCCCCCCCAAAATCATATTTGTTTCCATAGGAGGGGGAAAACTCTAATCTCTCTCTCGTGGCTTCCACAATGCTAAGTGAAAGTCGAAAGATAAGGCAAATATTTACAGGAAGGCAAAACACTCCCACGTTTGTCACGACGTCACGGAAACGATGGGACGCTATTGGATGCAGAGGTGGCGGAGGGATATATGAATCCCTCTGAGGAGCATTTGCCGCTACCTTCTTGACCTGTAACTTACTATAGAGCTTGTTTAGCGTTGTAGCTTTCTGCTTGGACCCTTGCAGAGTTGTAAGTTGGTTTTTAGAAGTCGCATTTACTCAAGGTGAAATGTAATTAAGTTACAGATAATTACATATTTACGAATGTGTCCAGTTAGTTAGTTTCTCACAAAGGTTAACCGTGTTGCATTCAATCGCTTTTAAAATATCCCACGAGGTCGAGGTAGGTGCGACGTAATTGATGACTGAAAGCATAGTTTTCAACGCCGAAACGACGTTGACATAATTTTGTTTTGATTCCACAGTCCGCTCGTGTCAGTGCTCGAGACTGCGATGGTCTGCAGCTTCGACGTTGAGAGCTTCTTTCCCCGGCAAATTGTGAACGCTCGGTGCGCGAGTGGATTCCTGTGCCTTTCGCGAGATTCGAGTGATCTCTCCTTGTGCCACTGGTGGATCTGTAGCCAACAGTCTCATTGAGCTGCTTCAACTGGAGACCTAGAGAAGTTCTCTGTGCTGCCTTTTTCGGAAAAGTTTGATCCATAGTCACTCGCAGCATTTCAGTTTCTATATTTTCATTAGCAGTGTTCTGGCAGCCATAAAAGCAATAAACCGCTCCTACTCCTGGCCGCCATTGCTCGCCCACATACTCCGAACATGTATTCACAGTGTTCAGCGGGTGTTGATACCACGAGGGCACCACAGCATTCGTGCCCCACTAGACTTCCGGTAGTGTATTTATTTGTTCTTCAGCGTGCATCGATTGGTTAAGAAGATTTTCCTCTGGAGGAGTACTAGTAATACGTTTGTAAGAACCTGCACGCATTGTAGAATGTAGTACAAAAAACAAAAGGATGTAAGACAAAAAAGAGAAAAACTGGAAGCGTGAGAGAATCTGACGGTAGCCGGAAGTAGCGAGCTCGTATGGCAAACGAACATGGGTGAATTGGATACGAGGGCTGTGTCGGCGTTCGGCGAGAGCTCTGATCCAATGGGGCGCTTCATGAGCGAGCATGGGTGGCTGCCAATGTTGCTCGATGGCCTTTGAAAAAGGTCTATTACAGCAGTAGCACTTGATGATAGGAAGTTATCAGAGGGATGCAGTGCTGTTACAAGCCTTTTTACGAGCTGTTGGAAGGTTGGCGAAGCGATGCGGTGCGGAGGTGTCGACGTTCCTTCCAAACAGACAGTTGCGATTAAGATGTGCAAGAAGTCGCTCCAATTTAGGGGTGTTTATTATTTGTGAGAAGGGTACGTCTATCGGTTGCTTTATAAACGAAGGCAGTAAATGCGAGCCGCGCTATTCCAGCGCAACAGCTTTCGTGCTGTACGCGGTGAGGCATCGAAGGGTGGCGGTGGTGGAGAGAGCAGCAGCAACGGTGCCATAACAGCGGCGGTGGCGGCCATGCAGCGGAAATGCCAGCGAGCAGAGCAGCTCCGTCAGCCGCTTTGTGTGCCTCCGAGAGCCGTTGCTCGACCGCTCTACCATAGAGGCCGGATGCTCCCAGATTTGGGAGTGCTCGCTATTTGCCAGAGGAAGGGGCTATTAGTGGGCCCGTATTTGTAGAGACTGAGAGGCGTAGCTGTAACAAAAGCAAGCCTCAAAGGCATTGTTGTTGTGGCGTGTGCAGAGCGACTCGGCTTCGGGCGAGCAGGGCGGGGAGCCCCTGGGGTGCGACATCCTGATGAAGCACCCGCTGCAGCACCGGTGGAGCCTCTGGTTCTACAAAAATGACAAGAACCGCAGCTGGGAGGAGAACCTGCTGGAGATCACCTCCTTCGACACAGTGGAGGACTTCTGGGCACTCTACAATCACATCGAGGTGGCCAGCAAGCTGCCCCTGGGCTGTGACTACTCCCTCTTCAAGGTACCTTCTCTTTCTTAATGGTCGCACTCTTTGTATTGAGTTGTAAGTTTTGATTTTTAAAATTTTCCAGGGAAGTTTTTTTCTTTCATGGCGTCCCAATTAAGAGACCTGTAGCGCATGAAATGCCTGGCAGCTGCCTGTAGGGACAGCTTGTTGTCTTTGCTACACCTTAGTCTCATGGTGCTCATTAATGCGCTTGGTGCGTAAGAAGGAAAAACCAATGCCTAGAGCAGGGGTGGCCAGGCTGACCCGGCCTAAGAGCCGCAACCAAAACCACGAAATTTTTAATCCTTTGCGGTCAGATACTTTGACCAACTTAATGGTTGTTCCGGCCAGAAACTATTTTGGATGCACGGGCCACGGAAACATAAAATTATTTCGGCGTACAAAGGTAACATGAAATATTTATTTTTGCAGAGCTCCTGCTTTCTTGCGTTTTCTAGCGGAACTTCGTCAGTGTATGGTACTTCTCGAAGCATTCTCCAGGGTGGAGGCCGGGATGCTTGGTGCAGGTGTTGCAGAAGAAAACTGTCTCTCTCCTGCCCCCTTTAGTTTTCCGGTCACTGCACACTGCGCAGTCCTTGCTGCTGCGTTCTGGCAGCTTGTAGATAAAGTGCTGCCTTCCATCTAGCCGCTCTTCACAGTCGGATTGGGATGCCGGACCTCTTTTCTTAGGTCACACTCGGAGGTCCCCGACAAGCTGCTCTATGAGCTTGCGACGGTACTGCAGGTGTTTCTGCCCTTTCAGTCCATTTGCGTCCATCTGCATTTTCATCAGTAGATAGCTGTTGACAATGGAAACTTCAAGCATCCAGAAAAAAAGTTTCCTCCACCACTTGAGAGATTTCAGAGAGAAGGCATAGCTTGCGCAGTAATGGTCGGCTCGGTCCACTGCCCCCATGTTTTCAGTATAGTCGCAACTGACGACGGGCTTCTGGAGCGTCACAGTTTGACCATGAGCTTGAGTTCTCGTCACAGCCTTCATCGAGGGGTTGTGAGCTGAGCTCAGCATAGTTACTTGGCGCTTATCTTGCCAAGCAAGGGCCATGAACGAGTTCCCTTGTCGGTAAGCAACTACGTCACCCTTCTTCATCTTTTCCTTCAGCTGCTGCGGCATATTTTTTCTGTTGGTCATCACAGTCCCCGTCAGCTTGACGTCCTGCGAAAGCAACTCCTCGGCGAGTGTTGGCGACGTATAAAACCTATCTGTGTACAGGTGGTACCCCCTTCCAGGCGAAGCGCACTGCACTTTCTCGAGAAGGTGAAGAACGATTCAGCAAGTGAAAGGAAGGTCTGGCCGAGGGAGGCTCTCCGTAGTATGGCTCGAATGCAGAAACATACCCAGTTGCGCAGTCTGCGAGTACGTACACCCGAAGGCCCCACTTTGTCGGCTTCTGTGGGTTGTAACACTTGAAGGAGACTCGCCCCTTGAAGCCCACGGTGCTCTCATCTACGCAAATCTTCGGACCGGGCTTGAAATGCTCTCTGCACTTTGAATCAATGTAGCTGACAACGTTTCTCACCTTGCTGCCACGTGTCGGCTGTCCTGATGGACCTTGCGGAGGAGGAGAAATTTACAGAAATCTTGTTCGGGTGAACACCAGTCGAAAAAAAAAGGCATCTTCAGAATTTCTTCGCTGAAGTACTCTTTGATGTCTGGCTTGGGATTCAGAGCCATGTTCATAAGGACTCCGAGAAATGCTTTGAACTCATCGACAGTGACGTCCTCCCAGCTTTTCCAAATGGAATGTTTTGCAAGAGGTTCCGCAGACGAAATCTTCTCGCACGCATACCGGTTTGTTTCGTGATTGATTTCTCCAATCAGTTGATCCGTGAAAAATAATTGAAAAAACTGGAGTTCAGATTGAAGATTTGAGGGCCCAATTTGGGATCCGGGATTACTCACACTGAAGGTAAGCACAGGAAAGTCCGGGAGATTGTTCGTGTACAAACTCCAGGACGATGCGTGTGGCTGAGCGGCTCCGCGGTTGTTGCCTTGAGCAGTCGTTTCATCTTCATCACTACTTTCGCTCAAATCAGCAGGGGACGTCTCTTCATCATCTGTCAGAGGGATATAGTTGTCCTCTTCACTGAAATTGTCGTCACTTTCAACTGCATCACGCGAAGGGTTACCATAAAATGAGCGTGGCTGAAACGTGGCCATCCCTCATGGCAGCAAAGTTGAAATTTGCGCGCTCCTCCGTTGTTTAGACTGTTTAGGATTAGTTCTGCCCTCTATGAGGAAAAACTGAAACCCTTTCAAAAGTGAAGTGTATAAACGTTCCTAGAAATGGTGCCACAAATCCAGCAAAAAAGAGCGAAGGAGCACGTTTAAAAGGGCGCGGGAACGCGTGTCGGGCGAGGCCCGACACCGGACCGGAAGCGCGTTTCTTCGATGTCGGGCGTGGCCCGACACATGACAGCAAAGGGTTAAGAGCCGCGGGGGGGGGGGGGGGGGGGGGGGGGGCAAACATTTGTCCAGAGCAATAAACGAAACTATTTTCACTATATCGGAGTCAAAAGCAGTTAAACTGTACTTAAGGTAGCATTAGCACAAGACTACCCAACCGCAACCTGTCTTTCAATTTAAAACTCGTTCCATTTCTCTTTTTGGGGAAGTGCTCGTGTGATTGGGAGGGAGGCGGGGAAGTGTGCGTTTGTGTGGGGGTGAGGGAGAGCCGCATAATAACATGCAAAGAGCCGCATGCGGGCCGCAGCTTGGCCACCCTTGGTCTCGAGAGTGGTAGGGGGCTGGCCATTTCGGGTGGAACGTGAGCCTGGTGGGAAAAATCCAGACACCCTCGACGCGGCAGAGTGGACGAGACGCGGCACTCGTTGATCTGACGGAATGCTGGAGAAGAGAGGGGCAAACCTCCTTCTCTCTTTAGCATTTTCGTCTACTCCCTCCTCCCCGGCCCGTCTTACCCTCGCCCTACCTTCTTGGATTGGAGACAAGCAGTTTCTGAGGTCCAAACACGCCGACATTTCATTGTCGAATGAAAGTTAATTTTGAAAAGTGACTGTTTGAGAGGAACATAGACTAACCTAAGCATTAATAGTTTTGAACTCACTTGCTCCAATTTATCGGACATTAATCCCTAGAAGAGAGTAAAGCTCCTGCCTGTCCACCTTGACGCAGGATCGGCAGGGAATTCAGATTTTGGGAATTCATGCCAAATTTGGCATGAATTGCCGGTTCCTCGTAAATTACTATATCGAATAAACGTTATTATTACTATTATAACCCGACTGCGAGTGTTCCCTCAAGTATCTATTCGCGCTACATTTGCAAAGGGTTCTTTTATATAACAAAAATGGCACTTGCGATGCATCGGAAATATTGTTTCGGTATAAAACTACCGGATACAACATTATATTGTCTCTTTGGAAATGTCCCGACAGGGCCTGGGAAGTCCTTCAAAACCCTCGCGCCTTTGTCTCGAAAGTTCGTATGAGTCTGGAATTGTATGTATGTGCGCCACATCCGCCGCAGAACATGGATGCTACAGCTTTTCTCGTTGTCACGTTTATTAAACGTTCCCTTTGCCGTTTGGACTTCCGCTCGTGGATTATGGCTTATGTTTATTTCTGTAGCTGTACAGTAGTCGTGCCTCATTCCCGGCTGCCTCGTCTCCCCACCCCCACTAGGGGTTGTGCGAAAAATACCGCATTTCCGACCCTTGGGAAATTGCCGCGCTGCAGCAGCAGAGTCGGTTTTGGTACGGTGCCTGGAGCGTGTCTCCGACCAGTGCGCTTTCCACATCCTAAGGAATCCCTCAATGTTTGCCCGACGGCGCCGTATGAGCGTTGCAGTAGCGCCAAGGAACGTGGCAGAGGCCTGCCGCAGGTCACTGTCCAGCTCTAGGGTCCACAGAAGCTTAGGCAGCAGAGTTAAGACGACGCTCTGATGCTGTCTGTACGCCCAATTGGCAGGATTGTGGCTTCGGACAGCATGACACCCGGGCTTTTGCGAGGTCAATCGTTGCCCTTTGGGTGGTTGGCCAGAATGGGACACTACGGTCGGAAATGCGGCAACGCGCTTTGGATGCACGGCGATTGTAGCAGCACGGCGGGCAATATGCGCTGCTGCGGTGAGGACTGTGTCGTTCTGCCGAGACTGCTCGGTTACTTGGGAAAGAGTAGCTTTGGCACGTATGTTCGTGGCCCAAGTCGCGCGGGGCTTAGGAAAAGGCGACCGGGGGCCACGCTTCTTTCGGCGGTGGGTCTGTATGGGGCCATCTTCATGTAGGTGACTGCCGGCCCTTTTCCTCGTAGCACGGCATCAAGCCCATGTGGGAAGACTCGCGGAACAAGTCCGGAGGGCGCTGGCTCTTCAACCTGAACAAGAACCAGAGGACAGCAGACCTGGACAACTACTGGCTGGAAATTGTGAGCCATCCTTTCGTCGACTCTCTGGCTCTCCAATCTGCCCAACTTTAGTGTTGAGACCGAAGCTCTAAAGCAACCAGTAAATAAAAGTTGATGTAATTCGTAACTAAATTTTTTTTAAGTTGCGACGATAGTGCAAGTCCCTGAGGTGGAGATGATTTATATAAGAATAAATTGCTTTTCACGCGAAATGGAGTGCAGCTCGCACCCTCTGGGTCGACCGGTGGCCACCGAAAAGATGCGACCGGCCCGGGATTCAAACCCGGCACCTCTCCGAGACTGGCGGAGTGCTCTACCAACTGAGCTAACCGGGGGCCGGTGGGAGCAAACAGATGTTAACAGTTACCCTTTGTCTCAATGTAAATCAATATGTAGAATCGTTAATGTCTCGCTTCGTTCCCGCATCGTTCGTGGTTGCCTTCGACCCCCGTTGGCCTTGCACCCTGCGCTGTGCGAGCAGTACGATCTCGCTTTCCCATTTCAGTCACCGAAATGAGGTCTTTGGTAAAATGAAGTTGATTACAGTGCGGTTGCGACGTCAGGCCGCTGTGGAGGCTCTCCCGCGCAATGCCGTGCGCGAATCTGGTTTCTGTGCGAGAAGGCCGACTTGTTTGTAAACGACGTGTTGGTCTCTAGGAGGAAATGAGAATGTGGGAAACACATTGCCGGGCGCAGAGTTTGGTAAGAGGGGAAGAGTGGCGGGACAATCTTTGAAGTAGCTCATCCTTACACCCAGCTGCTGTGCCTGATTGGAGAGGGCTTCGACGAGTTCAGCGACGACGTGTGCGGCGCCGTGGTCCAGATCAGGGCCAAGCTGGACAAGATTGCCGTGTGGACGGCTGACGTGCGCCATGCAGAGGCCAACATCAAGATTGGGTGAGGGCTCTCTTTCCCTCGTCCCGGAGGATGGACAGAGAGGAGGCTTTTAGATGCGGGAAAGGTACTTTGCCATTCTCCGGACTGCTCTGTGCGAGACGCTCGCCACTCCTGGCTGGAAAGGGAATTGTGGAACCTGAAAGCGGTGGAAGGGGGATCGGTCTGTCTGCTCAACAATTGCATCCCGCCTAAACCAGCCAATTAGATAAGCTGCCTCTTTGCTGTCGCTTTCTTGAAAGTCGGAATTGATAGGAAGTTTGTAAATTGTTACGTTCGTCAAAGACCAGACGCCGACGTGCCGTGTCTGCACGGCTGGCAGGAAGTCACGGAGCGGATGAAGAGACGTGTGCTCCGCTTGTTGCCTAGAAATTAACCTACAAGTTACGCGGCTTCCCTTTGGTGTAATATTTTCATTGTGATCATATTTCATGCCACTAAAGCGGTACCAGTCGTTCGTTTTGGTTTCGTTTTTGACTAGAGTTGTCCATTAAGAGTTTTAAAGAGTATTGGCTCCCCATCATTTGCTCAGCTCCTTGGAAAGGTCACAGCAGTTAATAGGTGCTGCGTACCGAATTGGAGTACTAAACATTTTGAGCACTCGAAGCGCGTGGCTTGCTCGTGGATGCGAGGCTGCTGTCGAACTGCAACGTCGCTTGGCTCAAACAGGAGGAACGCGTGCAAGCTTGAGACACCCCAGGCGGTTGCTGAACATCGAGGGGGATTGCAACGGTAATACTGGGGACGCTCTTGGCAGCACTGGTGAATGCAAGCACGTACTATTCGACGCTGTCAACGAGACTCGAAGTTGCCCTCAGCCACTTCCTGATAAAAGTTGCAAACCTGCTGGTAGTGAAAGCGCATAAGAGGGGAACTTGGTAGCAAGCTTCCTCAGAGTGGCCTCTGAAGCACGGGCAGCTGCAGCAAAATTGCCGCAGTAAATAGTTTGCCCCATGTTCTCCGGGAACTGGTCCGGATTCGCTTTTTGTTTACCGATGCCTCCAGGTTTATTTAGGCTCTACTTCGTACACTTCGTCACGCCTTCCGGGGGCAAACTGCGAAAGATGGGTTCGGTGCAAACATTCTCTCCGGTTCAAAGGGCAATTCTGGTCAAATTTTGATGTTGAGAAAACAGAGCGGTCTTTTTGTGTTGTGTGATCTGAAAAGCCTACGAGTCAAATATTACGGCATAATTTCGCCTTAAAGTTTAAGGGGGGACACTGGCTAGAGATTGAACATCTAAACTCCTTTGGTGATGGAGATTTAACATTGGATGGAGGTGTATTATGCATACTTCCAGCTCTCTAAGGGCCCTAAACTCGTCAAACACAAAGTTGGAGCCGAAAGTTTGCGGATTGCGCCGATTGGACGCTGGCGACAAGCGCAAAGTCCTCGTGATTGTCCAATCGGTCCGCTCCGTCAACTTCGGCCTCAACTTCGTGTTTGACGAGTTTAGGGCCCTAGGACAGTTTTACATACCTACCTAAAAAGATGTGTCGCTCTTCGTTAAGAAATCTATGATATGCAAATGAAGCTAATACATAATCAGCATTTTGACTGCAAGAATATGAAGTGGGGGATGTGGGATTTCGGGCCATCTAGTCTTTACAACTCAAATTTAAATATTTCGGGAAGAGTTGTTACTTCAAAATATGAGGTGCATATCTGTCTGTCGTATCTCAATTTTTGAAAACATCATAGCTTTTCTCTATGAGGACTTCAGCTTAAAGCAAAAAAAAAAGTAGATTGCTGGCTTCCCCAGTAAATTTCAGTTTGGAAACATCTTGATTGTGGTATTGGAACACTTTTACCTTCGAACAAGATTCCTTTCTACGAAATTTGCAGCAAAAAGTGGAATTGAGAAAAATGCATTCAAACCTTGAACTCTTTTATTTGTTACTGCCTCACAATGTGTTGAAATAATTTTATATCAACCTAACTATTTGACGTATGGTTATCAAATTTAGTGTATGAATGTATAATTAGGTTCTAAAACCGAAAACCCCAAATTAAAAAAAAAAAAAATATTGTCTTTTGCAATTTGGGTTTATGTTTACCCTTAAACCGCCAAGGAAGTTGGGGCGGCTTAATGGTCATTAATATCCACCCAGTCTAGCGGGCGACACGCAGCGTGCGAGCACCACAGTCATTTTTGCTGTGTGGACACGGCCAACACTGTGCGGGAACATCAAGAACTGGAAGAATTGTTTTGTTTGTTTTTTACTATTCCTGGCGCGAGGGCGAGAGAGAAAAAGAGTGTGGTGCGCCGTCCGCCGCTTTCGTTGATGGCATAGCCAACGTCTCTGTGCACACATGCTGTCCAGTAGTTGACGAGCAGGACCAATGTTGCCTGCCACGGGCAAGGTTTCGGTTTGGCTTTGTGATATTCGTCTAAACGAGCTTTGCAAGAAAACTATTTTAACTTTCCAAAAAACGAATGACATAGAGCGGTTTATGAGTAGTTTTGACAATCACCCATAATCCCAGAATTTTAGCAATTGACCTGAGTCGCCCTTTCATGTTGCACTATACACCAACTCTTGTTTACAAACAAACCGGAGTGCCCCTAGCGGACGCCACCGCGCATGCGTGATGTGGGCAAGAGGCTCGCCGTCGCCCATAAACAAACCATTGGAACAGGATTTTTTCGGCGTAGGTGTGAGTCCCCGCGCTCTTTTTCTCGTTGGAATTGATTCTGACTACTTGAGCGGCCTCAACAAAATTAACGAGGCTCGTTACACCGCAAAACTCAGTGTGAATAATGTTACATGTGGCGATTCATTCCGCGTGGACTCCGCAGAATGGACGCTAAAGCCTGATTCACATGGTGAGGTTCTGCTCGCTAGTTTCAGTCATGACGTTGCTCGGGCTGCAAAAGCCTGAACCGTAGCTGAGATGTCGACGTCGATACTGAAAATGGCAAGCAGAATCGGACCGAGTGAATCAGGCATAACGAGTCGGTGATGGCCACTGGTAACAATGATCAACATTGCCTTATATCTCTACTGTTTACACCAAGCCTACTTATCGGAAGCAACCTTCAAACTTAAGTCTTTTGAGGTCTGCACTTCTTATCACAATTAACGGATCAAAGTTTGGTCTACGGGCCGCTGTCATTTGAATGAGCAGACGGCAAGCAGGAGCATTTGAGAGAGCAGACGACAGCTCGACTGATGAGGCGGCTGTTTAAATGTGATGACGCACTGAACGTAGTCCCCAGGTGGTCCGTGCAGCTTGACGGTTTTCCCGTGTTTCTGTTGGAACAAAACAAATAAATCCGACGTCCACAAGTATTTGTGAAATCAATCCAAAGTGCTTTCCGCCCAAGCAATCGTGGTCGACGGCGTCTGTTTTTAGATGCGGAGCATCTCTTGCTCGGGCTATGTCCCGCGGCGTCGTAGTCCGACGCATGTGCAACTCTCCTCGCTGCGCGTGCCTTCTCTCTCTCTCCAACTGCTGCACGAAGTGCACGCAGCTACCAGCTGCGTCCCTCTCTCCAACAGCTGCGCGTGCATTCTCTCTCTCTCCAACAGCTGCGCGAAGTGCAGGCAGCTACCAGCTGCGTGCACTTCGCGTGCGTTCGCTTCTACTCACACCGCGCGCGCATGCGCAACTCTCCTCCTCTAGTCTCTTCTCCTTCAAGCGTGAATATAAGCAGCGGTAGCGCGCTGCGCGCGTTCAAGGGGAGCAAGTGGCCGAGTGGGCTAACGCGTCTCAGCTCGGAGCGTGGAGCAAAAGCTTGCGCTGGGAACCTCCTGGGTTCGAGTCCCCGCCACCCCCGCCCGTTTCGATCTGGATGAGTTTCGTACCGGCACGCGTTCGTGTGATGACTACTGCGTGATGCACGTTAAGAATCCCAGGTTAGCGGTTGAACTGCACTGGCTAAATTTCTCATCTACAGCTAAGAGACCGATTACCCGTTGAGGCGCATCTCCATCAAGGCTGTATAAACAAAGAGCAAACCAATTTCTGCGCGCGTTCAGTTCACCGATGTTCACTCTACTTCACTCCGTTCTTCCGTTGAAGTGTGACGGTACCCCTCGGGAAGATAATGCAATTCTTTTTCATGGCCCCTGTTCACGTTCTCGGACGAACCGAGCAGGCAGATAATGCATAAAAACTGTTCTTCAAACATTTGCCGACTCGTTTGGTAAAGCCCCAGTCGCAGTGTTTTGACAAGAAAGCAGGTTTTTGTCCGGTTTCTTCCGAAGTAACAAAAGAATGCATGTGCCCCATGGTGGCTTCCGCCCACAGCCCCAGACCGCAAGTGCGCCCGACGCGCCACCACCGCACTTTGACGTAACAGAGATGAATTTGTGTATAGGTTGTAGCTGCTTGCTTCTTTGATGTCTGGCTGTGCCCATTTCTGTGTGGCCTGACTGTGGTGATTGCTTGTTTCTTTTCAGCAAAGTTTTGAAGGAGAGGATAAACTTGCACCCTCGAGTCATCGTTCCATTTCAAGTGAGTTTCCACAATCTTTTTTCTCAACTGATTGCAAAGACACGTCTTTAACAAATTCTGGCAGCGGCTTGAGTGTCGACAGTGCCTCTGAGGCGGGACTTGCGAAGGAAGCTCATCGAGTGACGAGGCAGTGGTTGGAGGAAGTTAACTGAGCATGGTCAAACTCTCATTACAGGCTCTGGTTTTGCGCCCGCCATAATATTGTCGGTGTTTCCTGACTTAGTGGGCTTCTCCTGTAAATGGCACCGATTGGCATTCTGTCATTGTTGCAGGGGGCTTTGTTCATTAAAAGGGTACTCAAATGAAAATTGAAATATTCAAATTTTGTTCGGAAAGGAGTCAAGCATAACGGATAATAACTTAAGTTATAATCGCACGTTTGTATTTTGAATGGCTGGCTATATTTTTCGTTCCAAACGGGGCACTCGAGGAAGCGGTCGAAGAGAAGTGAACAGAGAGCGCAATGCGTCATGGGATATTTGGCACAAACAAGAACTGGAAAAAAGGTTCTCTGCATTCGTGACTTGGCAAGGCTGGCGTGGCTATGAGCTTTGCCGTTGGTGGCATTGTCAGCGTTGTGGTGGTGTGAATAGCGTCAGTGCGTCACAACCGAGCCGTTCGAACTACCCGTGGGGTGACGGGCGTGTCGCTGGTCCAAAGAGCACGTAGCTTCCACAGCACTGTCAGCTTAGGGGTGAGCGGAGTGGAAAAGGCAACTTTTGTCGGTTTTGAGCGACGGGCTAATCTTCTAGGGGGAGAATGGTACGCAAACGTGGGTTCGAGCAAGAGGGGACTCCCTCCTTTCCGTCTTCTTGGACTGTTTGCTACAATGTGCAGTGTATGAGTTGACAAGGAAAGCTAAGAAGGAAAATGGACAATTCCAAAGAGCGGCGCTGCTTCGATGGAACTTGCTACGTCATGACTACGTAGCAAGTTCCCCAACATTGCTAGATTACCTCCCAAATAGGCTCCACATGCATCCACCGGTTGCACATTGAAAGCTCATTTAATTAGATTTAAAATTAGTTTGCTTTTGCCTTTCAATGGAAGACTGGTATTTTTGAGGTTATGCTGCAACATGCAACACATTAAAGCTAGAAAATGAGCGCTAGAATTTCGTTTCCGTACCCCTTTAAAAAAGTTTTATTTTCTTTTGCCCGTGCAATTTTACAAGTGCGGACGTGCTGTAGTTAGCTCTCTGCTATAAAAGACCAGAAATGCTGATTTTGTGATCCAAACACATTGCTGGCAAGTAGAGAAATTTTAGAATTTATTTCTATTCCTAAATGTTTGGAAGTAGTCAGAAAATATTGCATTGTGTAGAAAGCGAGACTTTTGAATTGTGTGCACAAAGCCTAGTCCTGATTGGTTGATACATAAGCATCTTTTCGTTTTTCTGGGGAATTTGCAAATGTTCATGAAGGTCTCCATCTGCTTATGTGTGGGTTTAGCCAATTAGATGATCTGAAGAAAAGTGTATGACAATGATAAATGTACAAAAATAGTGGCATGCTATTTAAGGAAACTGTAATCGAGGGAAGAATGCCTATTGTGCACTTGTTCTAATTATCGCAGTGATGCGATTGCTGTGCCATTTTCCACCAAAGTGCTTGCCATGCCACATTCTGCTACATTTTGCCAAAATGTGAGGAATTTGTTTCAACGTTGTGCCAGAACTTAACCCCTTAACCGTTTTAGACGAGCCTAGCTTGTCCGCCTAGAGCCGTACCCAAACCGTTTAGGGCCAGTGTAGTTTGTCCGCACGCCCTACCTTGCCCCTTGGCTCTTTTAGATGGCCTAGGCTCGTTCAGAGCTTAGTTTGCTGTACTGCTCACAGATGGCAGCGCATGTTTTTTTTTATTATACATGTTTTTAAGGATAACAACCTATTGTGGAGACGTAGTGCGGCCTGGGCCACACAGATCAATAAAGAAAAAGACAAAAACAATTTTGAATCAAAAGTTGCAACAAAAGAAAACGGTGAAGGGCTTAAAGGGTAACTCCGGTCAAAAGTTGAACGAGTAAATGACTGATACCAATTTACAAAGACTAAATAAGATTAGTACTGTTAAAATATTACACTAATGGGAAACCACGGTACACTCTAAAACCACTATTAAAAATGCTACCACCAGCTTCTCAGTGGGCATTCAGTGGGTTGGCTGTTTGTCAAGCAACCTTGTGCCCTGATGTCATCTTCAATTTTCAAGAGATCATTGACTTCCTGCTCATTGAAGTGCATTGTGGTGCCGAAGGTGGCATTCACTGGTGGCCATAGTTTAGTCTGTTCCTGCTCAGCGTGAGCTTACGATTAGCTTCCATAACGCTTGTGCAACCTGCATTGCACACCACCGAGATAGCAGTTCTTCTCTGAAGATAAGGGGAGGCTCGCCAGCGTCAGTCGTGGCAAACTCGCTTTTTGGCCGGCCATTCTATTGTTATGTAATATGCCTGCTACGAATTTTTGATATTTGCAAAAGCGCTAATACAGTCATAATATTTTATCTGACTGATTGAAGCTGTCCTTGCGACTAGGCCAGTTGCAACAGTAACAGTATTGTGCTGCAATACAAACTTTGCGTCCCACGATGGCCATGCAGCTGATCACAAGGGTTGCCCTCATGCTCGAGCCAGTAGTTTCAGTTTCGCCGTAGACCCCCGAAACAAAACTTGGAAATAGGATATCTACGATACTACACGGGGCATAAAAAAGAAACGGACACCCAGTAATTCGAGGACACTTCTTTCACGTAAAAGCGTCGTATCCGTAAATTCAAGAAAATGTGCTGAAATTACCCATTAGTATACGCACAAAGTAAAAACAAAACAAAAAAAAAATATTTACATTGTGTTTTTTTTTTTAATTTGAAAAGTTTATTTGTGCACATTTTCCATTGTCACACTTTTCTTAGAAAGTTATTTTTCAGGCTAAAAAACACTTTCCGAAAAGTGAGTAGTGGGTGGCCCCTTGTGACCAGATTTAAAAGCATGTTTGGAATGAACTACAGCTTAAAAATTATCTTGCAACTATTGCAAAGATTTTTTTTTAACCGAGACACTCTCGAGAGGTTGTGCACGTTTTTCCCACGTGTGTACTTTTAGGCACCCTTGTTTTTGAACGACAAAATGTCAACATTGGGCGCTGTTCTTTCGTTCGATGGTGGGTGCATCGTGCGAGCCAGTATTTTGAAGTCCCTTGGATTGAACCCTGGGTGGAGTACCATCAAGTGGCTGAGGGAAGTTGATGTCACTCGAATATACTTTGCGGACACGACGGGTCACAAAAGAGGCCCGGCAAGCAAGACGAAAGGCCGAAAAGTGAAGACACGACTCTAACAATGGCTACCGAGCTGGTGGCTATTGAAGAAATGACCGAGTGTGTTGGTGCCAGTAACAATTTGCTAGTCACCCGTCTTTTTTCTTAAACTCAATTATTTTGAAACACTGTTTTTCGGTACATATGAAAGAATAAAACATAGAAAGGACGAACATGTACAAGTATATTCTTCCATCCTCTTTGTCTTATTCTTTCTGGTATCTAGTATACTTTACCAACACACTCTTTAGGAATATAGCGGTACATAGGTACAGCTGCAACGGAAAAAGAGTAGCACAAGTGACCGATGACAGGAGCGGCAAAACCGTGGCACGCGGCGCTATCGTTCCCGAGCTCGCCAATAGCGAGAGTGCAAGTCAAGTTGCATTTTTCAATGTGGGGGTGGCCGGCAGAAAGTTGAGGGATAAGATAGCTTTCAAAATGCAGGCTTTAAAATAAGCTGCTTGCTGCCGGCCGCCCCCGCGTTGAGACATGGAACGTGACTGTCACTCTCGCTATCGGTGCGCTCGGGAACAAGAGCGCCGCGTGTCGCGATTTTGCCGCTCCCGTCGTCGGTCACTCGTGCTACTCTTTTTCCGTTGCAGCTGTACAATAGACCCTTTCTGGAATTCAGTGCCATCTGGTGACTCAAATGGCAGTTACCTTTTACCATATTAATGGCGGCAATGAACCTGTTGTCTGCAATATTTATAGGGCACTGTCACTTTCGCGGGTCAACAGTAAACGAGAATTTGCTCTTCACTGTACAGTTCTTTTTCAATCTCTCGATGGCGAAAAAGGTGCAACCAGTCAGTATGAAGCACCAACCCACATGGACGCCTTGAAGTTCTATACAGGAAGGAGATGGGAAGCCGACTGTGTGCTACTAACAGTTTGACTGGGCCCGAGTTAGAAATGAACACTTACGCAGATCTTGCATCCGATTCCTGATTCAGATCATGCTACCTTCTAGAATGTGTAGGCATTGAATCATCTGCTTAGGAGCATCTTCAACTTCTCCCTTCATCAGTAAACAGAAGGCTGCCATTAGTATATAACTCGTGCGCCATTTTTCAGATGATGATAGTGATCAAAGTGGCCAGACTGAATTCCGGAAAGGGTCTTTTATTTTCATAACCTGCCAATGTAGGGTTGATCCTTTATTCCTGTCACCTGCATAGGTGTTGAAAAGTACTGAACTAGAATTACAATATGTACCTGTTTTTTGTGCTAGACATTTTTTAATACACCAAGAGCTACAATTTCAGTATTTAAAAAAAGAAAATTGATACAATTCAATTTTCAGTTTGTTTTGTTAATTCTAGTTTGTTAGAAAAAGCACAAACTTTGAAGCAAAATGATTATGTTCGACAGAAATATTACTATTAATTAGAGATACATGCTCCTGAGCATGTCCTAAAATATATCGGGTGTATGCGGAGGGCAAGTTCGTCTGCTTCTTGCGCAGGGGGTAGCGGTGACGTCAGAACGCAGAGCCCCGATTGGCTGGTCGCGACCCCCCTATCTGAGTGTCGTCTGCTCCTTTGCAACGTCGTCTGCTCGCCACGTCGTCTGCGTCTGTCGTGTCTTTTTGCGACTTTCGAAAGCAGAGGCCAAATTCACGAAACGATCTTACGCCAAAAATGTGCGTAAGACATAACTTAAGAACAAATTCGTATTCACGAAACGAAATTTTTGCAAGTTTTGCGCAGGTTACGACGAAATCCTACGACAGCTCCGAAGCTGTCTTACGCACTTCTTACGATCAAATCAGCGTGGCCGACAGCGACGACCCACGGACGTTTATTTTTCTACGTGCGCTTCTCACGCGTCCCGACTTCAAGCAGCAAGAAAAAAGTACTCGAAACAGACCACGACGAACAAGAACGTTGCATCCACAAACACCCGGGAAAAGCTCCAACGGCCACGATTTCACCGAACGCGACCAAGCGAGCACGGCAGTTAGGCCTAGCAGGCACTCCGCGACTCGGCGACCGTCTGCCCACGACCGGTTGGTGTGCTGAATGGAATATACCCCCCGCGACCCTTGTGAACTCTTCCCGTATTATACTTTGATCGCTGTCCTCAGTTTTAGATTAAGAGGTCAATTTCTTCCTCTTGTTATCTCCCTGTTTCCCGAGACAACGGTGACTCTTGCCGGTGAAAAAGCGGTGAATCTCTGACAGACGCAGGAAAGGTAAAGCAGCCATCGCTTTGACTAGCGGACGTAAAGCAGACGACGTTAACTGCGCCAACCCGCCGACGCCGTTAAAGAATGAGGGGTCTCGCCGCACACGAAAGGAGGATTTGGGAGGGAAATTGCGGACACTAACACGCTCACTCTCGGTTCTTAGCAAACAAACCTCGGCACCCCGGGACACCTCGCCAGTGAGTCCTTTGACTTCCCTCCTTGATGCGCGTCTGCAAGTTGTTAGACAAAAACAACGTACCGCTCGAGTTATTTCGTCTGCCCTCTCTGAAAGGCGAAGTTGAGCTCGCTCGTAAAGACCTGCACTTCCGAAAGTCGCAGGAAAGGTAAGACAGACGCAGACGGTGTTGCGAGCAGACGACGTTGCAAAGGAGCAGACGACGCTAAGATAGGGGGTCGCGATCAGCCAATCAGGGCTCGGCGTTCTGACGTCACCGCTCCTTCCTTTTTCATGCGCAGAAGACGAAAATGAGCCCACTTGCGAGGCGTATAGGCCCGTATATTGTGTAGGGCCTGTAGCCGATGCCCTGCTACAGGGTCAGAACTGCTATTCTGAACTTTTGATTATACTGCTTGGAACAACATTCAATTTGATATCTGGATGCTGTTTGGTGGATTTGCATTATTTCCCAAGTTGCTGGTCTGTTCTAGCAGGTTGGTTTGCTCTGTTCAGGGCGCTTTTCACTGCGCATTGGTGTACAACAGCGAACCGACAACCGCGGAGTAGGCCTCGTGATTCTGTGTATCCTGCTTCGCCGCAGCACACCAGCACTTCTCCAAAGCAAGATGTTGCGCAGGCAAAATCCGGCTTATGAAGAAAGAGGAACTGGGGGGGGGGGATGACTTGTCGCATCTTGATATGGCAGCTTTACCTTGCAATCCCAAACATGTAATACTTTCTTTTTTTCATTTGAGATCTAGCAAGTGTGCTTGGGTGTAGAGTGAAAATTTGTATGGGCAGCACACTATGCTTATTTCTCGTATCAAATCTAGTCTTGTTATCACGTCTATATAGACCAACTCCTCAATGTTTACCAATTTGCCCACACCAGTTGTGGGCACTGCAAAAATGTGATCTGTGCGAGGTCAAGCCTCGGCTGTGCTGACATTGGCGCCACTGGAGCGGTGCGACTACTGAGCCGCCTGTTTGCCCTGCCGTCTGTTTGATGGCGCAGTAAATACAGTAAATTAGAACTAATCAACTCGAGCAGTGGACGGGAGTTTGGGAGCAGCCTTAACAAGTTTGACTACATTGTTTTTAAGAAGGCATATTTATCGTTGACACAATGATTTTCAATATGTTAAACACAATTGACATTTGTAATTACGTGACAAATATCTCCGTTCTCTATATTGATTAAGAAATGCGCAGCTTTGTTACAACCATTAGAACTTGAACAAAACATCAATTTTGGTATTTAAAATGATTCTATTCTGACATAGTTTAACTCGAATGGCAATCTGGTTTTATTTCACACCTAATAGAAACACCCATTCATACTGTCCTTTGCCAGTGAGCATCTTGTTGCAATATAAGAGCAGATTAACAGCTATCGTTAAATACCGCACCAGCGCCCACTATTAACATTTCCCAAACTTGGGAATTGGGCAAATTATACATTAACCGCCCAATTCGACCAGACAAGCGCTCATGTCTAGATTAATGCAGTTTTCAGTGAAAGTGTGGGGCTGCTTCCCCAGTATCTTACAGTGCTTCAGTGTCTGAGGGAATCCAACCTTCTGTGCAGTGGGTGCTACAACAGCTTGCTCCAAAGTGGGAAGCCAAAGCAGACATTTTGTTTTAGTTGGACGGGCCAACACACGGATATGAATAGACTGGGAATTCCCAAGAAGAGAGAACCATGTTTTTTCTGCCCGTGTAAATGAATTGAAAGCTCAAACTTTGTGAGATTGTGACGTTAATGGTTGGGATAGTTTGAGAACGCGACGTTGCCCAAATAAAAAGATAATTAAGAAAAAAATTGTGCTTATGCTCTTTTTGCTGCTGCAAAATGCACTTTTGACTGCCCCAAAAGGGGGGTCTAAAATGTCGGAAAGCAATCGCACCATTGTTATCGATATGTCGTATGCTTGAAACAATAGCGGCATTTTGGTGAGCCAGAAAATATCTCGCGAGACAGTGAGTTGTAATTTGGCCCCAACAATGGGTTAGAATTTAAGAAGTTTCGATCGGAGTTGAAACTGAGAAGGAACAAAAAAATTTCTAGTCTGTGAAATGGTGGCTAAAATACTGTGCAAGCACATTTGACATTTCCACATTGGAGTTTGTTGCCCGAGCCGGTCGACTGTGCAGCGCGCTTGATCACATTTGAAACCACACCCTTTTCTAAACGCGATGCTCGGTGGTCGACATGCTTTTGATTATCATTGTATTGAAATATTTTGACGTTTGTAATTTTTGTTCTAAAGAACTTTGTTTTTTTGCAGGCTCACGCTGACACCCAGTCTAAACAAGGATCCACGGCGAGGGCTAGATATCAAGTTTAACAACAAATTAGGAAAAACAAAACAAGAAAAATTGAAATTTGGTTTAAAGGAGTTTGTGTGTGCAGAGAAGAAATTCTATGCAAGAAAGAAAAAGGAGCGTGGTGGTCAAGTGGTGTGCATCTTGGACTTGGAAGTTTACTAATTTCTTTTTTGTTGCCTTTTTTTTTTTTACACCGTGAAAAAAGAAAAAAAAAAAAGTGACTGGTGTTTGTCGAATCTTTGTTGTTTGCTTTTATTTGCAAAGTGTATCAAAGAACGGGTCATTTTGGAGTATGTTCTGTTCAGTTTCTGCTCAGCAGGAAACTTAGCAGCCCTTTGTTTTAGTTTTCTTTTTTTTAAGTGTGAATGAGAATGGGCGCTTTAAGTTGCCCCCAGTGAACTGTGGGGGCTTCCGCACGGATAAATGGAATGAGTGGCTACTTCGCTATGGTTTTCCTTTCATTTACTGCCAAGCCTGGCACATTTCATTTCCGATCTTTGGTACGAATTGTTTTGTATGTTGCCCTGCTTTATATAGAAATTAAAATAAGCTTTTGTATTAAAAATAAATACTTGTGAAATGCCACCTTCTATAAGGCTTGTGATTTGTGATATAATCTTTTTGTAGTTCTTTTTTTTTTGTGTGTAAAAAAAATTAAGATTGCGCTACTTTTGTATTTTGTTACCAGCATGAGCTGTAGTGCTACAACTTTCTTTTTCAAATAAAGTATTGGGAACGGCGAGGCTGTTTGTAATCGTTGCTGGGGTGACGATTACATTTTGGTTTACGAATGATTTGGAGGACATGTGCTAAAACTGTTAATCCACAATTTTCAGATAACTGCGGCCTGTGTGAGGTGAGGGCATTGAGTTTTTTTCTCGTTGCTGTTCAAAAGGAAAAATAATTGTGCATTCAAGTGACATTGGGGAGATTTGCTTTATTGCCCTGAAGTTTTGGTACTTAAACAAAATTATAAAATCATAAAATTTGCTATTGAGAATGATGTCACTTCCGGTGACGTATTGTGTGCAGGAGGAAAGTTGGCCGCTTCTGCAGTGACGTCAGAACGACGCCGAGCTCTGATTGGCTTTGATAGCGGGTAGACCTCGGTGCTAGATGCCTTGAGGTCTACCTACTATTGATCAAAGCCCATCGGAGCTCGGCGTTCTGATGTCACGAGAGTGGAGTGTTGGGCGAGTTGGTGATTCATAATGGTTAAAAAGCACAACGGAGCAATGGACAGAAAGGAAGACACCAGATACGGCTCTGGAAGACACGAGCGCAAGAAGCGGACGACTTTCTCTCTGGATACGATTTCTAATTAAATGTCAGCTTTGTTTGTGTTTTTTTTTAGGTTGTCCCTATTTTAGGTTTACAATGTAACCGGCCTATTTATCAAATTTTGTTTCAGTTTCTCAATCTTTTTTTTTTCTGTTTGCTTAATGTAATTTGACATCCATATTTCATTTGTTAAGCCTGATTCATGTGGTGCGAATTTACTTACGATTTCGCAGTCGCGACGTCGCTCGTGCGGGCGGTAATAAAAGCGTGGTGGAAACTGCGGTGTTTACCGCCGCGCGTACTTGCGACATCGCAAAAAAAAAAAAAAAAAAAAAAAAAAAACGCACGTTGTGATTTGGGCGCTGACCCGCGCCATCTGTGGGTGATCATTTGACGCCCTCTGATGGCACAATAGTGCAAAGGACGCGTTTAGATTCGACTTCTGAAATATATAGTTATTACGCCCTTATTCTGGAAAAGAAAAGCGTTGAAATCTTCTGGATACGAGGATAGGAACGCGAATACCGTTGGGTGTTTCTGTTCTCGGGCTTACCCGGTAATGTATGAAAACATGAAGCCAAATGGCTGCCGCATGAGAACCCCATAATTCCATATGATTCCGGACGTAAGAGACCCATGCATTTGGACGATTTGGTCTGGTTTTCTGACAGTTATCGGCCGCCTCGGAACTGTAAGTTTGCAACTGCCAACGTTTCTTGCGCTGATGCATGCCTCAGCTTGCTGAATCCTGTAGCGGCGTGACACCGAGCCAAGAAGCGGAGATCCAAAGGCGCCGAGAGCATTGTTCTGCGCTTATAGTCCCGACATCAATATTAGGCTTAACTGTTGCGAAGAAACTCTTCTTAAAACCCTTTACTTTTGCTGCATATAATCACTCGTTGTGGCATTGGCTGGACTACAACATCGGGTTGTCGATCGCGTAGTATTTGTGGTCGTTAGCTTGCGGATATTGGGCTGGGCCTTTGGGTTGCCGCGACGACGGGAAGTCGCTCGGCCGATTTCTCGGTCGGCGTCCTGTACGGTGCGCCCCGATTCCTTTAAATAAATAATAAAAAATAATATTTTTTTCTCTGGAACGTTGGAACTCGGCTTGCGTTTACGGCTGCCGCTTTGTTTGTGTTCCAGGTTCTGTTAGCGTAGGATGATAACAACTTGGAGCTGACACGGTGGTGGCTGCCGAGATCGCACCGTCGTTCGAGCAAACGTCTCGTCGGTGAATTTTCGTCATCGGAGTAAGCAGAACTGTTTCAAACCTCCCTCCGCATGATAGAGAGATCGCATTTTGCCGTACGAAAGTATGCCGTGGACCGGCGCACCTAGAAGCGCACGGCCGGCCCGGCCTCTCCGGGACCGTCTTCACGGGGACCGTGGCGGGTGTTTGGAAGGACGACATCATTGAACGGGCCCCGAATTGGTCCGCTCGTCCTGCAGCAGGCGTTCGTGGAGCACGTGTACTCGCGTGTTATGCGCTCGAGGAGCTTTGATGAGTGTCGGCGGCATCGAGTCCGAGACGCCTAATGCTTGCCAGTGCGCCGTCAGACAGGTCGAAAAGTTGAGCTCTAGTGACGGCCGGGAGCTATTCAGCGCGAGCTTCCAATGCGGCTGTGTGGTGCTCGCGCAGCCAAAGCACGGGGCAACGAGCGCGTGCAAGGCGATGACCCTGCCAAGGAGACGTGGTGCACACGCTTCCCAGCCCGGCGCGTGCCTTTCGGCGCCGAGCAGTGCATCAGCGCTACTCTCAACACTCAATCGGCGCTGCATTTGCGTGTGGAAGCAATGCACAGAGTTAGCGCTGTGTGTACAGCACTATGCCCCGTGTGAAGAGGCTTTTAACTCTCCCAACCGGGGGAGCCCATCTTTCAGACGGCTCCCAGCACTCCCAGCGTCTCACCGCTCCAGGAACACTGTCCTCCCATGTTCTCGCGCAGCAATCTCTATGTTTTGTTATCATCATCGTTATAATTTAAATTTTCTCGCACTATCTAGGCGTGAAATTGCGCGTTAAAAGGGTGGTCGGCGGTTTTTGTACTTGCGGTAAATACCGCTTAAAAATATTCCTCGACGCTCGTAACATGCAAGACGCAAATTAGTTTCTCCGTGCAGTGTCGGTAGCGGAAAGAAATGGAAGAAAGCGAGCGACACTCGCCCCCCTCAACTCGAAGCTAGAACGAGCGGCCACGTGATCTGGGGCCGATTTTGTGCCGCCAATGTTTATTGTATCCACTCGCTGGGGTTGGTGCCGAGTTCCGCACATTGTTAAGGTTGAACTATTCCGGTCGTTGCAGCGATGGGGCACCGGCCGCTACCCGAATGAATGTCGAGGTATTGATCGTCAGGAGCTCTAATCTCGTGTGGTGCTCGTGTCCACCGTACAAGTCGTATTTGAATGCCGTCGCCGCAGGGGTTGGAAAGTTCGACGGCGGAGGGTTGGCATTGTTGGCGTTGCCGTCGATGCCATCCCCTCAGCGTTGTCATCGAGCTTTGCGAAGGAGAAACGGAAAGAAAACGTCCGCTTTTATCCCCGAAAGTATGTAGCCACAAGGAAGCTTCTTTATTTGTGGCATTGTGCATGAGTATGCTTGGTTTGCGCTAGTGTTACTAAGTTTGTGTAAAGTGAGAAACATTCCTTCCCGATATCGTTGTAAGGCCGCTTTATTTCCTTATATGCCATTGAGAATATTAACTGATCTCCCTGAAACCGTTCTGTCATGAAAACAATTCATTCCAAACCAGAACCAAGCGACATCCCGTGTTTGGGTATAATCCTCGCACCCATCCCCGTGAAAATATTGCATCCCCTATGGAGAGTTGTTGGAGTTACTCGCCTGTTTTGAGCTGGACCCAATCTGAGTAATTTCTGTCGAAGTGCGAGGGTCAGGGGAACAACTCGCCAGCAACCCCGAAATTGCTGGAAAAATTGCCCTGTCCTAAGCGGCCCCTTTTTTTCAGTATTCGTAGCAGCCGGGATGATGCGGGACAGGTGTCTCAGCCCTGTTTTGTAGTCATGTCTGTTTTCAGCACTTTTTCATTGCAAGCCAGTTTGACTGTTTCGGTGATTGGAGTCGAAGGGTGGCCAACGTGACGCATATTTTAAATAGATTTAGCATTTTAACTGTGTCTCAGCTGTGAACTATCAAAGCAGTAAACAGCATTCCTTTTATGCATGAAAACATTGTGTTCGATACTAAAATACTTCTAAAAAGCATTCAATTTTTTTTTTTTTTTTTTCAATGGGAAGTTACGTTTTTTTGTCCGAATTTGTTTTAGCTGTCAGGTTTTATATCTTGCTCGTACTTGGCCTAGTGTATTATCATTATGACTATTAGCTCTATGAGTATAGGGTGCCTGCTAGAAATGGCAAAATGGCTAATCTCGGTTCTGAGCTCCTGGCCAAATATTTTTATGTAATGTCAGGGAACCGACTTATTTTCAGCCTTGAGCAAACAAATTGTGAAAGACACTGAGCATTGAGCACAAATTTATGGGATGGCTTGTGCCTGCTAGCTCGCTGTCTAAATCAACAAATCAATTCTAGAGAGCGGGGATGACCCCACAACTGTTCTCCAAGAGCCGGCCAAAACTAGCTGCTTGGGTCCTTGTTATCACCTTTCCGAAGAATGCCTTCTGTAAGCACACAAACAAGCACACCACTAGATACATGAGCATTATTTTTGTCATGCAAAATATTAAGTCCACAAGGACATTGCTATTGTTCCGGTTGGCTGGAAAAGCGTGCTGTGTCAGCCAGTTGCATGTCTCCCGTTTTGCACAAATATCTTGGCTCCTTATTACTCCGAATTAAAACCTGCTGACTCATTCTAACTGTCAAAACAGAGCCTTCAAGACATGGAACTGCCAGGATTAGCACACAGTGCCATTACACGAAAAATCAGAATTTCCTGTTTAATATCCTGCAGGCTTGAAAAGGTATGTCTCTTATCTGCTTTTGTCTTGCTTGAGATCAAACAGGAATGTGCATGAAGACAGCCAGATCGTGTTGAAACATCATTCTTTCTCTGGCGTGGTGCTCAGTGTGACATCTTGTCACCACCACACAGGGAGGGATGTTTTGGTCATTGAATGTGCGCAAGTCATTGACTGTTTCTCAAGGTCTCTTTTGCTTCGTTCCACGAGCCTTTCCAGTTGCATATCCCTAGAGTCAGCGTAATCGATCGCTGCATTTAAATCGCATTATTTGCACACAGGTACAAAGATAAAACTTTGATGACTGCAAAACAGTCTTTTGCATCTTCAGCATGTAATTTGCTCTGTCCACCTGCCAAATTTTTTTTTTTTCTAACTTTTTGAAAGATTAGGAGATGTAGTTGGAAATGGGGATTTGTGGTTCTCTGTGGTTCTTATACACCTTTCCAAAAAAAACACTCGACCCCATTCGCAACAAACCGTTTTCGAGCCCAGTCACTGAGTTTGAGGCTAGACACTCACCGGCGTCCCTCCTAACCCTAACCGAGTGGACTGATTTTAATAGGCGCAGCCTGCATAGGCGCATTTTCAAACGCTGCTGGCGGCTAAATTCTCGTATTTTCCCGCTATATTTTGTGTCTCATGGTACATGTATTTTCCCGAGGAGATTGAGAAAGCATTGTGCCACAATTGAAAAAGCAAAAAAAAAAAAAAAAAAAAAAAAAAAAAAAGAAACTAAACTAGTTTTGTTGGGTACGCGCGCGACAGAACGAATGCGACTGGAATGTGTAGTTCTAGTTACTTGCGTTTTTTCTTACGATAAGTTTTGACAGCGCCGCAAGATTCGGCGCATGTAAAACGACAAAGTGCTTAGCTGTCGAAAATAAATTGCAACAGAAGAGGGCCAAAAGGCATGCATTTTTCACGCTCACAAATAACGTGTTTACCGATGGACAGGACGCGGACATACAACTGAGGAAGTGTTAACATTCGAACAATATATCATACGTACCGCACGATGCAGCGTTATCCGAAAATAACTTATTTAAGAAAGATCTCGAATAACACAGTCACAGTCGACGACAGTCACATCTTGACGATCGGACGGAATCCGAGATGACTTCGTTTTGGGGCACGTTTTGGGGAGAGCTTCCTTTTTTCACAACCGCACCAAGGCAAAAGAACGAACGCGACTGACCCGTTTCCCACCCCGATTCGGACAACTATTTCTGGAGACGACTGAGGATTCTACGTGGATTATCTGTAAGAGGGGGGAGAACAATGTTTGCAAAATCGCGTCGAGGGTCATTCGACGTCCTTCCCCTCCTTCGTTTCCCGTGAATGTAAAGCAGAAAAACTTGAAAGGCAGGCACTTACCAGCCTTATTTCTCACAATGAAAGATAACACAGGGTGCGCAGCACGCATAAAAAAAATTAAGTGGAAACTTTCAAGAGAAGCGAGAAAACATTGAATGCAAAACCGCAAAAACGTAGGTAGAGAACCGCACTGAGCGGGTCTTCACAGTCCCAGAGAGTGGCAGAAAACTTCTAGCTGATAGAGGGCGCGAGAGTCGCACCAGCCGCATCAGCATCAGCAACATGGCGGCGGCCTAGGAGCGTTTTTTAAAAAGGTGTATACCTGCCGTAAAGTTCCGAAAGGACGCCCACCCAAAATGAAGAGATAAACAGTGAAAAATATGGGGTGGGTTATCTTTGGGAATGCCACAGCAAATTTTCATAAAAAATTAATGATAAACACCCTGGCACCTGCTACCAACCACGTGACGCGGGAACTGATACCACAGATCGTGGACACTGCAAATTCGCGTTTCATGATACGATAAACATGCGGGAATTCACTACAAACTCCTGTCAGGGGGAACGACACCGCAGGTTGCAAATGCAGCAGCTTCGCATTTCACGGTGCGAAGGACCCATGGAAACCCGCCGAGAACTCTCATCTCACGGGAACAAATACCGCAAATCATAGACGCAGCTGATGCAAGTTTTATGGTGCATAAGCAGGCAGGAACCCGCTGACTTTCCTGTCACAGGAACCGATATTGCACGTGCAGATCGCGCAAAAAAAAACTAGGGAATCCGCTACCAACTCGTGTGTTACGGGAACAAATACCACAGATAGTGAATGAAGCAGAATTGTATTTCACGATGCAATATACATGCAGGACCAACTCGCGTGTAATCGAGATTGCGCACGCAGATTGCGGACTAAAACGCGGGTATTACAAACTGTATGGCAAAGGAACAGATACCGCAGATTGCGCACGCAGCAGATTCACATTTCAAG